TAACCTCCATCCCCCGCCGGACTGTAATGGGACGCTGCAGGTCAGCAGTCCCATTCTCTATCCAGACGGCGCAACGCTTGACAAGGGCGAGAGAGCAGGACCTATTTGGTGCCCAGCCAGCGAGAGAAAGCGAAAATAGACTCCGGGCCAGAGTAAGTGGGGTAATTCTTTGTGTGAGAGAGAGAGAGAGAGAGAGAGAGAGAGAGAGAGCGGCGCGAGAGAGAGAGAGAGAGGCGGGCGTGCAGAGGCAAGCAGAGGCCGCCAGGCTGTGGCTCCCTCTCCCTGGCCCCCCTCTCGGCGGGCGGGCGCGCCAGTCATGTCGGACGAGATGAAGCCGGGCGCCACGGCGTTGCAGGTCACGCCGCGCGACGCCAGCTCCTTGGCCATCGTCATAGTCATCGCGATGACGCCTCCCTTTGCCGCCGCGTAGTTTGCCTGGCCCGGGTTGCCAATCTTGCCGACGACGGAGGCGATGTTGATGATGCGCCCCTTGCGCGCCTTGCACATGGTCTTGGCCGCCGCCTGAAGCGGGGGCGCGGCTGGCGCGTCAGCTCTCGGGCGGCGCGTCGGCGGCGCCGGCGGCCTGCGAGGCGCGGCCGCCTGCGAGGCGTAAAAGAAGGGTCTATCATGTCTATCATGTCTATCATAGCGGCCGCCTGCGAGGCGTAAAAGACGCTATATCTCCCCATATCTCGCGGCCGCCTGCGAGGCGTAAAAGACGCCGTTCAGGTTGGTGTTGATGACGTCCTCCCACTGCTGCTGCTTCATGCGCAGGATGAGCGTGTCGCGCGTGATGCCCGCGTTGTTCACGAGCACACCCACCGGATCGTCGAACGCATCCGCGGTGGCCTTGAACAGCGTGTTGATCCCTTCAGGAGAAGACATGTCCGCCTGCACCGCCACGCCGTCGCCGCCGAGCCCCTTGATCTCCTCCACCACCGCCTCGGCCGCCGCCGCGGAGGCGGCATAGTTGACCACCACGCGGCACCCCTCTTTGCCCAGGCTGAGTGCGATGGCGCGGCCGAGGCCGCGGGAGCCGCCGGTGACGATGCAGACCGGGCCGTCGGCCGCCATCTGGACCGCGCCGCGCGCCGCGAAGCGCTGCTGCGCGGCGAAGCGGCCGGCGCGGCCGAGCGCCAGCGCGGAGGCAGAAGGTAGCGTGAGACCCATGAACATCGCCAGCGACATCGAGGACAGGGAGAGCAACGCAGATCGAAGAAGCGCGTCGCGTTGGTGCTGGTTCGTTTCGGGGCAAGGAAGGGAGGGACCCCGCCGCGCAACACAGGAAACCAGCGAGTAGCCTTGCCTCAGTGGCAGACGGCCTTGCACAGAACGGTCCGGACCGGCGGGTAAAAACGTAAGAGCTACATACCCTCTTTGTTTTTGTAAAAACCGGAGGAAAGGCTGTGTTCACATAAGAGCAAACAAACAACTCTAACACTCACACGCTAAAAATCTCTCTCATAAGAGAGAGATTTTTAGCAATACCAAACAACTCTAACACTCACACGTAATTTGGGGCCTGGAGCCCTGTTCACGCGCGCGCGAGACGTGCAGACAGGGTTGCCAGGTGAGAGCGAATGGCGCGGTTCACGCCTCGCACAACAGAGAGAGAGATGCGCTCTGCATGGTGGGACATAAAAGAGAGCGAGTACTTGGGCGAGTAGGCCGTGCGGTCAACGCTGCCGCGCGCGACTTTGCGCGCGAGGCGGCGCAGCTTGAGAACGGCGGTGGGCGAGAAGCCGCCGCCGAACGTCTCGTGGAGCAGCAGGTTGAAGTTGTTGCGCTTGACAAAGATCGCGTCGTGGTAGAAACCGCGATGCGCCTTGACGTAGCCGTGGCCGGTCTTGTGGTCGAAGGGTTGGCCGGGCTGCCCGCGCGCCTTGCAGCCCATGTTTAGGCGGCGGGCCTTTTCTTCGGTGTTGCCGAAGGCGTAGGAGTGGCCAACGGAGGCGGGCAACAAAAACGCAAGAGAGAGAAAACATGAACACAAACCCGGGCCCGAAATCGCTGTGTTCACGCCATAGATTCCTAACACCCCGCGAAACACCAATCGATGTGTGTGAGAGAGAATTGTGAAGTAAAAAACCTCATCGCAAAGAGAGAGAGAGCTCTCTCTCGCAAACCCTGTCAGCAGTTCACCTACGGGTATGTTCGTAAGAGCTACACTGAAAAAATGGGGCCAAGAAGGTGGTTGGCATCCCGACCTAGGCCGGAAGTAGGAACTGAGGAGGAAGGATGATGGCTGCCACCGAGGAGCCTGTGTCAACCGAGGAGCCGCAGGCGCGCGGCATCGTCGACGACGTCATCAATGCCGTGAGCGACGTTGTCGACGAATCAAAGGACGTCGCCAACGACATCACCGGCGGCGCTGTGGGCGACATCGAGAACGCGGCCCATAACGTCCAGAACAAGCTGGGCGCTGGCCTGCCGAGCCTGAGCCTCCCGGGTTCGCGCAAGCCAGGCTACTGGATTGCGTTCATGGTCCTAGCCGCTGCCGTCCTCATCGGCGCCTCTGCCCAGTATGCTGGGGAGAATAGCTCGTACGGCGATTACGCGGTCTCGGTCGGCGCGGTCGGCGCGGGGCTCGGCCTCCTCACGCTGCTGGTGTATCGCTCAAGGGATAGCAACCTGAAGAAGGTCCAGTTTGAGCTCCAGGGCGTGGGCCAGGTCACCAACGAGATGCTGATCGCCTTCTTCTTCTTTGTTTGGTGGGTTGTCGGCGCCTGCGTCCTTACCTTCAACTTCGCACCATTCGCCATCACCGGCAACGGGTACTTTTCGCTTTGGGCCGGCGCCTTTGCGTCGGCGGGCTACCTCGCCGACGCCTCCGGTCGCACCATCGACAGCCTGGCCAGCAGGGCGCGCTCTAAGGGCCCCCTGTTTGGGCTCATCGTGCCGTCCGTCGTCCTGATCATCGCCACGACCACTGACAACAGCTTCGGCCAGAGCAGGCTCGACCTCGACCAGTGCAAGTATGGCCTCTCCGTCGGCATCATCTCGCTGGTCGGCATCCTCTTCCTCCTCGCACTCGACGACCGCGGCAGCCGCCTCGACTTTGGGCGCAACGGCCAGAGGATGGCGGACACGCTGCCGAAGCTCGTCGCGTTTGTGCTCGTGTGCCTGTGGGCCGCGGCCGCCATCGTACTCACGTTCGACAAGCCCTTCACCAATACCAGCCTAGCAAACGGCTACTTTGCGTGCTGGCTCGGCTTGATCCTCTCCTTCTGCTTTGCTGTGCAGGAGATCGAGGAGCTCCGCAAGATCGTTGATGACGCGACGGCGGCGAGCGCCTGAGCGGGCCATGGCACCTGTCGTCACGGTTAGCCCACCGCCCCGAGCGGCGGGTGAGTCGAGAGGAGGATGGGCTGGCGCGGACGCGGATGCGGATGCGCGGCCGGTGCTCGGGCGTGTGTACGTAGGCGGGCTCGCGAGTCGCGTATGGGCTCTACGGGCTATAGCCTATGGCTATATAGAGTGATCACTGTGGGGGCGCCCCGCCCCCGGCCCCGCCGCCCGCCCGCGCCCCCCGCGCAACCGGCGGGCGATGAAACCGATGTGCATGTCTAGGCGGAGACGTGATTTTTGTCCACTAGGTAAACTGGTAACTGCCTCTTCACTAACTATTAGTTTTTAAGATTTAAAACTATACATGTACACGAAAAACTGGCGCGTCACACACACTACGCATCGCACTCACTATAAAATAGAGGCTCGCTCATGTGGTGTGCGCTGCCTACGCCTCGCGTGTGACGCACGGGGCGGACGGAACGATGCATGCACGGCAGCACGGGCAGGGGGGCGGGGAAGGGAAGGGGCACATGGGAAGGGGACAAGCACATCTCTAGCCCCGGTCGCGGCTGGGCACCCCCCGCCACCAAAACAGGTCGAGCGAGGAGCATACGCGGAGGGGGGCTCAGGGGGAAGGGCTTGCGGAACGGGGGGGGGGGGGGGGGGGGCGATACGTTCTCTTTGGGGATGGGAGGGTTGTGGCGGTGCAGGCGTGCAGGGGCATGCCGACCCTCAACCAACTTCGGAAGCCGCCGTGTGGTGAGGTACCCGGGAGGGCCTCGGTGGGTGGCTCAGAAGCCGTACAGGCGCTCGTTCGCGTGCGGGCGCGCGGCGTGCGGCGCGAGAGGGATGGCGGAGGGAGCAGTCGACACTCCCCCGCCGTCCGCGAGGAGGGAGGCCATCTCCCTCACCAGCTCGGCCGACTCATGCTCGAGCGACTGCGGGGACGTGGAGTCGCTGCGGGCCGAGTCGCCGGCGTACGGCAGCGAAGCGGTCGGCTCGGTGAGCTCGTCGGCGAGCAGCCACTTCAAGTCGAGCGGCTCGTCGGACCACTCCACCGCTAGCTCCACCGGCAGCCCAAACGGGCCGAGCTGCAAGCCGAGCTGGCAAAGCTGGCCGAGCTGGAGCTGGCCGAGCGAGACGGACTCCTGTGCCGGAGCGGGCGCGGCCGCCCGCTCCGGCGCCCCAAACATAGGGAATTGCTTCTGCGACGGCGGGTAGCGCGGCTGCAGCGAGGACGGCGCGTGCAGCCTCCCGCCGCCCGCCGCCCCCACCATCGGCAGCGCCGGTACCGAGGCCGCGGAGCGGCGGCGCTTGCAACGCGGTGGCGGCGCCTCGACCTCGTGATCCTCCTCCTCCTCCTCGATCAGCAGGTGGCCCCACGAGCGCCGGTTCTGCCGGCCGCGCCCCTTGGCCTTGCCCCTCGAGGCGTCCCCATGGGCGGAGGGCGTGCGCGAGCCCGCAACGGCACGCGAGCCGCCGCTGGACAGTGGCGAGCCGGGCAGCCGGCGAGAGGGCTCCGGTGTGAGCAATACCGGGCTACCCGCGCACCGGACCCCGCACGGCGACATCATCGCCGACTGCCGATCGTTGAGCTGCGCGTCGGCGAGGGCCTCTGGAGAGCGCGCGTAGCATAGTGCCGCCTCCTCGGCGGTGGCGAAGCGGCCGAGCGTCACGCGGCGACCGCCGCGCCGTACCTGAGCTCGGTACGGGTTTTTGAGTCCGACGGTGCTCTGGCTGTCGCGAAGGACGCCCCTGTAGCCGGACAAGCTGCTCGAGCTACGGAGGAGGACGAGCCCCTCCGCCGCGGCTTCGGCGAGGGCCTGGGCCGACGCGGCGTACAGCTCGGCCGCCGATCGGGAGGAACAGACAGCGTGCACCATTTTCGAGGTAGGTGCACTTTTCGAGATGGGTTCTTGCCTTCTTCCTGGTTCTCATGCTGGAACATATCGCAAGCAAGACGCCGAGAAGAAGAATTTATCGTACGTCTGGGCCCTCCCGTCGGGTTTTCCCAGCAGAAACTACACCTGCTAGCATGAAGAATTTATCGTACAAAGAAAAGCAGGTTCGATTCTCGGCGTGTAACCTCGAAGGGGCAGCCGGGGTCTCGCGTATAGGGTCGTACCCAGATGTAAAGTACAAGAAGCAGTTAAAAGCTGCTTCGCTCGCAGTTCGGCTACGCCGAACAAGGAGGAGAGGCGTGACACAATCGAGGGAAGAAACTCATGTGAGAGAGAGTCACGCGGGACAGGAGAGTAAAGTATGACGACCTCCTTCGCGGCCTCGGAGAGGGCAATGATCTCTGCCTCCGCCGTCGAGAGCGCGACACACTTTTGCTTCGTAGATCCCCACGCAACGCAGGCGCCCGTCGCGGTGACGTAACGCGCCAAGCGGAGGTGGAATAGCGAGTCTCCCACGAGGCGTCCGACGCGGCGGAGAGGCAGATCGGCTCGTGCGGTTTTGCCACTAACATCAAAATCCGGTACAAATCGACCTAGAAATCGACTTAGCCGAAACAGCTGACAGACAGACAGAGAGTACACAAGTTCAAACGAGCGCTGCGCCGTCGCCGCCGCGCACCCACACGAGCTAGATGGTCCCATAAGACGCCGCGAAGAAGAATTTATCCTGCATTCTGTCCGTTTGATTGCGAGAGTGGCGAGCGCGAGCGATGCGCAATCGCGGAGGTGCTTAGTGCTATGCGACTGCAAACCCGCGCTGCAGCAGATTGAGAATGCGCACCGCAAAGGGATGCCAGAAGGCCTGAGGGACTGGGAGAGAGGCGGGCTCCTGGAGGCGATCGCTTACTATAGATCGAAGCTAGAGGCGGTGGTCTTCATGTGGGTGCCAGCACACGTGGGAATAGCCTGCAACGCATACGCCGACGCGGTGGCGACAGCGCACCTCGGGGATAACGACTCAGAGGACGCCTCGAAAGTGGTGCGGGACGCGGTGCGGACGCGGCCATGCATGTACACGGTGCGAAGGGAGGCGGCAGAGAACGCAGAGAAGAGGGAGATAGTGGACCGACGGACGTACGGACACATGTGTAAGAGCGCGCACGAGTGGGTGTGCGAGCAATATCGAAAGACAGTGAGGCCAGGATCGCACACGGCAGGGGTGGCGGGACGGTTGTGGAGCGAAGTGGCAGTAGCCAGCCTCAAGCATCGATGGGATAATAAGATGAGATTACCGGACGAGAACGGGGGGAAGGACAGGCGGGCGACATTTGACGACGTCGGGGATCACAATGTGACGACCAAAACGATCCTGGGGGCCAGGGTGAGACAACAGGTCGGGGTGCCACACGGGGCACACCACAGGCGTATTCTAGAGGGGGAAAAGAAACGGGGAATGAGGGGCCCCGCCACGAGAAGTGCGTTCTGGGGATGCAGAGCGTGCAAGGCGGCTAGGGATGAGGCCACAAAAGAGGCGCGCGAGGCAAGGAGGAGACGCGGGGAACTGGGAGACTGGGACGACTGGAAACAAGAAGACAGTGAGCCACCACAGGCGTCGTTGGCGCACATACTGAGCGGCAGCTGCGCTGGAAATAAGGAAGAGGCGCGTCACTTCATGCGGAAGCTCGACAAACACGCAGCGAGGGCGACAGCAAGAGTTGAACGGGAGGCGCCGGACTCAAAAGACACCGCCACATTCCTGAGACGAGCGAGGGCAGCCTCCTTAAAGGCGAAAGGGTCTAGATTTGGAGCGCTCGCCGAAGAGGAGTACGACAAAATAGCGCCCGTGATTGCCTGCACGCTACCCGCACTCACGGACTCCATACCCGAAAGAAAGAGAAGGGAGCTCGCGGGAGAGGTGACGAGTGAACTACAGGTAGTGGGGAAGGCAGCCTCGATTGCCATACAGACATGGGTGCGAAACAACGACAAGACCAAGGCACGGGCAGAGGAACGAGAGAAGAATATAGGGTGGATAAAGCGCCTGTTCACGGCATGGAGGGTGAGCCACACCGAACGTACCGAGCGAAGAGCCGAGCGGAAGGAGGACGGGGAAGATGACTCCGAGGAGGACGAACCAGTGGAAATCCAGTTGTCAGATGTCACGATGCATCCGAAGGGGACCCCAGCGCCGGCATCATCCGTAGAGGCACGAGTGTTCGAAGAGAGAGTGGACCTGAGCAACAACATGACCTGTAGGCAAATGATCGGAGTGGGAGTCAGAAATGTGGTCCTTGCGCGAGGGGAGCTCGATAGACTCGAGGGGCCAGGATACGCCGCGAGGAGGACGGAGTTGCGCCGACAGGCGAAAGAAGCCGCGAGAACAAGGGACCGGCAGGCGGCGGCGTCGCAGGACGAGGCAGAAGAGAACAACGCGACAGAGGAGGAAGTGACAAGGGAGAGAACGACGAGGGTGGGACGACCGCGAGGTGGCATGAAGGTTGCAGCGAGAATCGGCGAGAGACTGCGAAGAGAGATAGGAAGAGGCAGACTCCCTAGGGTGGGCGACGGATAGCGCACCACACACCTCTCCTTAAAATCCCTGTGTGGTGGCGGCGTGCCTCCCATCCCTACCTTGGGTTGTCTGTTTGCTTTCTTTCTTTTTCTGCGAGAGTGGCACCGGCGTGTAACCTCGAAGGGGCAGCTGTGTGCAAGTGTGCTTCTCCTGGCTGAGCAACGCGAGGCCGCGAGTCTCAGTGACAGTGCTGTTGCAGAGAGAGAGAGAGATTTTTAGCAATTTTGTTTTGTTCTGTTGCACACATGAGCAGAGCCGCCCCGGACTGTCGGCGATAGGTGGCAAATGCGGGTCCTTGTCGGCGTGACGTCACCAATTCTACCCCTACGCCCTAGTCTAGCAGCAGCATTTAGAGAAAAGAGAGAGATCGTGTAAAAGAGAGAGATCGTGTTGTTGTTGTGAGCTGAGAGAGAGATTTTTGTGTTGTGAGCTGTGAGCCGTGAGCTGGAAGGCCGGAGAGAGAGAGATTTGTGTTTTGTTTGTAAGATCGCAGGCAGATTTTATGTCCCGACGAGGTGCCCGGCGCCGAGCTTTTAGCGGCGTCGGCGATGTTGCTGTCCCTTGGTGGTGCTCGTCTGAACACACGTGTCCCTCCATTCACACTCTCCCAGTTCTGAACACACGTGTCCCTCCATTCACACTCTCCCAGTCCTTCTGGCTCAGTGCCCGTCTTCTCCGCCCGCCGTCGGGCCCACCGGCCTGTTTCGTCTCCTATACGACGTTTCACCTAGAGCAAGCGGGGCGGCGCGCCCCCACGCCCATCCGTCAGCCGGGTGGGGCTTGCACGGTGCTCCCCCGTACGCCGTCGGCCCCGTCGTCGCGTGTTTTGCATTTATGGGAAGAGAGAAACGGTGCCTCCCCGCAAGTCCTCTCGACGCGTCGAATCATTGGCGCGGGCTTTCTCGGGGCTACAGGTCCGACCTCGAGTCCGACTCCACACACACACACCACAGCTTCGGCTGAGGGTTCCTGGGTTGACAAGCTGCCGAGCCCGAATCACTGGAAGAGTCGCGATTGCTTGTTGCGTTTTCAAAAATCTCGCTCTTTATGGGAGAGCAAGAGTAAACTTCAAACGGGATCGACGGACGAGGGAGTTCAGCACGATCCGCAGAGACTCTCTCTAAATTTGTCGTGCGAGGGAGCTTTGTTGTAAAACTCTATATACGTCTGGCTCCTGCTCCTGGCGCCAGGGGTGGGCTGGGGTGCGGTGTGTGCGCTGCGTGGGGGGACTCACTTTAAATTTGTCTCTCTCCCTTTTTGTTCGGAGTCTCGACCTCTCATATTAACGGTCATATTATCTCTATAGAAGAGTTGAACACAAGCCGAGGCGAGCCACAGGCCGCACCGATCCGGCAGCGGCACAGGTGTGAACGCCTAGTTGGTCCTGAGCCCTACGGCTTTGCTAGGGAAACGATATACTATTGTCACAAAAGATAGCACAGAGCCGCCGTACACAGTACACACCAAGGACCAAGTGCAAGAGACACACCACATACGCAAACACACACACACGGCTCTGGCGGCTCTCTAGCCCGCCGGGACCGAGCGGAGCGGCTCCGAAAGAGCAGCGGCTGCGGCGAATGCATTCTGCGCGATGTGCGGCACGGGTCGCCCGTCGGCCGTGACGCCCATAGGCGCGAGCAGGACGTCGTAGGTCGCCTCGTCCTCCTCGTCCTCGTCCTCGAGCGTCACCACGTACCGCGCCGCGGCGATGCCCGTCTCGGTCGGCAGCTCGAACATCCCTCGGTATTTTAGGCCCTGCTGCGGCTCGAGCCTCACCTTGCCCGTCGCCTCCACGCCGCCCAGCCCGGCCCCGCTCTCGGTGCGGGCCACCCCGCGCGCGTCGAGCACGGTCCACTCCCTCCCGTGGATGACGACGGGCGCCTGGAGCGCGGGGTGGGGTGGGGTGGGCGGCCTGGCGGGGCGAGCGGGGTGGGCGGTGGGGCGGGGCGTGTCGGGGCGTGGCGGGGCGTGGCGGGGCGGGGCGGGGCGTGGCGTGGCGTGGCGAGGCGAGGCGTGGGCGAGGCGCCGGAGGCGCTCACCGCACGGCCGTTGTGTATGTGGACGTCGTACTGAAAGGCGTGGCGCAGCAGGTCGGCGTCCGATCGGCTGGGGACGTACTCGACGGTGGCGCCGACGAGGACTCGGTACGAGCTAAACACCGAGGTTGGCGGCAGCTCCCTCGCCAGCACGTCCGCCTCGGGCGCGCAGGGCACAGACTGCGCCCGTCCTCCCCGATCCCCCAACAGCAATCGCCCGATGCTGGCGGAGAAGGCGCCCCCTCCGCCCCGCGACTCAAACTGGAAGGAGCCGTGCATCGCTCCGAGAGGCGCCGTCAGCGTCGCAGTGCCCGAGGTGGTGTAGCGCTGGCCTGGCGAGAGCACCGGCAGCCGGCCGCCGGCGCCGGCGCCCTTGACCTCCTCGACGCGGCCGTCGGAGGTCGTCGTCACCATGTGCCTGGTGAGCAGCTGCACTGTCGCCGCGCCAACGTTCTCAATCTCAATCGCGTAGCGCCATGCATAGCTTTGCGGCGCGCTTTGCCTCCGCTCGCCGCCTTCGGCACGCGCAAAGATGGCGACAGCAGCGGCGCCGTGCGTCGTACGCCAGGCTGACTCGGGTGGAATCGGAGTGCCGCATCGCATCGCGGCGTCGGGAACTGGCTTGCTCAGCCGGATGAGGTCGGGAGGGAGTGCGTCGTCGTCGTCGAGCTCGATTCGGTCGGTCGGGCTGCTGAACCAGAGCGCGACCAAAACAACGTTGAGGAGTGTGGATGTCGCTATCGAGCCAATGAGGCACCGCAGCATCTGGCTGATCAGGAAAGGTAGGGGCGGAGGGGCGCGGAGCGAGAGCGGTCGGCCCTAGCCGACTGAAAAAGCGAGAGCGGCCGCCGACTGAAAAAAGAAAGCGTCGCCCAGCCGAGATGTCAGTGAGGAATGTGTGTGTTGTCGTGCTAGTGTCTGGTGTCTACTAGCCCCGAGTAGAGGGGGCGTTCCGCTGCTAGGGGAAACCCGGAGCGCAGAGCCAACCCTCGGGGCCCCGTGTTTACTTTAAGGTTCTTCGGGCCAGTTGGGGGGGGCAAACCCTGCCCGGCCCCTAGAACCCCAGGTAAGGCCCAGGTATGGCCTAGGGCATCAGAAGGGACCAAGAGGAGTCCAGTCTGAGCCATAGAGCCCATGTCTTTGCCCCCGGAGGTCGCGTTCAAATGCCCGGAACGGCCGTCTCAGTGGTGTCCGGCCGGCGCGATCACCGAGCTGTGACGCTCAGGGAAGCCCGATGAGGTACTGGTTTCTTTGCCCAGAGCTGGCCTACGGCCCGTGCTAGATCAGCTGAGCAAGGTTTGGGGAGAATCCTATATTGGGATCTTCAGATATTTTGACGGATGACCGAAAATGGGCAAAAACGGTGGTGCGGGGCATGCGCCCCGTGGAGTGTTCGCTGCGAGGGAGAGGAAGGGAGGGGGAAGACTGGAAGTCGGGCGGAGGATAGCTTCCGAGAGGGGGGTAGGGGGCTGGAAGGCCGTCTCTATATGTCATCCGCCGCCGCCGCCGAGCCTCGTGAGGAGCGCTGCTCCGAGACGTTGGACGAGAGCCAATCGAAGCCCAGGCTCAACCCCTCCCCCGACACGGCGCAAGTCTCCTGAATGTGCCAACGGCGCTGCAACGGCTCCAGCTTGAGCTGCTTCGTGAGCTCGTCGGCCTGGATCGCGCCCTGGACGTCCTGCTTGTTCGCTAGGACGAGCAGAGCAGCCTCGGCGGGCAGCTCCGGCTCGCCGAGCAGACGGTGCAGCTCCTCGCACGCAGTCGCCACGCGCTCGCGGTCGGCGCAGTCGACCACGAATACGACGGCGATGGCGCCGATGACGAAGTGGTGCCAGAGCGCGCGCAGCTTGTCCTGCCCCCCAACGTCCCACAGTGAGTACGCGCATTTGGCATGTTCGACCTGCTCCACGGCAAACCCGATGGTTGGCTGCCTCGCCACCGCCGCCGCGCCTGCCTGTCCCGCCCGCCCGCCCTGGGACATCCTCTCGGTTATTGTCGTCTTGCCCGCCGCATCAAGCCCCACCATCAGCACGCGGTCCCAGTTGGCGGTGCGGGAGCCCCGCCGGCCGCGGAGGCTTCTGCGGAGCGGGGTCGGCGTAGCCCTCTTCTCCTCGCGCCTGGAGCCGAAGCAGCGACCAAAGCCGATGGCAAGCGCAACCATGGCGCCAGGTCCGTCCCGGCTCGCAGCAAGCGGGCGGCGGCGGCGGGCAGGCGAAACCCGCCCCGTCACTCAAAACCAGAGCTCTTATGTGCACAACGCGCCGCGCTGTTCTGGCGAGGGCGTTGGCCGGGGATCTCCGGGGCGGTGTGCCCCGCGTTTACGGGTTTCTTCTTTTGGCCCCAGAGTCTCTGGCGTGTTAGCCAATGTCCATCGAGGCTGCCGAGGCGGCCGTTGCGTCGAGCGGGCAGCGCGTGCGCGATCTCAAGGCGGAGGGTGCCGCCAAGGAGGTGGTCGAGGCGGCGGTTAGCGAGCTGCAGGCCGCCAAGGCCACGCTCACCGCCAGCGTCGAGGCTGCGCTGGCTTCGTGTGCCGAGGGCACGCCTGAGTACGACGTGCTCAAGGCCAAGCTGCCGGCGGCGGCTAAGCCCAAGGGCAAGGAGAAGAAGAAGGACGACGCGCCCCAGAACGACCGTGCGGCCGCCAAGGCGGCGCGCGCGGCGCAGCGCGGCGCCAAGGCGGAGGCCAAGGCGGCGACCAAGGACGAGGCGGTCCTCGGGCCAAACCTGTCGCAGGCGGAGATGGACTCGGCGGAGTTTGGCAACCTCTTCATCCAGTCGACCCACGCCGCGACCCGCGCCTGGACCGGCGTGAAGGAGCTCGTCCCGAGCCTCGCTGGCCAACAGGCGTGCGGCCGGCACGCCTAGCGGAGAGAGTGTTGGCGAGGCGGCGGCGGCGGCACACCCGCGAGCGCCGCCCGCCCTCAACCCGTCCGCAGGTGTGGGTGCGCGCTCGGGTGGCCACCTCGCGCAAGCAGGGCAAGGCGCTCTGCTTCCTGCAGCTGCGGCAGTCGATGCACACCGCGCAGGCCGTCGTGTTTGCCAAGGAGGGCGAGCTGGTCGGCTTCGCGGCGACGCTGCCGCGCGAGTCGGTGGTCGACGTCTTCGGCGAGGTGACGCTGCCCGCGGAGGCGGTGGCGTCGTGCTCGCAGTCCGCCGTCGAGCTGCAGGCCTGACCCTTCCCCGACCCTTCCCCGACCCTTCCCCGACCCTTCCCCGACCCTTCCCCGACCCTTCCCCGACTCTTCCCCGACTCTTCCCCGACCCTTCCCCGACCCTTCCCCGACCCTCCCCCGACCCTCCCCCGACCCTTCCCCGACCCTTCCCAGGTCCGCCGCCTCTACTGCGTCTCGCGCGCGATGCCCGAGCTGCCCCTCCAGCTCGAGGACGCTGCTCGCTCCGACGAGCAGCTCGCTGCAGACCCCTCTCTCACCCGCGTGAACCAAGACGTGCGGCTCAACCACCGCGTCATCGACCTGCGCACCGCGGCCAACCAGGGCATCTTCCGCCTCCAGTCGGCGGTCTGCGAGCACTTTCGCGGCTTCCTCCTCTCGCAGGGCTGCGCCGAGACGCGCGCCCGCCGAGGAGGACACGAGGGGCACCTCTCGGGCCAGCTCGGCTCCTCTCGCCGTTAGGCTTCACCGAGATCCACTCGCCCAAGATGATTGGCACTGCCTCCGAGGGCGGCGCAGACGTCTTCCGCGTCGAGTACTTTGGGCGCGCCCTCCGAGAGATTGGCCCGAGATGGCCCGAGATGGCCCGAGATGGCACGAGATGGCACGAGATGGCACGAGATGGCACGAGATGGCACGAGATGGCACGAGATGGCACGAGATGGCACGAGAGTCCGCGTCGGGAGTGTGGGCGCCCCCGCGCGCCGTCGCACGGCGAAGGAGTCGAGACGAGAGATGACGACCGGTGGTGGTGGTGCATCAAGGCGCGACGCGTACCTCGCGCAGTCGCCGCAGCTGTACAAGCAGATGGCGCTGATGGCGGACCTCGACCGCGTCTTCGAGGTCGCGCCCGTCTTCCGCTCGGAGAACTCGCTCACGCACCGGCACGGGACCGAGTTGAATTAGAGAAATGAGGAGAGCAGTCTAGTATTCTTTCACCTGTGTGAATGTTTCAGGCACATGACCGAGTTCGTCGGCCTCGACATGGAGATGACCTTCTTCGAGCACTACCACGAGGTGCTCGACATGCTCGACCGCACCTTCTGCGCAGTCTTCGACGGGCTGAACCAGAGCCACCAGGAAGAGCTCGCCGCCGCGCGCTTCACGAGGAGGTGTGAACAGCGTCTCTTCACACCCTCTGCTGTCAACAGGAAGAGCTCGCCGCCGTGCGCGCGCAGCACCCCTTCCGCGACCTCCGCTACCGCTATCCGTGCCTCCGCCTGCGCTACGACGAGGCGATGGCCCTGCTGCGCGACAAGGCGCCCCCGCCCCCCCACCCCTCTCCCGCACCCCTCCTCCCCGCGCCCCTCCTCCTCGCACCCTCCCCACACCCTCCCTGCCCCCAACCCCCCCACCCCCACCACCCCCGGGCACTTCCCCCCCACACCCGTTGCACCTTCCCGCACCCCCCCCCGCCAAACACCCTCCCTATCCGCGGCCCACAAGTACCCGCGCCCCGTTCCACCGCCGCCCCCCTCCCCCACCCCCCCCTCCCTCCCGCCCCCCTCGCCCAGGGCCCCGCCAAGCTCGCCGAGAAGCTCGACAGCGAGACGGACGAGCGGGCGCGGGCGCGCATCCGCGAGCGGCTTGACGCGCGCGGCCCGGAGTCGCTCGCCGAGCACGCCGACACCGAGGACATGGGCACCGAGGACGAGAAGCTGCTCGGCGAGATCGTCGCCGAGCTGCACGGGCAGGACTACTACATCATCGACAAGTTCCCGGCCGCGGTCCGCCCCTTCTACACGATGCCAGACCCGACCGACCCGCGCTGGTGCGCGCCCCTCTCCCGGCCCCGGTCGCGCGCGCCTGGCCCCCGCCCCTCACCGCGCCGTGGACTCGCCCGCCAGGTCAAACTCGTACGACATCTTCATCCGCGGCGAGGAGGTCACCTCGGGCGCGCAGCGGGTGCACGACCCCCAGATGCTGCTCGACTGCGCCAAGGAGAAGGGCGTCGACCTCTCGCCCATCTACTCGTACGTCGACTCGTTCAAGTACGGCGCGATGCCGCACGCGGGCGGCGGGATCGGCCTCGAGCGCGTCGTCATGCTCTTCCTCGGCTTGCCAAACATCCGAAAGTCGTCGATGTTCCCGCGCGACCCGAAGCGGCTCAACCCGTGACGAGGCCCCGCGAGGAGCGAGGGCGGCGGGCCGCTTCCGCATAGGCCTCGGCCATGGGGCCACTGGCCCGAGCGCCGAAAGAGGAAACGGCCGCGTTGCCATTGGGTGCGCGCTGCCGCGCCGGCCGAGCGCAGACTCACACGTCTGGCTGGCCCGCCGTTGTATGCAGCCCTGCCGGAGCAGCACCACACCCGGCGGGCCACCCCCAAACCCTATGGCCTTAAACCACGGGCAACGCCTCGGTATACAAAATGCGTCTGCGGGCCCTTCTGCTAGGCACGGCAAAAAGAAATCTAAGGGCGAGAGAGCTGCGAGCAGAGGCGCAGGCGACAACAACAACAACGCTTTGGAATGGAGGAGGCTAGCACGATCGACAGCCTCGCCGACGAGCTGTGGGTGTCCATCGCAGCTTTCCTGCCAGCGGCTGACCTCCTCCGCTTCGGCAGCGCGTGCCGCCGTGCGCATGGGCTACCGACCGACGCCCTGTGGCGCGCGCTCTGTGAGAAGCGTTGGGCGGGCTGGCCGCACTACAAACTCTCTCCGGCTCGCGAGGCGTGGCTGGAGGAGAGGCTTCCAGCCACGACGTGGTGCGCGCGGTACCAGCACACCGAGACGGATGCGGCACGCACGACCATGACGCACGAGGACGTCTGCAGCTTGAACTGGCACTTCAACTTTACGCCTTCGGCGGGCGGGCAGGGCAAGAAGTCGCTCATGAAGGCGTCGTTTTCGGAGACGCAGCTCTTCATCCCGGAGTTTGCGCCGCTCGACTACCAGCTCGTGACGCCCGGCGGCATTGGGGCGGCGGCGCCGGAGGCTGCTGGAGACGGCAATGGCGGGGCGCTCTACGCGTTCCACAGCCTTGTGACTCAGCTCCTCACTGGCGCCGGCGAGGCGGCGGCGGCGGGCGGGGGCGGCGACGGGACGCAGCGGCAGTTCCTGCAGATCTCGCACTTCCCGCCGCACTGGGTGGAGCGGCTTGCAGACAGCCGCTGCTGGCTGGTGTACAACGACAACGTGACTTTGGTCTCGTGCGGGCCGGACTTTGAGCTGGGCGACTACGACGAGCGAGGGTTCCTCACGGTCCCCACACCGGCGGGATAGACGCGGGCGGACAGGCCGGCGAGCCCCGGCCGCGTCGGTTTTTACGATTTTCTCCCCCCCTTCCGTGAGTGCTTGCTGCTTCGATTGTTCTTACGTTTTAGTAAATCTGGTCTGAGCTCTGGGTGTTCCGCTCGAGTGTCTCTCACTGTGTTAGCCATGTCACCAATGAGTGTTTTCGCAGATCTCCGACTGCGACTCCGTTGCGTTTCCGGACACGGACAGCACCCGCGCGAGCGCGGAGGCCCGCGGCCGCGCCCCGCGGTCCGCGCGGTCGTCTCTCACACTCCACAATCTCCATTCATGTGCATGCACATGTAGTACATGCACATGCATCAGTAATAGATTTACTATTTTTAGTTATATTGTGCTCTGTCCGATATTGTGATTACTCTATACACACACGCGTCTTCTCTCTCAACCTCCCCGCGTCTCGTCGTGCCGGTCGTACCAGCACACGCCTGCCCCACAGCGTTCGCAGTCGGCGGGCGGGCGGCTCGAGAAGGAGAGGAGGACGGGGGGGGGCGGCCCCTCCCCCTTCGGCAGAGAGCCCACCGCCGTCTCCGGCAGCCTCTGCTCTCGCCAGCGCTCCGCCTCGAAGCTGCTCGAGGCGGGCAGTTGCACGAAGTCGGCGCAAGAGGGCGAGGCCGGCCGCCGCTCGTCGGCAGCGTGGGGCGGCGGCAGCGGAGGCGCTGGCGCGTGCGCCGCGGAGGGGCGGTCGTTCCAAAAGTTGACGAGGACCGTCCTCCTCGGGGCCTCGTCTGTCGGCCGCGGGCCGCGCGCAGTGCCGAGCGGCTGCAGCACGCCGTGCAGGAGATCTCCGCGGAAGAGGAGGAGCTGGTTCGGCGTCGGGAAGGCGAGCGCTGCGTGCGGAGGGAGAGGAGGCTCTAGCGTGGAGACGCCGCGGGCAACAACGCACCGCCGCTGCGCAAAGACGGCGGTCGCGCCGCCGATACCGTCCAAGTAAAAGACGGAGGATAGCGCCGGGTGCGCTACGCTGCTCTGGACGCCGTCTCGGCCCGGGAGAAGGCAGAGGTCCTGGTCGGTGTGGAACTCCTTTGGACAGTCGTCCAGAGCCTGCTCCTGCACCCACCACTCCCCGCCGGCGAGCCCGGCGGCCTCGTCCGCATGTAGTGGGGATGCCCCGCGTCGAATGAGCCGGTAGAGAGCGGCGACTAGCTGCTCGATCGGATGGGCCGCTGGCTCCTCGTCCGTGAGCGGCGCCCAGTGAGTGGCGCAGAGCGTTCTATGCATTGAGTCTGGCAGTGGCGGCTGCTCACTGTCGAGATACACGTTGACGGCCTGGACAACCGCAGCCAGCAGCGAGGGGTGCAGGACATCGCGGTAGACTGCGACTTCGCGCTGCATGTGAACTTGGCGGCTGATGTGTCGGCGCTGCTGACTGCACTCGGGTGGATCCAAAAGAAATTTCGAACATTTAGTGATACAATGCTAGCGCATACACCGCTCTCCTTAAAATCCCTGTGTGGTGGCGGCGTGCCGTCCTCCCATCCCTCCCTTGGACCGTGCGGGCTGTTTTCTTTCTTTCTTTATCCAATGTCGGCGTGCCGTCCTCCCGTCCGTCCTTTCTCTTCTTTCTTTCGATCCTTGCCTGCCTTTCACTTAGGCTCGAGTCCCACTCGAGCTTGAGCACTTGAGCACTGGATAGGGCCGATTCCGCATGCGGCATGGTAGCTTGGTACGGGACCCCTCTCACTCGAGCTTTCTCACTCGCTCCCAAAAGCGCACACGCCGGCCGCCTACTCGAAACGGCTTAAGCGAATGCCGCGGCGAGTCGGTTCTCGCATTTTCGTCCCGTCCTGTGCGCTCCGAGCGTTTTTTATCTCTCGGTGAGTGGGGGGCCGAGCCGCCTCGCCCTCGGGGTGGCGGGCGGCCGGGCGGCCGGGCGTTTTGAAAAAACAGAAAACAGAAAACAGAGGGGTGCCAGGGCCCACACTACGTAGACACGCACGCACCTGGCTCCTGGGACAAGGCGAGAATCGCAGCATGCAGTTCAGCGGAGCCCGGAGGGGGCGACGTCCCGACACGGCAGGTTGGAGCTGACCTGAGGGAGGGTGTAGAGGATGTAGAGTGTAGAGCGCTGTAGAGCTGTAGAGCTGTAGAGCGCTCTGGAGCGCTGTAGAGCTGTAGAGCTCTACATCCGGCGCGGGACGAACTGCGTGCGTTGTAGAGCGATGTAGAGCGCGATTTTGCTGTAGAGTTTGTTGTAGAGGCTCTACAGCCAAACCGCCGGGAAGGCAGTGACTCAAAGAGGTCGAGCCGCGCTAATGGGGTGTCTCCGAGCTTACTGGAGCTCTGATGGACGGCTCTGACTATCCCTGACACACAGAGAGTCACTCTGACGGCACACAACACCCTATAACTGCGTCATGACCAGCCTGCCATGCGTCGCCGGTGCCGCATTCGTCGCAGTGCTTCTTTAGCAGGCGGTGGACTGTCGGCTGCGAGGACGGTCGCATTTGCGCGAGGCGAGGCGAGCATTGCTGCGCGTTGCATGCGCCATAACTCGCGCCAGCAGCGCGTGCGGGAGCTCCTGGCTGAGCGTTGAGTCCAGGCGAGTTGCGCTGGCCACGATCGCTACGCCGAGCCGAGCTGACGCGCCGAGGCGCCGGCCAGTCGCAGCCGTGAGGCATGCCACAGCAGCAGAGGCACCTGCCACCCATTGGGCGGGCAGACAGAAGGCCAGGGCAGCACTGGCAAGTGCAACGCGCCTCACGTGCTCACGTCGGAGAGCGACCGTGCCTCGTTCGCCGCTTTTGATGTATCTAGATACCCTTGAGTCGTCTGATGTGTATAGGTGTGTACAAGAAACTATTTCTGAACGCCTAGACGCCATTCCTTGAGGCTTGGTTATGTGAGTGGGGTGGACCCACAGATCATGCAGGAGCAATAGGGAAGAAATCCGCAGGTACGTTTTGGAGCTATGAAGGGTTAAAGTTGGAGTTCCGAGCAGCTCCTCGGGGCCGGTCGGGGAGGCACTCTCGGGGAGGCTTCTAGCGCGCCAATCACTCAGCTAGCAGCTCCTAGAAGGCCGAGGTGTAACTCATATGATTTCAGATATATATGAGTTACTTCACTTTGGCTTAAACCGGCTGTGCCCGAGCTTGACGGTGCGCCACGCTGCCACCACCGTTGCTACGTTGGCCGCTCGGGCCTCACCTCACTCTCTCCGGCCCCTTCTCTTGGGTCTTTGTCACCTAGGTCCTCCCCTGTGCACAGCTCAGAAGATATCTTGGGTCCCTCTTCCTAGCCCCTTATACACACTTCTTAGCTTTAAGGAGCCGCATACACAAGACAGCCTGACTACGACAACAAAGTGGCCGTTTCACGGAGCACCGTGTTGCCTTCGGTGGCAGCGGTGGCAGGGTGGTGTGGCGCAATAACAACCTCGACCCGCGAGCCCTTGCTTGGCATGCTAGCAGGGGCATGTCCTGCTTGACCAGGAAGGCCAGTCTCTCCACCTCTAGAGCCTGGGGCGGCGAGATTCAGCGAGACTGCTGCGATTTCCCGGCTCGCGACCCGTCTGCTGTGCGAGCAAAGGCGCACTTCGGGCGCCGTGGGGGGCGCAAAAGCGCGTTTCACGCTGCACATCTGACTAGAGAGTTGTAGTCCCGGGTCCGCACTACAACCCCAGAGTCGGAGATTTGGTGTCAGTCGCTTGTCCGCGCCCTCCAGGGCGCGCGGACTTCTGGGACTTGCATGGCGGCTCGGTCGCGCCCCGTGAGCTGTGCGAGCAAAGGCGCACTTCGGGCGCCGTGGAGGGCGCAACAGCGCGTTTCACGCCGCACATCCGACTAGAGAGTTGTAGTCCGGGGTCCGCACTACAACCCCAGAGTCGGACATTTGGTGTCAGTCGCTTGTCCGCGCCCTCCACGGCGCGCGGCGTGCGAATACAAAATCGGCCCGACTTAGCCATTCTGAGCACCGTGTTGCCTTCGGTGGCAGCGGTGGCAGGGTGGTGTGGCGCGAGAACAACCTCAACCCGCGGGCCCTTACTTGACATACCAGTAGGGGCATGTCCTGCCTGACCAGGAAGGCAGCCGCATACACAAGACAGCCTGACTACGATAAACTCTCACAGCTCCCGGGCACACTCTCACAGCCTACTAGGTACGTCGGCGCCCGGCCGGCGGGGAAGAGTCGCCGCCATCCCGGCCACGCTTGCTCCTTCGGACAGTGCGGCTCTTTTTTGCCCCATCCCTTGGCAGCTGCGCCTCTGGGGCCGCCTCAGCCTCGGCAGCAGGCTCACGGGGCCGCTTTGGGGGCTTGGCGTTGGCCGTGGGCTTGGCGGCGGGCTTGGCGGCAGGCTTGGCGGGGGGCTTTAGTTGCCGTGCTCCTGCAGCCACTCGGCACATTGACGCCGAATGCTGGCGGGCGTCGCCGCTCCAAAGAGCCACCCAGCGTCTTGCTGCTCGCAGTACGCGAAGGAATTGAAGAGGCACGAACCGTCTGGGGTCTGGGCCACGAGAGTACCGCGCCGAACGACAGCCTCCACGTCTGGGGAGAGGTTGCGCCTTGGGCCTTGCAACTGCGCGTCCGGATGCTTCCCGCGAGGCTTCGGGAAGTGTGGGCAGTCTATGGTCCGATGACGTTCGCCGCACCTGTCGCAGCAGGCCATGAGGCGAGACTCTCGAGCACCTTGGCACTCGCGCGAGAGCTCGACTTTTGACACGCGTGAAAAAGAATTCTACCTGCGTCTCGACACTGGAGCGCCGGCCCGCGACACCATCACCCGACGAGCGCCGGCCGCTAGTGATAGCCGCGCCACGCACGCGACGCGGCGGCGTTTCCTCAGGTACGTGAGTGTTGGTGGCGCTGTCGGTGGCAGCGCCACCGCAGGCATGGCACGGTGCGCTTGCCGCCTGGACGCGACGCCACGGCCGTGCGCGCGATGACGAGCGCCTGCGGCGCATCGCCGCCACGATCACGGCACACCGTGAAGTGACACGCGACGTGGCGTTTCCTCACGGCACGTGAGTGTGCGGTGGTGGCGCTGTCGGTGGCAGCGCCACCGCAGGCATGGCACGGTGCGCTTGCCGCCTGGACGCGGCGCCACGGCCATGCGCGCGATGACGAGCGCCTGCGGCGCATCGCCGCCACGATCGTGACGCACCGTGGAGTGAGGTCGGGAGAGAGCAGGGAGTGTGTAGTGAGAGGCGCAATGGGCCCACCGAGAGGCGCCGCACCGCGTGCTTCAATGGGACGTCCACGAGCGAGGCAACGGCGAGCCAACGGCACCGTCCGCCGCAGAGCGCCAGCGCGGCGCGCCGAAGCAGCGAGGAGCCGCGCGCCGCCGCCCAGCGGCGCCTCGCAACAGCACACTCCGCACCGAGCAGTCGTCGAGGCTCTGCCGGGTGAAGTCACAGCCTGTTTGCATCGCCGACGCGTGGCTCAGACGCGTGCGGCGACGCTGCTGGGTCCCTCCGTGTGCCTGGGAGTGCGTGGACCGGCAGCTAAGGCTGTGGCGGATGGCTCGCCGGCGACTCGCTCGACGCTCGCAGCACTCGGCGGCGAGGAGGCGGCGCAGCCGAGTCGCGTCGCGAGCCACCGCTCGGGCCTGCTGGCAGCCTGCTGCGGACCCTGTGGCACCCGCCGGCCACGAGTGGAGCCGGGAGGAGGCCACGGGGGCGCTGCAAAGGCGGCGGCGGCGGCCATCCTGCGGCGTGTCGCGCCAGACGAGTGGGGGATACCAGGGTAGAGTTGTTGTAGAGATTTCACGTTGTAGAGCGCCTTGAGCACTTGAGCACTTGATAGGGTCGATTCCGCGTGGTACGGGACCCCTCGATCGTCTCGCCCTCCCTCACTGGTGTGTTCATTGGGTGGGGTCCTAACAAACACGGTACATACATACATACAGGATCGAGGTGCACGCTGCCAGAGAAGCAGTGTCGTCCCCCCTCTCCCCGACGGCGATGGCGGTGTGACCGATCGAGCTACAAGAGGAGCTTGTTCAGCAGGATCCAGGATAGTCAGATGCACTACCTCACTGGGCCTGAGATCACCGTACGACAGCATCCCGTCACCGCCTCGGATTTGTGTGGAGTCGAACCACTCCGGGATGGGCACGCCCACCGTTCCCACTTGGTTAATTGTCAAAATTCCTGTTGTGCAAGAGGGGAGGGGGCTCTGACGGAGTGTGTGGCGGGAGAGGGCAGGGAATGGGCGCGGGGGAAGGGGGGGGGGGGGGGGGGCTCAGTCGTGCAAAAAGCATCAATTAATAATATTAATGAAGAAATATTGCTCGGCCGTTCATGAAGTCCGTCTTGATCTGGAGGAGACGGGTCAACCCCGTGAGGACCAGATCAGGTTCACATTGTCGTAGCCGGAGGGGATGTTGACCTTTAGCTCTTGGGGCCACCCTTGCGCTTTGGTTTTTTTCCCACAGACCACTCGGGCAACTTTTACCAAATGCCAAAGTTGCACTTTACCACTCGGGCAAATTCGACGATTGCATTTTACCACTCGGGCAAACTCGATGAAACGGCGGACGGAAAACGCGTTCGCGGCCGCTCGCTCGCCGGAGAGCTATGCATGAAGCGGCCGGCGCGCCACCGCCGCTCACCGATGGAGCTTGCGCCGCGGCTCAATCCACAGGCGCAGCAGCATTGCGACGCATTCTCCAAGCACGGCCTCTGGCGTTGCGAGTGCACAGAGAGCGAGCATCAGTCGACAAAAGCACTGATCTGTGGGTAGCAGATCTCCATGTCGGTCGCGCCCTGCGCGAGGACAACCGCGGGCCTCGGATGCTCTTGCCCGGACGCGGACCCGCCGTGCGAGTTGCAGACCCGGAGGAGGCCGACCCAGCTCACCCCCAGAGAGGCCATGCCCAGGGTCAACCATAAAAGGGGGGGCCGTTTCCGTCCGTCCGACTTTTTTCCTACATCGCTCTACAACGCACGCAGTTCGTCCCGCGGCGGATGTAGAGCTCTACAGCGCTACAGCGCTCTACAGCTCTACAGCTCTACATCGCTCTACACTCTACATCCTCTACATCCTCTACACCCTCCCTCAGGAGCTGACCCCGGCGCCCGGGAGAGAGAGAGAACAGCGATGGCAGCCCCCAATGACCGTAGACATGACGAGCCGACAGCGATGCAGCGGCAGCGAAGGCGGCGAGGAGGGCCCGCGTTGCAGAGCTCCGCCGGGCGGCAGCAGAGACATCGGCGGACGGGGGAGCACGGGACACGTCGGCATAGGAGCCAGGGGGGGTGGGAGAGTTGAGTCAGGTGCAACAGCACCGTCTCCTCTGGGGAGGCGCGGGGGCCCCCGGAGGCACCGTGCGCCGCGCCGCAGTGCGGAAACGGGGCCCGGCTCTATTAGCCTCTATTAGCACCAACTTCCCGATTAAGCTAGGTTAATCAGAGGGCAGATTTGGAGAGATCTCGAGGAGTACACACAGATAGACCCTCCAACCATGAGAAGCCTCCAACCTGATCGGTCGTACTGTGCACTGCTGACTGCTGCCACAATGTGCGACCTGTGCTGGCCCACTCGGCGGCCTTCCCGGTCAGTGGTGAGGCGCAGTTCAGAGCTGTCGATGGCGCGATGCCGCACTGGTCCCACATTGGTGACACGAGACCACCACGTTTGCCGGTCCAAGAGAGAGGTACCGGTGCTGTCCTGAGAAGGTGCGTGGTCCCTCTTGACTGCCCATGCGCGCGAGGCTCTGTTTTGGCATAGGCTCGAGAGTGCCCGGCAGCCAATTCGAGGCAGTTTGTGACACGCATTGCGTCAGAAGCGTGCACGCAGCTGGAAGGGCACCTTCCTACTGGCCGTACGATCAGGTCGTCACTGAATGCTTGATACTAAGGCCGCGAGCTATGCAGGCGGTCAGTTGTGCAGCAGGACACGGCCAGCAGCGCCGACAGGCTGTCGCAAGGCGTGATAGCATGGCCGCAATACGCCGAGTTCCCATAAAACAAGTAAAAAAATCGGGCAAAAAATCTCGAAAAAATCGGCGCCTGCGGCGGGCCATGGGACCCCATCTCTCCCCCGCATGGGTACCCTCTAGGGCCCCCGCGCCCCCCCACAGAGACCGTCTCGGCAGCGAGGCCCATGATGGCGACGGCGGCGACGTAGGCGAGACAGCGGCGAGGGTGGCGACGGTCACGATGAAGGTGGCTTGACGAAATGGATGACGCTCGCCACACATCGCGCGCAACATGTGACATCCTCCAGGCTGTCGTCGTCCTCTAGGCGGCGCGCAGCGCGCCTCAGAGGCGGCGGGCGGGCGCCCACTCACCGAGAGAGGTCAAAAACGCTCGGGGCCTGAGCTTGTGAGGTTGTGTGCGCACCGCCGCGCTGTGATGTGTGATGAGCTGTGAGCTCACACGTCACAGCTCACACAAAAGCACGACCCCGGGCCCGAGATCGCACAGCATTCCTCCTAGGTAGGTAGGTAGGTAGGAAGGTGAAGAACAGTCAGGCTCCTCCTCACGCTCGGCTCTATCTAGGTCGCTTGTCCAGGCGCAGCACGTACCGCAGACTTAATTTCAGATCTCACGCACAGATCTGAGACACGGTTGAGAGTGTCTCGGGTGCAGGGTGTGAGGCGCTGCACCGCACGTACAGCAGGCATCTCTCTTCTCACGGGGTGCTCATGTCAAACATTGAGTTTGGATCCGCCGCCGCCTCGAGCACTTCCCTGCTTCTGAGCTTATCAAACGCCTTGGCACTGTGTTTGCGCCGGTTGTGCTGGCGCATCGTCGACGATCCCGCCGCGACTGCCTCTGGAACGTGTCTCACGACCTGCTGCCGGGGCTCAACGGAGGCAGCCAGCGTTCCCGAGTGCGCCAACGAGCCGCTGCCACCGCTCAGGAGGTAGACGCCGGCCGCTGCACCCAAGGCGCCGATGAGCAGCAGCGCCGCGCGTGGGCGACTTTTCTCGTCATCCATCCAGGTGTACTCCTGCGTGGCGGTGGGGGGGGGAGAGCGGTATGTTTTGCGCGCAAGCACGCGCGTGGCAATGGCGAGCGGCGGCCGAACGAGAAAAAGAATTTCGAAAGACAACAGGCAATATTGCAAGAATCTCCCATCCCTCCGTAGGGTTGTCTGTTCTTTCTTTTCTTTTATGCCAATAATCTCGTGGGGGCGTTCAGGGCGGCTCGCACACACACACACACACACACACACACACACACACACACACACACACACACACACACACACACACACACACACACACACACACACACACACACACACATGCATGCACAGACACACAGCCCCTTCCCCTCCCCCCTCAAGACCTTCCCAAGGGTGAGGACACGCGCAGGCCGCACCTCTAGTGAGGCCCGCATAGTATGTGGGAGACTCATGCCGCCGCCCCTGCCACCCCTGTGTCAGTGTGCCCGTGGTAGTGAGAGACTGCCGGTGAGAAGCCGGAGGAAGGTCGCTAGACTGAGATGAGACCGCCAGTGGAGTTGGGATTCCACCGTGCACCGCGCTGCGAGCCTGTCGTGTCCCTTGTCAGGAGCAGGAGAGCCCACCTGTGCCCCTGATCGTCCTTCCAAAATCCTGCTCGTGCAGGTGGGGAGGGGTGGAGGGGACGGATTGAAGATCCCTCACACCAAGATCGTGCAGGGCGGGGACACATGTCCCTAAATCCCATCTCGTCTCAGATAAATAAATAAATAAAAACGGACACCTCTACTGTGAGATGGGTAAAAAGGAACAGGTCCCCGCCCTTGCGATCTTTGTGCAGGGTTCTTTGTGGGTGTGGTCGGCGACTAGCCGGGGTCGTCCTCCCGATGGGGGACTAGCACTAGCCGTCTTGGTCCACACATGGTCCCTCGGGTCCCTGCTGCTCCTAATCTCTTCGTACATCCTCCTGCTGATCTCCGCAAAGTCCTCCTCCCTCCCTCGTCTCGCCCTGCGCGTCTGCTCCGCCTCACCGTCTTCTGCCCTGCGTCGTCTGGCGACGGGTCCTCCATAGTCGGTCGAGGTCGCCGCCCTCCTCGTGCCTCTTCCCAACGTTCCCTCGGCGGCCGATGCCGTCTGGTCCGGCTCCGCCGTCCCCGGGTCTGCCCTGCTCTCTTCTGCGCTAGTTTCTGTTTCGTCATCACTGGCGTTCCTCCTCTTCTTTCTCCCCTTCTTGTATGCTTTGTACATCGCGTCGATTCCCTTTCGCGTGAGCACCATCCTGAAGCCCGCCCAGCAGCTGAACCGCTCCCTAGGTCGAAGGAGCATCGTCAGTCTCACCCACTTCGCTCGCTGCCCACCGTCTCCGCTCCCTCCCGCTTGAGCCGCCGTCGCGGCCCTCGTTCGTCCCACTGGCTGCTGGCCTGTCTGCACGTTACCTCCGTTATCCCTCCTCCTCCGCGACTCCCTCAAGGCCGGCCGGGCCTCCTTCCACCCAGTGAAGAGCTTCCTCAGCCACTCGATGTGTTCCTCTCTCTTCATTATGCGCGCCGTAGCCTCACCATTGAGCTGGATCCACCTCTGCACCGCTCCCGTCGCCGCCTCGGCCACGATTTGCAAGTTCCTCGTGACCCCGGCGCCAAGGTCCCTCCGACTCTTCTCCGAGAGATCATCTACCAGCGCCGGCAACACCCCCCCGACGGCTGGGGCTAGTGCATCGTACCCGTCCTTCATCCAGCACCCTATAGCGTGAGCCCTTCAGCGCAGCGACATGCGCCATCCTCAGCGTCTTCAGCGTATCCTTGGAGTCGGGTGCCGCCTGTGCTACTTTGCTGATCGTCGTCCCCGTCTGCGCTCGCGCTACTCTGAGGAACCATCTGGCCTGCTCCCTATTCCCCAGGCAGGCGCCGCTAAGCAAGTGCGCCATCGTTGCTCTAGGCGGGTTCTCATCTTCCTCGGTCCATTGCTGCGCGGCTTTCCGCACGATCGGACACAGCGGGTCTCGCTTTAGTGCTGCCCTCCTCGCCGCGTCCCTCGCGGCCTTACAGACGAGGCAGCCCCTGAGTTCGCTCCTTGTGGCGGCGCCCGGGGTCTCTCTCTCCCCGCCTCTCCCCGCATAGTCCTCTCATAGTCCTCTCGTGGTGCGCTCCGTGTGGCACCCCCGCCTGCTGCCGCACCCGCGCTCCCATGACGGTCTTTGTCACCACGTTGTGATCATCCACGTCGGCGAATTGTATCTCGCGCTCGCCGTGCTGATCCTCGATCCGCTGGCGCTTGTCCCATTTGTGTCTCGTCGTTCCCCTGACCACATCGCTCCACAGCGGCCCCGTCACCCCTGCCGTGTGCGACCCCGCCGTGAGCCCCTCGCCGAGCCGTCCTCGCACCCACTCGTTCGTGTGGCCGCGCGTGGCGTAATAGGTCCTCATCTGGTCTCAGATCTCGTCTCAGAGTTTTTGACCGTTTAAATTATTTATTTATTTACCCTGTCCTCCTCCCCTATCCCTCGTTTGGTTTGTCTGTTTTCTTTCTTTCTTTTTACAATAATCTATGCATAAAGAGAACGGGGACGAGAAAGCGCCTCTACACGCCCGCGTAGCCGAGCTCCTGGTCGTGGGGAGGGAGCGGGCTTGAGCGCACCAGTGAGGACGTGGCGTGGGGTGGTGGGGGTTGCCGGGGCGGGCCCAGTGTATGCCGCGAGGGGGAGCTCGCGCCTCGTTCAGCCGCAGCATCTCTGCAACCTTCGCGTCCCGCTCCGCCTGCGCGCGAGACACCGGCGGGAGGGGAATGGACGGTGCAGTGGCTTGCGCGCGTGCGGGGCCGCGCCGCCGCGCCGCCTCCGCCGCCGCCGCCGCTAAGCGCTGCGCGGGCGGGGGGGCTGCGCCTCCTCGTCCTCGAAGCGAAACGCCTCGACCTCGGCGATCTCGAGCTCAAAGGGCGCCGTCTGCTTGTCTGCGACGAGCAGGCCGACCTCCTTGAGCGTCTCGAGGTTCATCGCCTGGCTGTGCTGCACGTAGCCGCGGGAGGTGAGCACGAAGGCGGAGAAGGGGAGGCGCAGCTCGCACCAGTCGCCCAGGACCGGAGACGGAGGCATGCGCGCCTGGTAGATGTCGACGTCCTCCCCGCCGAGGATGCCCACCGTCCGCAGGTTGAGCATGTAGCCGCGCCCGTCCGGCCGCACCCGCAGCCGGATCCCGTGGAAGTCCTTGAGGTCCCAGCCGTCGCCCTCGACGTCCGTCCGCATCGCGGCCCAGCCCGCGTACACCGCTCGCTTACCCGTCTCTGGGCTGACTGACGAGTTATCGCTGTCTATCTCTGTCACCGTTTGGCCGGCAAAGCGGGCGGTGCCCTCGCCCTCGGCCTCGCCCTGCTGCAGCTCGACGGTCGAGCTGCCGCCGTACTCGGCGTCGCAGTGGAGGGACCACCGGTCGCGCCAGCCCGCCGTGTCGAAGCGGAGCAGCGTCTGCTGCTTGCTGAGGTGCAAGAAGTCCTCGAGCCAGTCGTCGGTGCCGTGAGCGCCGCGCTGACGCAGGCGGGATAGGCGTCGCCACATGCAGGCACGGAGGAGAGGCTCGCCAATGCAAAACGGGTACCGCGCTCGATGCGGCGAGGTGGCGGGTGCGGCCGAAATCAGCCGGCGGGGTGCCTGGCTCGCGGGCGGCGAGAGTGAGGTTTTGACCAAGAATTCTTAAATCCGCGGGCCCCCTCAGCGGAGCTGGGAATAGGACCGCCGCAAGCGGCGTGGCGTGGAGCGGTTGAGCATCCCTCCGGGGGCCCCTCTGCGCCGGGGAGGCGTTGTTGGAGGCTAGGACGCAAGCGTCCGTCGCCCTTTGCAAACTCGGGGCCCACTCCGCTACGGCCTACGCGCCGACCCGAATTTGGAGGGCCTAAAAGTGTAAGGTGTTGCTGCGAAAAAGGGTTCGGACACATGGCGCAGCTCATGCCAAGAGCTAGAAGGGGAGCTAGAGAGAACGACCACCCTGTCCCGTTATTGCGTACACCAACACCACAAAAGCTCTCTCCTTGTCCTCACTCAGGGGGGTCACAACTACCGAGTCCCTCGACTAGCTGCCACGTTGCCGACCGAGAGCGGATCTCCTCCTGCTCCGCAAGGAGGGTGGCCAAGGCTAAAGTCTTGCCGGAGCCGGGCGCGTTGACGACTTGGAGAAGGTCGCCCTTGTACTTGTACTTGTAGAGATGCTCGAGGGGGTGCTTTGTGGGGCGGTGCGCAGCCAGGCCAGCAGTGAGGGGAGGCGCACCCTCACTCTCCTCGGTTGCAGAGCTCGTCGGAGGCTGCGGCACGACGGGAGGGTCGCGATAGCAGTCCTCGGGCGAGCCGACGCGCATGTCCAACCAGTGCTGGGACTCGTTGTGACGGCAGACGCCGGCTGCCTCTCCAACGCTTCTGCAGCGTCCTTCTTTGCCCGGTGCATGGGCTCGAGTGGAGCCGACTGCATCACAACGACGGCATCGGTTTCTTCCTCATTACGAATGGCGCTGTCTACATAGACAACATTGCGCCCACTGTTTGCTGCACCACCACGATGCGGTGCGCTGCGCGCGCCACGAGCTGAAGCTGCTCAAGACGCGTGACTTTGCCAACTTGCTCGAGTTCGTCGCCGATGACAGTCAGTCACCGTCTGAACCACACGTGTCCCTCCATTCACACTCTCCCAGTCCTTCCTGGTCTAGTGCCCGTCTGAACCACACGTGTCCCTCCATTCACACTCTCCCAGTCCTTCCTGGTCTAGTGCCCGACTTTTCCGCCCGTCGTGCTGAGTTGGTCGCACCTCCGTGCATCTTCGTCCTTTAGACGTTTCACCTAGAGCAAGCGGGGCGGCACGCCCCTTGGTCCACCCGCCAGCCGGGTGGGGCTTGCACGACCCACACGTGGCATGAAGCCACTTCAGACGACTCCACCCCTCGCCGGCGTGTGCGCTGGCGGCGGCTTTCTGTACGTGCTCGATAAGTGCCGAGTGATCAAAATGTCTCTTCCAGGATTGTCGCCCGTCGGCTTGTTCACGATCACCGGCCGATTACCCACTCGATCGTACTACCCACCCTGATCGTACCCACCCGTTCGCCGGAGCACATGCGCTGGCCTACCTAAACGGCCATCTGTTTGTTAGTTGCGCTGGCCATGGATGGGACGCCGGGCGCAACGCCGGCATCTCCATCATTGATGTGCGATCTGAGATGACGCAGCAGCCTGTGGTGAGTTCTCAAGACGAGTTTTGTGTGCGGGTGTACAATGGGGCTTTCCACCTCGTGCAGCAAATCGCAATCGCGACGCGCAGCCGCAGCCCTGCGGCAGGAAACGGGGTCGTGGGCACCGGCATCACGGTCGATGGGGCGCGCATGTGGGTGGCCCTTAGCGATTTGATCGAGAGCGAGGCCAACAGAGGGCGCGAAATGCTGGCGGGTAAGCTGGCCCTATTCGTGCAAGCGGGATGAACCGAATGAACACGCGACTCTCCGCAAGTACGACGGACTTGCCTGACTCGCTATGTGGTCTAGTATGTGGTGACACGGTGACGGCTGGAACGGCAATCAAGGCTTGACCGAGTAGTCCCACAACAGTCGGGACGAGGGGGGCAATAGCCTGGCGTTTGTGCCCCGTTTGTGCCGCGTCCCGTGCCCCCGAGTTCATTTTACACACCACGGGAGCCGCCTAAGCTCAAGATCGCCGCCTGGGACGCCGGCGCGGTATGGGCAGTCGGGGCGGGTCATTCTTTTTCTCTGTGAGAGGGGATGCCCGGCTCGCGCGGCGCGGGCGGCGCATGCTCGGGCGAGGCGGCCTCTTCCGGCCTTCTGGGCAGCCTTCCCAAAGAGGCCGTGCAAGCGGCTGCGGAAGGCGACGAGGCGGCGCTGCTGGCGTGGCTCGACAGCGACGGGCAGGTCAACGCGACTTGCGTGGTAGGCAATGGGAGCGGCGTCACCGCGCTGATGCTTGCCACCCACCACGGCCACGAGCGGGTGGTCGAGTTGCTGCTGCTGCGCGGCGCCTATATCAACCAGCAGAACAGCCACGGCGACACCGCGCTGATGACCGCCGCCGCTCACGGCCACGAGCGGGCGGTCGAGCTGCTGCTGCAGAGAGGCGCGGGTATCAACCTGCGGAACAGCGACAGCGACACCGCGCTGATGAACGCCGCCTTCAAAGGCCACGAGCGGGTGGTCGAGCTGCTGATGCAGCACGGCGCGGAGATCAACCAGCAGATGAGCGACGGCGTCACCGCGCTGATGCTAGCCGCCGGTTTTTGCCACGAGCGGGTGGTCGAGCTGCTGCTGCAGCGCGGGGCGGAGATCAACCTGCAGGCCAGCGACGGCCTCACCGCGCTGATGAGCGCCGCCATCCACGGCGCCGCCGCCATTGTGACCCGCCTGCTTCGGGCGGGCGCGGATACGAGGCTGCGCTCTGCGGACGGCAGGTCCGCGCTGCAGCATGCCAAGGAGAACGGCCACAGCGCGTGCGTCGACGCCTTCCGGCAGCACATCGCGGAGGTGACTGCGAGCCGGCGCGAGGCGGCGGCGGGCGGCGCGGGCGGCGCTTCCTCGGGCGAGGCGGCGGCGGGAGCGAGTGCCGCGTCCTCTTCCAGCTCGTTGGGCAGCCTTCCCGCAGAGGCGGCGAGAGCGGCTGGGCGAGGCGACGAGACGGCGCTGCTGGCGTGGCTCGACAGCGGCGGGCGGGTCAACGCGACTTGCGGGGTAGGCGATGTGAGCGGCATCACCGCGCTGGCGCTCGCCGCCATGGGAGGCCACGAGCGGATGGTCGAGCTGCTGCTGCAACGCGGCGCGGATGCCAACTTGCAGAGGAGCGAAGGCGGCACCGCGCTGATGCTAGCCGCCGCTCACGGCCACGAGCGAGTGGTCGACTTGCTGCTGCAGCGCGGCGCGGAGATCAACATGCAGAACAGCAAAGGCCGCACCGCGCTGATGCTCGCCGCCATCCAAGGCCACCCCGCCGTCGTGCTCCGTTTGCTGCGGGCGGGCGCAGACATGACGCTGCGCACTGAAAGCGGCAGGACGGCGCTGCAGCTGGCCAGGAAGAATGGCCACGCCGAGTGCGTGCGCGCCTTCGAGGAGCATGCGGCGGCGGAGGCGGAGGCGGAGGCAGCGGCGAGGGAGGCGGAGAGAGCGGCGGCAGAGGCGGATGCGGCGCGGCATGCCGAGGCGCTGCTGGCGGAGGAGGAGGCGGAGAAGGAGGCGGGGGGGCGCGACAAGGAGAGCAAGAAGGGCAAGAAGAAGAAGAAGAAGGGGAAGGGCGGAGGTGGAGGCGCTGGGCCGTCGCGGGAGCCCGAGGATGAGGCAGCGCTGGCGGCGGGAGAGGAGGCAGAGTTGGCGGCGGCGCTAGAGGAGAGCGCGAGGCTGGAGGAGAGGCGGGCGCCCGACGAGCAAGCGTCGTCCTCTTTGGCTGCAGAGAGGCCGCCTTCGGTGGAGGAGGAGGAGCCGCCGGACGACTTCGTCTGCCCAATCACGACCGAGGTGATGAGCGACCCGGTGATGGCGGCGGATGGGCACTCATACGAGCGGACGGCGATCGAGCGTTGGCTCGCGACCAAGTCGACGAGCCCTCTGACGGGCGGCGAGCTCGACCACACTTGTATCTTCCCAAACCACTCGCTGCGTCGGATGATCCGAGAGTGGCAGAAGGCGCAGTGACCCCCCCCCCCCCCTCTCTAGTGTCCTCTTTCTCGCATGCACTGACGTGGCATCCACGCACGCGCGCACCCCGCACACCGAGGGCTTGGATTACTACACGTGTATACAGCGAGCTGGGAAAAGAAAAACCCCGTTCGCGCTACCCAGCCTGCTAGCTGTACTGCACACATGCATGCATGCACAGACACACAACCCCTTCCCCTCGCCGCTCCAAGACCTTCTCCCAAGGGCGAGGACACGCGCAGGCCGCACCTCTAGTGAGGCCCGCACAGTATGTGGGAGACTCATGCCGCCGCCCCCTCGTGCAGGTGTGGACCCTGTCCTCCTCCCCTATCCTCGTTTGGGTTCTCAATTTTCTTCTTTCTGCGGCGAGGGCGGTCGAGTGCACGGAGCTAAGTGCCTCGCCGTCCTCGCGGGAGTCGCTTAGGCGGCTCCAGTGGTGTACCTGTGTTAGTGCCAGTGCGCGCCAGTCCCGTGCCCAGTGTAAAGAAAGAAAGAAAACATACAGCGCAAGGGAGGGATGGGAGGACGGCGTGCCCAGTGTAAAGAAAGAAAGAAAACATACAAGCCAAGGGAGGGATGGGAGGACGGCACGCCGCGAGGGAAGACATCTAAAATTCTTCTTTCTCTTGCTAGCTGTCCGGGTACCCCGGTACTGGCTGGGCATGCCTGCGCGGGCCCGCCAGTTGCTTGGCGCTCGTCTGACGCGGCAGCGACGCCCCGCGCCGCCGCCCCTCCCGCAATCGCCCGGTACGGCGCCGGCGTGGGAGCTGCTCCTCTTCTCCCTGCTTGGCGCACTATTGGTTTCTCTCGTCTTACGGCGCCGCACCCGCCGGAGCTGGAGCCGGAGTGCTGGTGGTGGCATCGCATCGGCGCGGAGGGTGCGCCAGTTCGTCCGCGCCGAGTTCGATAAGATCTCCGCCGCTGACGCTCGCGCCGAGTTCGAAAAGATCTCCGCCGCGGACGCTCGCGCTGAGTTCGGAAACGCTGGCACCGAGTTCGGAAAGGCCTCCGCCGCGGACGTCTCGCCGCCTCCGGGGCCGGACAGGGCGGAGCCCGCTCAAGCGACGCCTGCAGTGGCAGAGCCAACGTGCGACGTGCTCTCCCCGCAGCTTCCCTTCCCGTGGTCGCCTCCCACCGTGGCGGACGTGGAGGAGGACTCGGAGGAGGAGTACTTGCGAGGGTACGTGACGCGCCGCAGCGCCGTCGGCGCCACCCCCTCGCCCCAGTCGCCGTCCCGTCTGACGGCCCGCTCGCACAGCTCCGGCTACCTCGGCTCGCCCTACAAGACAGCGGCCAGCGCGGAGGCAGTGGACGATGCGGGCGATGCGGGCGATGCCGCTGCGATTGAGGCGGAGGCGGCACAGGCCGAGACACAAGCCAAGGCGGCACAGGCCGACGCGGTGGCAGCGGCAGAGATTGCGGCGAGAAGGGCGGCAGAGGCGGCGGCAGCAGCGGCAGCGGCGGCGGCGGCGGAAGCAACGGCGGAGGCGGAGGCGGCGGCGGCATCGGTGGAGCCGGTCGCTGCGTCGCCCGGCGGCGGGACGTGCCTTGCTGACGGCGGGCGGCGGGCGGGGAGAAAGTTTCGGAGGGCGGGCGGGGGCTTGCTGCCCCCACGCCCCTCTGGTGCGCCGAGCAGCGGCAGCGTCGACCTGCGCTCGAACGGCGCGCTGCGAGAGTACGAGGCTGGCGGCCGCGCAGCGCCGGGCCGCGCTGGCGCCTCGGCCTCGTACACGGATGAGGCGCGAGCACGCCCTCCCTCCCTCCCGTCCCTCTCCCCTGCCCTGCCCTGCCCCCCCCCCCTGCCTCGGCTGCTGCATTGCGGCAGCTGGCCCACCGGCGGACCTGCTTTGCCGCCGCAGGAGATGCGCGAGATGGTCGACTGCTACGTCCCCCTCCCGCCCGACGTCCAGCCTATGGTGTTCACACCCGCGTCCGACCCCGCCTCCGCCCTCGACCCGTACTACGGCACGCTCGAGTACCTCCAGTCGTCCGAGCGGCGCGGCAAGGCGAGCCCGCCCGCCCTCGAGCCGACCCGGCCAACCCGAGCTCAGCCGAGACACGCCCGACGCGCAGGCGAGGCAGCTCGCCGTCATCATCGGCGAGCGCCTCTCGCGGCCGGCGGAGGAGCTCGCCGACGGCGCGGCGGCGGTGGGGGAGGGAGGGGGGGAGGGCACGGGAGAGGGGCGAGGCCTCGCCGGTGGGGCGGAGGAGGCACGCGTGCCGCTCGCCGCGCGCAAGTCGCCGCAGCAGAACCGGCCGACGAGCGGCCTGCTGCACGGCCTGCAGCATGGCAAGCCGCCCCCCGCTGGAGGTGTTCGGCCGAGGCAGCGGCGCAGGGCGGGCGGGCCGGCCTGACGCCGCCGCGGAGAGGCGACTCCGCTCGAGCAGAGGGACCGGAGAAGGCGACAGCACTTGGACGCGTGCCACGCGCCGAGGGCATGTTGTTGTCCATCCGCCGAGCACGCGGGGAGGCGGTCGGCTAGCCAGGTGAGTGCACTCGCCGTGCGGGGCCCCGCATGGGCCGCTCGATTCTAGCTCGAGCCAGGCCCAGGGAGCGCGCTTGCGCAACAGTCGCCCAGTCGCCCAGTCGCCGCAGCTGCCAGATCGCGTCTCGCGAGAGACCGTCCCGCCGCACTAGGCTCATTGCGTCTGCGAGATCGTTCCGCGCGCGCACGCCGCACGCGCATAGTCCACTCGCGCTGCCGACGACTCTCTGCGTGTTATATTTGAGGGCCCGTTCGCCGACGACTGTAGGCGCCGCCGCCGGTCCACGCGCGCGTGTTCGCCTTTAGACACATATTTAGTGGCTCTTATATTTATTGTGTTGACACACGATACAGCTCTATAAAGAATCCAGCCCCTCTTGGTGGAAAGGCTTTGGTGGAAAGGCTTCGTTCCCTCCGGTCTACTCGTGTGAGGAGACCGGAGAGCCAGCGCGCGGGTGCGCGCCGGCGCCCCCCGCGCGCGCCGCCGGGGCGTGCGCGGTGGCCCCGGGGCGCCGGCGCGCGCCGGCCGCCGCCGCGCGGCGGCCAAGCTGCAGAACATGTGCGATCCAGCGCCTACGCCGCTCAAGGAGTCAGGCGCGGAGCGCGCCCCGAAAAGAAAATTTTGAGGGTTGCGTCGGTTGAGGAGGGCTAGGTGCGATTTCTATTAAGAGTTGACTCACACGCTAGGAACCACTCGGCCCACCCACAGGCCCAATCTCAAGTGGCGGCGCTCCGCGCCTGTGCAGCGGCGCGCTCCGCGCGTGTTCTGCAGCGGCGCGCTCCGCGCGTGTCTCTGGGCGCTACATGCGGCCGTCGCCGTGCCCTTCATCAACCGTGCGCTCGAGAACTGGGGCGGGCTCACTCAACTGGGAAGACCGCTTTTCACCACAACGACAGGTCACATGCACAGAGGGGCGGCAGGGGCGGCATTGGAGCTTCATGCAGTGGGGTGTGGTCATGACGCGGAAGAAGGCAGAGACCCCTCGTCTGCCAGACGCGTGCTACGACGTCAGGCCAGCTTCGAAGCAGCGTGGCCACAACTGACTGCAACAGACTGTCTTCATGTGTCTAGACTCTACCGGTACGCCGCGGTGCGCTCCGCGCACATAGGTGCCAGCGCGCTCTCCGCGCGGTATCTAGCCAGCGCGCGGCCGCGCGTGTGTCTAGCTAGCGCGCTCCGCGCGTGTGTCCAGCTAGCGCGCTCCGCGCGTGTGTCCGGGTAGCACCAGCGCGCTCCGCGCGCACGATAATCCAGTGCCTACACTTGTGACGTTGTGAGTAGGCAGTGTGAAAGCTTGTTTTTCTGCAGCTTGGTGCGGCGGGGGCGCCCCGCCGACGCGGCCCGAGCGAAAACGTAATAAACGAAAGCACAGCTGTTCGAGTGTATAGAATCGATACAGCCACACCAGGGGCGGCCGCCTCTCAGCTCTAAAAAGCCATATTTCTCGCTTGTGTGAGTCGACAGGTTACAGCGCGTGACAGTGTGTGGGACAGGGGGTGTCGCCCTGTCGGCGGTCGGCTCTCGACCCGCGACCGGCGCCATGCGGACAGGCCTCGGTCATCGCATCAGCTCTCTGTGATTTCTCATGGAGTGGGCGTGCCACTCGAGCTGATCGAGCATTCGTTCGCAGAGCTTGAACCCCATCGCGTCCTCCGCTAGCAGGCCATCCTCGCCAAACGTGCCCGGCTTCCACGCGCCGGTCAGCTGCATCGTTGCGCTCACGGGCAGGCAGCCCAGCTCGGAGAGATAGGCGCGCAGGGCGACGCCACAGCGGGCTCCGCCCCACATGCCGGCGGAGTAGGTGCAGATGCCGGAGGGCTTGTACGCATACGTCTGGGCTCCAAAGTGATTCATCATGTTGGTGAGGGCAGGCGCGATGGTGTGGTTCATCTCGGGCGTGCAGACTACGTACGCGTCCGCCGCGCGCAGGGCCTCCGCCGCGGCATCGAGCTCCGGCGGAACGGCCTCTCCTTCCTTGTAGTGGAAGTGAGCCTTCTCCATGAGCCGCATGAAGCAGCCGCCGAACGACTCTCGCGGATCAAACACGTCCACCGTGTGGCCTCTCGCGGCGATCCGCTGCTCGACGTGGCGGGCCACACTCGGACCGACGCGCTTCGCCCGCGACGATCCGAGGAGGAGGCTGACCCGCAGTGGACGTGGCATGGTAAAGGAAACGGGTGCCGCCAATGGCGGCAAAACACTTAAAATGAGCTCCATCACAAAAAACTTAAATAAAACTCCCCTTTCTCCCGGCCGGGGTGGGCGCGCGCGGGGGGCGGCGGGTGTGCGGGATGTCTGTGGGCCCGAGAGCGATATGCCATGTCCGCCCTGCGTTTGTTTCATAACATCGAAGGCATGTACGTAAGAGCTACATACACTAAAAAAATAAAATCAAGTCAGACTCCCGGCGGAAGGCTCCGGGCACCGCCGCCGCCAACGCGGAAGAGCAAGCCCCCGGGCCGTTCAGTCGAGTTCAGCATGCTAAGGTCAGCTCTGCGGCCCGCGGGCGCTGCTGCTCGGGCCACGCGGCCCGCGCTGCACACGGCAATGCGGGCGTGCGCCTCTGCGGTCACCAAGGTGACGGGCGGCTCGACGGGCGTCTTTCCGCAGGCGCCGAGCCCTCTGCAGGAGTTTTCGGTCGTCTACACCGACCGTGCGCTCAACCACATGTCGGAGCCGTTCAAGAAGGTGATGCTCGACATGGACGAGCTTCTCTGCGACATCTACGGCGCCGATACCGCTGTCATCATCCCCGGGTCTGGGACGTACGGCATGGAGGCGGTCGCGCGGCAGTTTGCGACGGGCAAGAAGGCGATGGTGCTGCGGAACGGCTACTTCTCTTGGCGATGGACCGACATCTTCGACACGGGCGACATCCCGTCCGAGTCGGTGGTGGTGCAGGCGCGGCCCTGCAACGTCGTCGAGGGCAAGCAGCAGTTTGCCCCGCCGCCGATCGAGGAGATGGAGGAGCGGATCCGCGCCGAGAAGCCGGCCGTCTTCTTCACGCCGCAGGTCGAGACGTCGACGGGGATCCTGCTGCCGGACGAGTACATCGCCCGGCTCGCGGCCGCGGTGCACGAGGTGGGCGGCATCTTTGTGCTCGACGCGATCGCCTCGGGCACCGTCTGGATCGACATGAAGAAGAACGGGATCGACGCGCTCATCACCGCGCCGCAAAAGGGCTGGTCGGGCCCGGCGTGTGCTGCGATCGTGATGCTGTCGGAGCGCGGCGTCGAGGCGACGCGGGCCACCCCGGGCACCTCGCTCGCATGCAACCTGGGCAAGTGGCTCTCGGCGCGCCGCCGCCGCCCGCCACACCTCTCTCACCCCAGCCCCACGGCGCATGTCCATGTCGCAAGAGGGTACGTTCGAGAGGCGAGGGGCGGAGGAGGGAGGGACGGCTGACGGGCTGGCCTCCTCCCGCAGGTGATGGACTCGTACAAGTCTGGCGGCTTCGCCTACCACACCACAATGCCGACCGATGCCCTCGTCGTGGCGCGCGCCTCGCCTCCGCCTCTCGCCTCCGCCTCTCGCCTCGCCTCTCGCCTCCCGCCTCGCCTCTCGCCTCCGCCTCTCGCCTCCGCCTCTCGCCTCCGCCTCTCGCCTCCGCCTCTCGCTCTCGCCTCTGCCGCATGGCTTGCGGCGTGGCTTGAGGAGCCTCCGCGAGGAGGCTGACGGCAGCCCCTCCCCCCCCCCCCCTCCTCGCGGCAGGCGCGTGACGCCATGATGGTGACGCGCGACTTCGGGTTCGACCGCGCCAAGCAGGCGCCGCCCCGGAGCCGAGGCGGACACGGACACGTCCAGGGACCCGTCCACCACCACCGGACCTGTCCTCAGGCCGCCTTCGAGCTTGGCGGTCTGGTGCGCGGCGTGCTGCAGGGCGACCGCGGCCTCGTCTCCGTCGCGGCGCCCGGGTTCGAGTCGCCGGGCGTGGTTGTCGTCCACACCGACGACTCGGCGGTCCTCTCCAAGTTCCTCTCCGCCGGCACGCAGATCGCGGCGGGCGTCCCGTTCAAGCTCGGCGAGAGTGAAGACACGAAGACCTTTCGCATCGGCAGCCCCTGACCCGCCTCCTAGACCCTTCCCACACCTTCCTACACCTTCCTACACCTTCCTACACCTTGCTAGACCTTGCTAGACCTTCCGCATCGGCAGCCTGCCCCGCCTCCGCCCCCCTCTCCCAGCAGCACGCCCCGTCGCTCTCGCCAGGCCTCTTCGGTATCGACAAGCTCGCCGACCCCACCGCCACCGTGAAGCACTTTGAGCGCGCGCTCGACGTCGCCGTCCCTCCGGCCATCGCTGCGCCTGCGGCGGCGGCTGCCTGAGGGATCCACCCTGGAGGGCCAAGGTTCTGGCTGCTGCAGAACTTTGGCGCCCGCTTCGAGGCGAACATAGGCTCTCACACACCCACTTGGAAGCTACGCGCGGCGAGGCGCCGCCTTACTGAACTGTCCTCCCACTGCCTACGCACATCTCGCATGCGCATCTCGGGCTCACATGGGTCATGGCACTTAAGTACGGCATATCGAGGGGCGCGCGCACAGATAGCCACGCACAGCCAGCCCGAGGCGGAGCAGAGGCGGAGAGACTAAGATAGACGGTATAAACAAGAACTTTAGTGGCCGCCCAGCCGCATTCAGCTACAAACCCACACAAATGCCCTCATCGTTCTGCGCGCACACACATACACACACAACTCACTCAGACCTCCCCATCGGGTTTTGCAGAAGCTCGTTGTGCAAACAAACGAGGTCCCGGTCAAGGATGAAAAATGTGCGCGCCTCCGCACCGCCCGCGTAGACTTTGATCTCGCTCGACTTGAGCTGCGTCCGAACCTTCTGCTGTCGGACGCGCGGCATGCAGCAGGTTTTGCTGTAGCAAGGGGTCCGCTTGAAGATGCAGCTGGCTAGGCTATTGAGCACGCGGTGGATCAGGGTTGCCTTAGACAATACGCTCAGCTCTAGGTCCTCAACCGTGTCCATATCCTTGACTTCGATATGCGTGATGGCGCAGCGGGGAATCACGATGAGCGACTCCTTGTTGGCTGTGTAGAGTTGGAGCACAGAAGGCGTGCAGCAGAGCTGCCACGAAGCAGCGGAGTCATCGGGCTTGAATTTCGGGTCCGAAATGGATGGACGCTTCCCAGATCGCTCCTCGGCGGCGTCAGCGTCTTTCCGCGCGAGCTGAACCATGTCTGCATGCTCCTGCCACTCCGCATGCCGAATGAGCTGATCCATTGTCGTAAAGATGGGCGTGCCATCGTCACCGTCCAGTAACTCGCACAAGTACGACCGGCGCTTCTCGAGCCTCGCCACGCCGCCGCTGCTCTTTGCGCCAGGCTGCTTGCGCGCCGGGTGTGGAGAGTCCTCGGTGGTCATTGTCAGGCCGGGGGTGCAGCCACCGACTTGCTGAATCAAATCAGGCTGTGTGGGTTGTGAAGGTATTAAATTCTCGCCCAGTTTGGCCGCTTTGTGTATCTCGAGACCTCGAGAGAAGGCCGCCCGCAGGCGAGGGCCCAACTGACTTGGCTTTCTTTTCGGCGGGCAATCGCCCAGTACTATTCTTTTTCCGTATCCTTTCCGTATTCTTGTCCCAAACAGGGTCTACGCCTAGTCCCCGCAGCAGCACATCCGCGGCGATGGACAGGTCGCCCATCGTCAGCGGCGGCAGCTCGTGCCTGCCGGCGAGCGGCACGGCTCAGTGGCATCTCGCCCCATCACGCGCCAACGCCGCCCGTCCTACTCGCCTCTCTCTCTCTCTCTCTCAGCGGGAGATGCGCGCCAGTGGCTGTCCGAATCGGCCGCGTCCGCCGCATCGTTCACCGCCATCCCCGGCCGGCACCCGGTCTGCCGCGCGAAGCACAAGTAGGCGTTCATGATGAAGGCCACGTTCACCTCAAACGGCTCCATCAGCTGTGTGTCCTGCATCTGGTACTCTCCCACCTGGAAGAGGTGCTGCCTCATGCACGGCTTCGTCGTCGCCTCGCGCAGCTCGGCCATCGTCCGCCGGCTCGCCTCGGCGCTCGCCCTCTCGCTCGCCGCCCGCTGCGCCGCCTCGCTCTGCCCGTGCGACGCGCTCTCCCGCGCCGCCTCGCGGCCCGCCGCCCGGCCGGCGGCTCCTGCCGCGTCCTTCATCCCGCCGCCGCCGCCGTCGAACAGCGACATCACCTGGTTGGTCACCAGCCGCCAGTACTGCCTCGCGTCGCTCGGCATCGCCGGCCAGATCTCGCGCCACACGTGGTTCTTCAACATGTGCTGCAGCGCGACGTAGACCGTGTTCTCGCCGCGACCCGTGCGCACCGTCGGCTCCTCCTCCCGCGCGTCGCCCCGCTCGGTCGCGTGCCACCGGCTCGCCCTCAATGCTCTGACTCGCGTCGTCGCCAGCCACTTGCCGAAGCGGATCGTCCACCGCATCGTCGGGTGCAGACCGAGGGCCGTCCGCTGCATCGGCACGCTCTTCCCTGCCGCGGCCTGCGTTGCCAGGAACTCGCGCAGCCGCAGGCGCACGACCCGAAGGTGCGCCGACAGCGCCGGCCCGTGGGGCGCTAGCATCGGCCGCTCATCGCCACGCGCAGCCTCGTCCTGCCGCTCGTCATCCTCCGCCTCGAGGACGTCCGCCAGCGCGCTGCGCCGCACACCCCGGCGCGCGGGAGGCGGCGCCGGCCGCGCCTCGGCCGCCTCGGCGTCGCGCACGGCGTGGGCGCCCTCGCCGTCCGCGCGGTCCATCGCCGCATCCCCATCCCCGTCTGCGGCAGCGCCGCCTGCGCCCGTGCCGGCCTGCTCTGGGACGGCTCGCCACCGCTCGTCGTCCAGCATGTGCCACCACCGCCGATCCGGGTAGCCGTCGTACTCGACCTGGTGCGCGATCCGTCCGTCCCGGTCCTCCTCCCGCCCCATGACGGTCGCGGGGTACCACCGCTCGGTGTTGCAGAAGATCTCGAGGCGCGATCCGGTGGGCAGGACAGTGTGGCCGTTGAGCGCCGCCCTGACATCCTCGCGCTGTCGCTTCCGCCGCTTCGCCTTCGTCTCCTTCCTGCGTAGCAGGGTGTAGTTCGGGCCCACCTCCGCCACGCTGTCCAGCAGCTGGGCGGCGCTCACCATCTCGACCGCGTCGTCCTCCGGCGGAAGCTCCGCGTTGCCCGCGGCCGCCTCCCGAGCGCTCGTCGCGCATCCGCTCGTGGTGGGCCTGCCGACGCGCCACGCCGGCGCCCGTGTGCCTCGCCGCCGCGTCCGGCGACGGCATCGATGCTGTCTGCCCGAGCGTGACTCGCAACTCCACGATTTGCGGTCCACCGACAAATTTGGCTGCCCCCACCCATCCAAAGTTGACTTGATTCCTTAGATACATACATAAAGATACATACATACATAAACAAGAACCTCGCGGCGCGCTTGCTTCGCAGCGCGCCAGAGAAAGTTTCGGCGGGCCGCGCGCGGCGCGGTGGCGGGTCGGGCGCGACGTACCGAGGTCCGTCTCTCTGCGTGTACTCCGCTCAATCCTCAAACGAGCGTGTCGAGCTCGGCGCCCCTTAAGGTGCACCTTAAGGCACACGGCTAGCTACTCCTCCCTGCCTCCGACTCTCCGAATCTCGTCGTCGTCCGGCCGGGCGTCGGCCGAGAAGTCGTGCAGCACAAGCGTGTTGTCGCACCCGTCCGAGACGAGCCGAGCCCCGTCGGAGCACACCGAGCCGAGCCACACCTGGTGAGTTGGAATGAGTTCTCAAGGCTCCAATGATCAATCAGAGGAGCACACCCAGTCGAGCCACACCTTGTAGCCGCCCAGCCCGTACAAGCAGCGCTCCTCTGCGCCGCGCCGCAAGTCCCACACGCGCAAGGTCCCGTCGCGCGCCCCGGAGACGAGCAGCCCGGCGGCGGCGGCAGCGAGGCCGACCACCGCGCCGCCGTGCGAAGGAAAAAACTGCTCCTCCTCGCGAGCCTCGTCGAAGCCCGCTGCCACCGAGGCCGCTCCGCCCGCCGCCTCGCCGCCTGCCGCCTGCGCCTCTCTCAGCCAGCGGCGGTGGATCGAGCCGTCGGCCCCGCCCACCACGACGCTCCACCCCTCCTCCTCGCCGCGCACAAACGCGACGCTCCTCGCCGACCCGACCTCGGGCGGCGCCCAACAGCCGCGCGGCGAGCCTGTGACCAGCGCAGCTGTAAAGAGGGGAGTGTGTGGCAAGCCTGCCCAGCAGCCGCGTGGGGCGAGCCGTCGCGCGTCGAGAAGAGCTCGACCTCGCCTGCGGAGGTTGCGGCCGCGACCAGCTCCAGCGGCGCGCAGCAGGCGGCGGCGAGGGCGGCGGCGGAGCACGAGACGACGAGCGACGGCTCCTCTCCGCCGAGAGAGCTCCAGCGGCAGAGGGAGCCGTCGAGGAAGGAGGCCCAGAGGGGCCCCTCCTCGCCGGCAGGCAGCAGGAGCGAAGAGGCCAGCGCGCCGACCTTGAGCTCGGCGGTCGGGACCAGCTCGTCGCCGTCCAGCCGCCACAGCCGCACGCCGCCCTCGCGCCCCGCCGAGGCGACGCGAGAGCCACACAGCGCCACGCTCAGGACGCCATTGCCGTCGTACTCGCCGTGGAGCTCGCGCATCGCCGAGCGCACCTCGGGCGTGTCCACCACCGACGGGTGCGCGTCCTGCGCGCACGCGAGCATGTCGCCCGACGAGAGGTCTGCGAGCACGAGGCCGCCGCGCGCGGTGCCGCATGCCGCCAGCGGCCAGTCGAGGGCGACGCGGCGAATCCAGTCGTTGAGAGCAACCGGGACGCTCGAGACCGGCGCGGCCTCGCGCCAACGCTCCGCGACCTCACGCTCGATCTCGAGGCTGCGGGCGCGAAGCGACGCGAACAGCGCGAGCTGCGCCTCGTCGGGAGCGCCCGCCGCCGCCGCACAGGAGCGAGGCGGCGCGTGACGCGCGCCGCGGGTTGAGAGCGAGAGCGGAGCGAGGAGCAGTGCCGACAACATGGATCTGGGCTGTCGGCGCGGTCGGTTCAGTTATAGTGGGCCCGGGCTGTGGGACGAACGAGACCTCGAGATAGGATTCGAGCGCGCCAGCGACTAGCGCCCGAAAGTGCCACTTTCGGGCAAGGCTCTGAGCCACGCCCCGTGCGTTGCTCGGCTCGAAGTGACCCGGCAGGACCTTCGTCCGGGCCCACGGCCGGCACGCCGTCAAATTTTCTCGCCGACCGATCCCGCGCGCTCGGCCGCCACCGCGGCGCCTTCGAGAGCGCCGTTTCGACACGCTGCAGCCACGGGCCGCGGCACCTCGACACACCGCCTCTCGCGCCGCCTCGAGGTGCTCCGATCGTGCACGCGGGTCGGCTCGGCACGGTGCGGTGCGGTCAAGACTCAAGAGTCAAGTGGGAGAGCGACTCCGGACTCGGACGAGAACAACTCGGACAACGAGGAGGACCTGATGGTCTAGTGGCCGCCCTCTGCCCGCGCTCCGCGCGCGCTAGCGCGCTCCGCGCGCTCTCCGCTCCGCGCGCTCTCCGCGCCGCGCGCTCGCTGCGCGCTTCCGCGCGCTTCCGCGCGCCTGCACAACTAGCTAGAGGTGCTCCGCGGCTCGGCACGGTGCGGGTAGCCCGCCTTGGTGCGCTTGATGCGGAGCTGGAGCGCCTCGTGGCAATAGACGAGGCGGTTGGAGACGGAGTGGCGCATGCGATTGCGGCGGTCGGTCTTAATGGAGCGGTAGATCGACCAGTTGCGCTCCGCTGCCGACGCGCAGACCGGCTGCGAGAGCACCGTGCACGCGACCTTGGAGAGGGCCGGGAGGTTCTTGCCGTACATGCTCCACCAATGCGCCGGCGGGAGCGTCTTGGCCTGGTCCTTCACGAATGGCCTCGAGAGAACGCCCGCGCTGCCTGGTAGGACGCGAGCTCGACGCAGGCCTCGCCCGCCAGCCTCTGCACCCCCGGATCGTCGACGGATCGGTGAGCGCGCGCATCGGGCCGGAGAGGGAGTCGGGGTTCGAGGTGAGGCGGGAGTACTCGTAGCGCATCGCCATCTTCTCGATGATCGAGATGAGCGCCTCCTGGACGTCGCCGCTCATGTCGTGCGCGAGGTACTCGGGGTCGAGCGCGTAGCCCGCGAGGTGCATCGGCGACTTGAGGTACTCCCAGCGCGCGTCGTGGATGTTGAGCGCCCCCTCCTTCCATGGGACGGTGGAGTTGGCGATCACCCCCCGAATGCTGTTCATCCGCGGCATCACCTTGCCCATGGCGGGGGCGGCGCCATCGCAGAGGCGGAGGAGCTTCACGACCGGCGTCGCAATCTTGAGCACCTCCACGAGCGGCGCCCAGAAGCCGCTCTCGTTGAGGATGATGGCCTTGACAGGGTGATCGTGGCCGGAGAAGGTGGCGCGGTGTCGTCGTCGTTGCCCTTCTTGAACTTCTGCTCACCAAACTCGGAGGAGACGACGACCTGCTGGAGGTCGGCCTTGACGCGCAGCATCCGCCCGAGCGCACGCATGTTGCCGGCGAAGCGGGTCGCCTTGGGGCGGTAGAGGCCGAACTCCTTTTTGTGGTTGACGGCGATGACCTCGCGCAGCTTGGTCCGCGGCCAGCGCTTCTTGCCCCAGAAGAGGTTCAGGATGGCGTTGGACTTCTTGATGACCGCCGCGACCTCTTCGATCTTGCCGAGGTCCTTGAGGTAGAGGTTGAGCACGTGCGGGCCACAGCACGTGCACGTAATCCACGGGAACTTGGTCTCCACGAGCTTCCACGCAGCCTTCATGACGGAGCACGTGTCCGTCACGACCTGCACGACCATGGGGGGGCCGATGCGCGTGATCTGCTCGATGAGCAGCTTGGCGACCGCGTACCAGGAGAGCAATCACCGTCAGGGGGGGAGGGGGGGGACTGGGGCAACACCGGGGGTGGCGGGATTGCCTCGGCGTTCTCAGAGTCAGCGCTCTTGAGTTGGTAGGTGCCCTCAAAGAAGGTCGTGGTCGCGGAGCCGATGAGGACGTTGATGAGATGCGACGAGTGCACGTCGTCCCATCCATCAGATATGATGCTTCCGCCGTACTTGAGCACCTCGCCGCGGACCGGCCGCTCCTCGGCCTTGAGCGTGTCGGTGGTCTTCTCGAGGAGGTCCCCAAGCATCCGCTGGCGCGTCGGCGGCTGGTAGGAGGCGGGGGCGGTCTTGAGCGCCTCGACGAGGTCCTTGAAGAGCGGGTGCGACACCTTGCTCGCCCCGACGTTGAGGCCGTAGAAGAACTCTCCGATCGCCTTGTCGCACGTCTCCGACTTGCCGGAGTACATCGAGGACTGGATGCTCACTTCTGCCCAAGCTTGGCCTTGGCCTTCGCCTCGCCCGCGGCGACAGAGTCGGCAACCTCGTCGTGCGCGCGCTTGGCCGCCAGCGTCTTGCCCTTCTCGCCCTTCGCGCCCAGAAGCGACTCCTTGAGCGCGAGGAACTCCGGGGAGTCGTCGGTGCACTTGTCACAGAGGTGCTCCTTGATGCGCGTGGCGCCGCCGCAGAACTTGACCCCGCAGAAGTTGCACTCGACCTGCGGCGACGTGTCGTGGTCGTTGAGAATCTTGACCGATCCCCAGACAGGGCCTTTGCGGATTGCCGGCTTTGTCGCAGCCTTGCGGACGCCGCCATTGCCTCCGACGCGGGCTGGCCCGGACTGCTGCAATCCAAGCTGCTGCTGCGGCGGCGGCTGGGCCGCCGGGGCGCCCTCTGGGCTGGTGGTGGTAGCATTGACTGCTGGAAGCTAAATGCGTGGTGTCTTGCCGCCGAAATGTTTGCCGCCGCCAGCTGATTTTGAGCGCTCGAAACGCGGAAATTCTTTTTTCTTGAATTCAAGGGTTGTATTCATGAATTCAAGATTTCTGGCCTTGAATACTGAGCGTTTACGCTCGTAATCCTACATCTTTTAGGACTAAGAGCAGCTCCGCTCCCAAGGTGACTGGTGACGCCTACGGCTACTCACCAGGCTCGCAACCCGAGCAAAGGTCTAGGCAGGGTTGCGCGAGCGAGCGCGCCCGCGGGGTTTCCACAGCTCTGCAGGCCCGCCGATCGTGCTGGGTGCCACGATTTTGGCACGAGAGCGAGCGCAGGACCACCTCCTCATCCTCACCGCCTCGGCAGCCACCTCATGCCAACCTCGCGGGAGATGCTGCCCCGGCAGCGTACTGACGGTGCCAGCCACCGCAGCTTCCGCCGCTGGAGCGACGAGCTCTACTGCGCCGGCGCCCTCGACCAGCGGTGTCCAGCCCTGGGCGACAGCGTCACGGCGGGCCGGTGCTACTGGGAGGTCCCTCCGACCTGGCGCGCCGCGACGGAGGATGACATGAACAGGACGCTGCACTTTCAGCGCTGGTCGATGGACCGATTCAACCCGCCCGCCGCCGGCGTCGGCTCCTACCGCCACTATTCCGCGAGCGAGGCTGCCAGCTGCGCGCGCGGCAAGCGCTTGCTGATCGCGGGCGACTCGACGACGCGAGACACGTACTACGCCCTGCTCGCCGCGCTCGGCCATCCCATCTCCAAGGGCTACCCCAGCGACCCGCAGCGGTACTGGCCCGAGGGCCAGTTTGACCCGCACCCGCTGCCGACCGGCGCCGTTGACGCGCACGGCCTCTGCCTGGGCAACTTTGACAAGCGGAGGACGTGCTCGCGCGACGTGCGGTGGGACGGCAACCGCAGCTCCGCGGCCTTCCACTTCCTCACCCGCTCCAACTCGAGCTGGGAGCTCGACCTCTTCTCGAGCAGCCTCGGCGACGAGCCGCTCGACGCGGCGTCTTGTGCGGTGCCCGGTGTGCGAGTCGTTGGAGGCACGGCCATGACATGTCCGGGACGTGCCCACAGGCGTTTGTGCAGTGCCCGGTGTACGAGTGGATGAAGCCGGACGCGTACAACTACGAGCTCTCCAAGGAGGAGCGCGCGCGCGTGCTCGACGACTGGGAGGCGGGAGATATGGGGAGAATAGGGGAGATATGGGGAGATCTGCTCGACGACTGGGAGGCCCGCGCCACTTCGCGGCGCAGCAAGCACCACCCGGGGCGGTACGCCAGAGGGGATGCCATAGGTCGGCCCGCGCCACTTTGAGGGCATCGGCGCCGCCTGCCTGCAGTACATCGAGGCGGTGGTGTGGCGGCGACACCCGCGCGCGGCCGTGTTCCTGCTCGGTCTCACGCCGCTGCCGCAGTGGACTCGCGTGCACGGCACGGCGCAGGTGGAGCCGAGGATGTTCGCGTCGGTCCACGCGGCGCTCGGGCTGCGCTGCTCACGCGGCTCGGCGGGCGGGAGGTACCCCCTCGTGTCGGAGCGAGGGATCGTCCCCATCGACCGGTACAACGTGGTTGGGCCGAGGCGGAGAGACGCCATCCACCCGCTGTACAACGCGCAGTTTGCGATCGTGCAAATCATGCTCAACCACCTCTGCCGCTGACCCGGCCAGGGCCTCCGCGCGTCCCTGAACACGACGGCGCGCACAGCGTTGCAACAGCCGCGCGTTCAATTCCCGTGGCTCCTCTCGAGGCGCAGTGCTAGCTCAATAGAGCTGCTCGCGCCGCGGCTGGCCCCGGCGCGGCTAGCGCTGCACGCCCCCTGCTCTCCCCCCGGGTCCTCTCGCGACCGAGAGTCGGCGCGGGTTTGTCCTTGTGTACTCCGCCTCAGCCCCCCCGCCCCGGCCCGCCTCTGCGCCCCCGCGCAGAGAAAAAAATGCTTTAGAAGAAAAACGGGCACGCATACTCTCCCGTTTTAACAACGCTCAAAGAGCTCAGCGGGTACGGTGCCCGAGCGCGACGCGAGGTACAAAACACGAGAATACGAACGCCGAACGGTGGTACCCACCTTCGTACAGACATAATACGTTACAACATGTGCATGCACATGTGCATGCACATGTCCCTTGCAATGCGAGTCGCTTCCCTAGAGTGCCGCCTGCAGACGACCGAGCGCTAGGCCCGGCCAGTAGCCATCCCTCCCCGCATACAAATACCCACAGATCGCTCTTCCAGCCCCGGGGTCCTACACGGAGCGTCTCCTCTTCGTGCCTCCCCTCATGCCTGCGTGGACGGCGATTAACGGTAGCCGCCCGACCCAGTCGCACCTTAGCCAGCGGCGACCAAACTCACTGTCACGTTGGCGACGCCACTCGGGCGGCTCAAAGCCTGCCCGATGGCTCGAAGCTGCCAGCCCGTCGGCGCTCATTCTCCATCCCAGATTGCGCACGAGATAGTTCAGGCCTCGATCAGATCGTCCCACGACGGCCCTGACGCGACCTCGTTGTACTTGACCTTGCGCTCCCTCTGTGCGGTCCAGCTGTCGCCGAAGTTGGGCACGTACTCAGAGCAAATCCGCCGCCCGATGAGGTAGCCGAGCGCCTCGTCGACGGCGGCGACGCTCGGCACGGGGCACGCCGGGAGCGACAAGGCGACTTGGACGTCAGCCTTGCGCTCGACATCCTCGCCAGCCTCCTCGCCCTCTTCCTCGCCCTCCTCCTCGCCCGCTTCCTCGCCCGCTTCCTCGCCCTCCTCCTCGGCCTCCTCCTCGCCCGCTTCCTCGGCCTCCTCCTCGGCCTCCTCCTCCTCCTCGTCCTCCTCGTCCTCCTCGCCCTCCTCCTCCTCCTCGGCCTCCTCGGCCTCCTCGCCCTCCTCCTCGCTCTCCTCCTCGCCCTCCTCCTCGCCATCCTCCTCGCCCTCCTCCTCGCCCTCCTCCTCGCCCTCCTCCTCGCCGGCCGCAAGCCCGCCCGCCCGCCCGCGCCCCACGCCGCCAGCGCCGCCAGCCGAGTCCTCCTCGCCGTCCGAGTACACCTCCGCCTCCCGTTCTCCATCAATTCCGTCCCAAGGCGTCCATCCGATCGGCCGCCGCACCACCCGCAGAGTGACGAGGACGTCGCGGAAGCCGTCGCGCACGCGGTTCACCAGGTCACTCCGGGCCAGCGGCTGCTGCTGCGAGAGCACGCGCACGATGGCACGGCGGATTGCAGCCCGCTGGGGCATGGCGCGAGCAGCAGCCAACTCGCGCGCCGCGCAGCTCTCGCACCCGCATCTGAAGGTGAAGCGGCAGCCTCCGTCGCCATCGCCCTTCAGATCGTTTAGCCACCACCTCACCATCGATGCGCGCCGCTCGAGGCCCAAGTCGTGCGAGTCGTCTTCGTTCCGGGCCCTGTAAATCGTTTCACTCACGACTCGCTTGCACTCGGTCACGTCAATCGGGCAGCCTGCGACGACTGCCCACTGAAGGCAGCGCTGGTGCCCGCCTTGCGCGGCCGCGGAGCACGTGGCCTCGTCCATAGCTACGCCATGCTCGTCATGTAGCCATTGCAGAGTACTCAGGTGTCCCGACCTCGCAGCGGACGCGCATGTCATCGGCCCACACGGGCAGCCGTTGGCGACGAGCCACTTGAGCACCGGCAGGCCGTGTGCAAAGCTCGCGGCAGACACGCAAGCCGATTCGCCCCACGGCACATCGCGGCTACGCAGGTACTTGAGCAGCTCGATCTGGAACTTGCCACCTCCAGCGGGGGTCCAGGCGAGAGCCGCTTCGGCGCACGCGCGCTCGTCGGACGGGCAGGCGCCCTCCTGAAGCAGCCACTTCACCAGGCCGACGTTCCGCTTTCTCCCGGCCTCACAGACAGCAATCGAGAGTATCTCCGCGTCGAGCGGTGGCGAGCTCGGCTGGCGCAGCAAGAGCTTAAGCGTCGCGATCTGCCCGATGAAGCGCACCGGCCGGGAGAGGTTCGTCGGCGAGGCAAGCACTCGCGAGCCGAGGACGGCCACGAGGTAGCATCCGTCAGCCTCGGTGGTGGAGAGCACCTTGCCGACGGAGCCATTGAACTCCGGCTTGTTGACCAGTCCGTCTAGCACGACGGTGTCGCCAACGGCAGGCGCGCGGGCATTCTCGTCAACAGTGATGTCGTCCTCCTCGTCCTCGTCCTCGTCCTCGTCCTCGTCCTCGTCCTCGTCCTCGTCCTCGTCCTCGTCCTCGTCGTCGTCGCCGCAGAAGTACCCAGCAACCGCTGTCAGCGCGAGCCGTGTCACGCGGCCACCTTGCCGAAGTAGCCATCCGAGCATCGAGCGATTTCCGGCGCGCGCCGCTGCAGCCACTTCTCGCTCGTCGCTAAAGCGATCGCCACCCTTCGACACGAGGAACTCGACAACAGCCACGGTGCTATGCTCGATAGCCCAGTCGATGACATTCGAGGTTTCCCAAAACTCCCAGCCCATGATCTCGAAGCAGCTGTCGTCTCGAAGCTTGGGCTTGACGTCCTCATCGAGATAGAAGCCGTGCCAGAAGCCCGGGTCGGAGGACTCGAGGAACTTGACCAGCTCGAGGCACTTCGACGGCGAGCACCCGAGGAGCTTGAAGGACGACACCGCCATCAGCATCGTGAACCCATCCCACGGGCAGCCCTTCTCGCGCAGCCAGCGGAGCGTGGGAATCACCTCGTCAAGACGAAAGGACTCAAAGACCATCGCCGGCACGCGACTGTCAAAGGGTACCCCGTGCCGCTGCAGCGTCTGCAACTTCTCGAGGTCGCCTTCTTGCGCCACCGCGAAGGACAGCTTCTCGTCTGTTGGGCAATTCTCCTCGAGGGCCCACACGACGTCATCCCACTTCCCTGGGTCGGAGGTGGAGGGTGCAGGTGGGGAGGCAGGGAGGTGCACAGGTACAGGTGGCTGTGGAGGGGGGCGGGCGTGCCTTCTATGAAGCACTGCAGAGCGACGTCTTCGTCGAGATGCCCGCCGTGCAACCGCGCCCACTTCATGAGCTCAAAGTGCCCGCCGTACGCGGCGGCGGCACAAGCTTGCCCCAGCGGCACACCGCGGTGCGCCAGCCACTCGAGCACGTCCTTCTGGTTGTGACACGCCGCCGCTTCTGCCAGGGACGCGTCAAGCGAGTAGCCGTGCCGCACAAGCCGCTGCAGGGCCTCGAGCTGCCCCTTGCCGGCCGCCGTCAGGCCCGGGCAGTCCCCAAACGGCGCCCCGTTTTGGATCGCCCAATCGAGAACCTCGAGGTGCCCGTGCGAAGCCGCCTGCTCAACCGTGGATAGGCGGCGTTCCTTGTTGTCCTTGTAGGGGCTGCCGTGGCGGCGCTGCGACTCCCAAGCGTCAAGCGGCACAATCGACTCCCAGGGGCACCCAGCGGCACGCGCTCGCTGCAACAGCTCGAGCCGTCCGTGCTCGGCAGCGTACTGGCAGAGCCGGTCGGTCTTCAACGTCTCGGGCCAGGGCATGCCGGCCTGAACCGACCAGTCAAAGAGCGATTCGCTAGCGCACATGGCGTGAAGCGACGTAAAGAGCGGCGATCCCGACTTGCGCTGCTTTGGCAGGAAGGCGTGCACAGCGTCGCGCGCCTCGCGGCAAGAGAGCGCGAAGGGGAAGGCGGCGTTCGCGCCGATCCACCGGACAATCTCAATGAGCTCGTCGCCGCTGAGCAGATTGAAGCCTTGCGCGTCCTCGTCAATCGCGCCGGCCTCCATCAGCATCAGCGCGCACTGGCATGCGCCAGCCTCGCGAGCTTGTCGCAGCACCGGGACGCCGCCCGACATCTTGCTCCGATCGAGGCTCACGCGCCCGTCATCGAGCAGCAGCTTGAGAGCCGCGAAATGGTTACCGCGCACGGACACCTGGAGCGCCTTCACCAGCTCGTCTGATGCAGCACCGAGGACATCGGCGTCCTCAGCAGCGCCGAGGAGGGCTGCCACCACCACCGCGTGGCCGGCACCGGCTGCGGCGCAAAGCGGCGTGCACCCGCTTGGGCCCGGGCTCAGCGCACTCACGCCGGCATCAAGCAGCGTGGCCACCGAATCCGCGCAGCCGGCGCGTGCCGCGTCGAAGAGCGCACTGCCACCGCAAGCGCCAGCTGCGAGAAGGAGCCTAGCGCAAGCCGTGTCCGCCACAACGCGCAGCGGTGGGAGGCGGTCGGGCGGACCAGCAAACGACACGCCATCCTCGACGGAGGTGGCGAAGTTTGGGTCAGCTCGCGCCTCGAGGAGCAGCGACATGCAAATCGCCGATCCCACCTCCGCAGCCAGGTGCAGCGGCGTGTTGCCCTCGGCGTCCGTGTGGCGCAGGACGCCGCGCACCTTGTTGCGCGAGCCGCGCGCGCTGGCGTCGGCAAGGAGCGCCGCCAACAGACGTGCGTCGCCAGCAGCCGCCGCATGGTGGAGCGGCGTGCTGCCTCCGCCGTCCACGTGGTCGACAAAGTGCTTGAGCAACGGGACCGGGCCGGAGCCGCGCGCGACGTCGAGCATGCACTCAGACTGGCACGCCTCTGGGTACGCGTGCGCCTCGGGGATGCTCAGAATCGTGCGCAGGGAAGGCTCTGCACGAAGGAGAGCTGCCAGCCGCTCCCATAGCGCAAACTGCCAGTCGTCATCGTCGACGAGCTCCCACTCGGCATGCGACAGCTCGCTTTCGAGCGCCGCAAGCGTCGCCGCGCCTCGGCCCTTTGACAGCACACACGGGAAGCAGAAAGTGGCGCCGCACGCCGAGCAGGTCCAGAGGTCGCCCCCGTGCTCGCAGGCGCAAGCGCACGAGAAACGCTCGTCGAGGTAGAGCGGCACCATCTCGTGTCCCGCGATCTCGCACCGAGTCAAGCACGCCTTGGTAGCCGCGCCGGCGGCGGTGGGCTCGAAGGACGGAAGCGACAGATAGGTGCGCAGGTGCGGCTTCGCGTTGAGAAGCACCCGAACCTCCTCCCACAGCGCCTCGCGGCCGGCCACAGGCTCCCACTCATCGTGCGAGAGCAACACCTCAAGCTGTGCCAGCCGGGGGTCGCCATGTCCCCGCTGCTCAAGGGGCGACTCGACAGCAGCATCGTCCTCGAACGCGGCCGACTCCTCGAGTGCGTTGTGCACGGCGGGCGTCGGAGACCCACTGCGCGCCTCTTCCAGCTGCCTCTCAAGATCGGTGCGCGCGCGCTTCGCGGCGCGAATCTCGTCCATCAGCTCGCGCTCACGCTTGGCCGCGGCGCTCAGCACGCTCTTCTCGCGCTTGGCCACGAGGCTGGCGTGGTACTGCACGTTGTCGGCGCAGTGCTTGGGCAGTTCCGAGCGGAGCATGCGCGCCGGGCAGCCTTGGTGGGCAAAGACGCAGCTCACAGGCGCGCGAGGGCACACGTTTTTGTGCGCGAGCAGCTCCTGGCGGGCGACAGTCTTCCCGCAGCCGAGCGGGCAGGGCATCGGCACCATTGGGCAAACGGTGAGGTGGTCGACCGCACGGTTCGAGCGGACTGACCCGCCACACGCGCAGCACAGCAGCAGCCGCCGCTCGCACACCTTTTCATGGTCGCGCATCCGGCCGGCCGTGTCGCTCAGGCCGCACCCGAGCGGACAGGAAACCAACCGCTGCTGGCAGACAGCACGGTGAGCGTTCAGCTCCGAGATGGTGCCCGCCCAGTGGCAGCCAAAGCTGTCGCACCGGGAGTGCATCGCATCGATCCGCTCGCGGATCTCGTTGGCGGGCGTGAAGCCACTCGGGTCGATCTCCTCGCAGCAGCACGGGCAAAGAGCCGCGCCGTCGTGGCTGCTGCTGCGCACGCACCACACGAAGAGGCACTTCTCGCAGGCAGCATGCCCCGCAGAGCACGCTGATGTCGGGTTGCACATGACCATCTGACAGATGGCGCACAGGCACGAGGTGTCGGAGCCAAGCTCCACCAGGAGCGGCTCGACAGGGTAGCCGCTTGCAGCCTCATTCTGGGCGACGCTTGACACAGGCTCGAGCTCTGACGCAGACTCGAGCTCGATTGGCATACGGAAAGAGAGCATCCGAGCCGAGGCGCCAGCGTTGATCTCCGTGGCATACGAGGAAAGGTGGCGGGACTCCCGCATCCGTTCGCCGTGCAGCCACAAGTGCAGGAGGGAGGCATCGTCCACGGCGAGGGACCATGCCCGTGCGCGAACGCGTGGGATGAGTTGCTGTATGAAGCGCTCGACGGTGACAGCCTCAGGGTCGCCGACGTACATGGTGATTGTCCCGCTCTCACTCAGAGCGACGCGGACTATCATCGTCCCGGGCTCTCCAGCAGGCACCGACAGGCACCGACAGGCTCTCCAGCAGCACCGACAGGCACCGACAGGGCGTCGTCCGGCCAGCGTTGCCGCCGATTCTTTTTATTTTTATCGCCTTCTCCCTTTGAAGGAGGTGGATATCCTTTGGTCGCGTTGGGTAGCGAGGATTGGTGTAATCCGAGCCACGGAGGCGTGTTTTCTGACGGCCGACCGTCAGTGCACGGAGTTGCCACTTCTCCGACTGCCCCGGCTATAGTTCCCGAGGTCGTCGGGTGTGACCCCTGCGTCCCCCGAGACCTAGCGCGGGTGGGTTGGAGGGGGCTCGCTGCAAGGAAGGGCTGTGTAAGAAGCCGATCCCCGTAGTCCGCCCCGCTCCTCCCCATCGGGCCGCATGAGCGGCCACGCCTCGCAGATTCGTTTTCGCGCCTGGGTCAGGCGCGCGGGGCATCCCCCGGGTCGCTCGACCAGCGATCCGAAGAGTGGCCGCTATGCGAAGGAAAGAGCCGACATCGTTGTGTGTGTGTGTGTGTGTGTGTGTGTGTGTGTGTGTGTGTGTGTGTGTGTGTGTGTGTGTGTGTGTGTGTGTGTGTGTGTGTGTGTGTGTGTGTGTGTGTGTGTGTGTGTGTGTGTGTGTGTGTTTGCGCGATGGCAGGGCAGGGCAGGGCAGCGGCGAGCAGCAAGTGGCGTCGGCGACGCGGCGAGGACGCGATGGTGACGCACACAGCGGCAGCGGGAGAGGACTGGATTAAGCAAAAAAGAAACGCCAGTCATGGGGCGGGCACATGGTGGGCGCTGGCTCCGTGGCTGGTGCGGGCTCGGGACAGCCATGGGGCGCCAGCACAGGGCTTACGCACATGCCACAGGCAAATTTGCGCTGCGCGTGTGTGTTTGCGTGCGCGCGGGGACGTACGCGCGGATTGCACGCGGTGTGCGTGGAGAAGGGCATGAGAGGCGCCGGCCGCGCGCGGCTCGGCGTGTGCGAGTGCGTGGTTCGTGTGGTTTTCGGTGCCCGGAGGGCGGCTGTGACCAGTCTTCGTGCCCCTCGCGCCTCGCCGCTCGCGGAACGAGGTCGTTTACAAGAAAGGTGCGCCCCCGCGCGCAGAGAGCACACCCACTCTCAGCACCGTCCACCCCGTACCCCGAGGACTCCGTGGACGACTCGCGACGCCAACGCGGTGGGTCGACGCGGTGGGGTACAGCTACAGGGGTAGCCGGTACTCCTTTTATGATTTATGGAAAATTTTATGGATTGCTTTTTGCTATGCGGAATGCGCGATTGCGCACTCTTTGTACTTTGTAGACGCTTTTTTGTTTTTCGATTTTCCCCGCTTTGTTTTGATTCTCTGAATACTGAGCTTTCCACGGAAAACACGAATACAACATACTGGGGACACATCACGAGAGACGAGCACATCCAAAACTGGCTGGAATTCCGAGAGCGCGCGGCGTGTCGCGACCGACACTCCAGAGACGCGACCATGTGCGCGACTACAACAACTCGATACGATACCGATCGCGCGCAAGAGAGATGCAAGCCCGAGGCCGAGTTGCGCGCGACCTGCTCAGCCGCTGCCACAGCAGCAGCCGAGAATACCTGGCCGAGGAGGCTGCCTGGCAGCCTCTGACTTGCGGCTCACTTACGGCCTCCCGGCCGGCGGAACCGGCGAACGGTGCGACCCGCCGGCGCCGCCGGACCGGCCCCGATGGCAAAGCCGCCACCGCCGGCGGCGGGCGCGCCCGCGCCGCCACCAAAGGCCGGCGCCGCCGCGCCGAAGGCGGGTGCTGCGGCGGGGGCGGCCGGCTGCGCGCCGCCGAATGCAAAGGCGCCGCCGCTACTTGGTGGGGCCTGAGGAGGGGGGGAGGGGGAGGGGGAGGGGTGAGCCCGCTGCTGCTGGTGATGCTGCTGCTGCTGCCGCCGGCACCGGCTGTCCGAATGCGGGCGAGGCGCCAAAGGTGGGCGGCGCGGCGGAGGCGCCCCCCCCAAAGGAGAGGGAGGGCGTGCCGGAGGGGGCGCCTGCAGGCACGGGCCGGGGGGGGGGGGGGTGGGGGGGTTAATGTTGTGGCGGGGCGGGGCGGGCCAAACCCCCCGAGGAGCGCCCAATGAGGGCGCGCCCCCCGCGGGAGCAACCGCGGCGGGCGGGGCGGCCACCGCGGGCGCGTCGGAACCCAAAGTAGGCTGCGCCGGCGGGGGCGCGCCCGCCCCAAAACTGAAACCCGTCCAAGCCCGCGGTGCGGCGGCGGGCGGCGGCCCCCCGCCCAAACTTAAACCGGCGGAAGCGGGCGGAACAACCGCGGGAGGGGACGCGGCGGGGGCCGAAGCCGCCGCCGCCTCCGCCCCCGCGGGCGGCGCCCCGAACGTCACTGGCGCGGGCGGCAGCGCGGACGGCACGGCGGGGGCGGGGGCGGGGGCGGCGGAGGCGGCGGCATCGCGAGCAGCCTCGGCTTGCTTGGCGCCGGCGGCGGCGGCGGCGGCAGCGGCCTCGGCGGCGCGCGTTTGCTCCTACAGGGAAGTGTGCGCTCACGGCGGGCAAGTGTGCGGGGAGGGGGGAGGGGGTGGGGAGGGCGCGCGCACCTTGAGCGTAGTCAGCTGGCGCTGCTCGGCCGCAACCTCTGCGCGGAGGCGAGCCGCCTCGGAGGAGAGGTGGGCCACCTCGCGGCGCGCCGCCTGGCGGATCTGCTCCGCCTCCTCCTGCGCCTCCGTCGTCAACCGCATCGCCTCGCTGCGCGCGCGGGCAGCCTCGCCCTCAGCGACACGCGACGCAGCCTCGCGCAGGTTACCCGCGGCCTCAAGCGCTCGGCTGCGCTCGACGGCGACCTGCGAGCGGATGGAACGCGCCGCCTCCTCCGCCTCGCGCAGCACCACCGCGTCGGCCCCGTCCAAAGTCCGGTGCCTTTTTGGCGCGGCGGCGGGAGGCGACTCGATGCGGTCGTCGTCAGCGGCGGCGGCGGCGGCGGCGGCGGCGGAGACCTTGGCGAAAGAAGCAAACGCCCCGCCGGCCTCCCCCAGCCGTCGCTTCCGCGTGCCCCCGCAGTTCTCTTTATCAGTCAAGAGCATCTGGGCGGCGCGCAGCTGGCCGACGCATTTCTTTTTTGGGTGAGGGTCACTGAGAGTCGCCGGCTTCGGGTCGCGCAAGAGTTGAGCGCCTGCTGGGATGGGTAAAGGAAGAAGTACCGTGCTTTTGCTCAAAACGAGGCAGGGCGTGCACATAATACCGCCTCGGTGCCACCTCCGCCTGCACAGCGCATTCTGCATTACAGTACAGCGCCTGCGTAGTTTTCCTTAGGTGAGTTTACTGAGAAGCTATGCAAGACGGAGAGTACAGCCTTTTCTAGGTCTGGCTGGATACGCCTCTCCCGCGCCGGCCCTCACTCTTGCGCGAGCGCAGTGCTCACGGTGATGCATCCCCCCGCGGCGAACAAACATTGACCTCCTGGCCAGTTCTGCACAATGACTCAGCTCGCTGTTCCGATTCGGTCTCGTGGGTTGCATAATAAATCCTGGATGGGCGTGGTGGGAACCGGCGGCTCCAAAGAAGTATACCACTTTGCAGCGCGCAGCGCAAATTTAGATTGAACAAAATGTTGTAGAACATTTTTTTCAGTATGATCTACCTCGGTGGACTCTGCAGAGACTGAGTTTGACCGTTTTGGCTGGCCACCCTGTCCAGAGAGGCAAGGAGGTGCCAATCTGGGGTCTTTCGACTGAGTTTCGTCCTTCCCGTTCTCCGACCCTCCCCGACCCTCCCCGACCCTCCCCGACCGCACGATTCCCTCGTTCACGAGCGGCAGACCCGGCAGAGGGCTTTTGCGGCTACGCGCTCGGCAATCCGCTCGCAGACGGCTGGGCGGATCTCGTCGCACACGGCGCACGAGGCCTTGCGGCTCTCCTCGGTCTTGCCCTTGCGGCAGCACCAGCGCCCCTCGACTTTGATCTTGACACCGCCGCCATTGGGGTCGTTGAATGCGCAGATGCACGAGCCATCGAGGAAAAGCTTGACGTTGACAGGTTTGCGGCCGTTGCCGCACGTCTGGCACAGCTGCTTGCACGGCTGCTCGCTCTCGGCGCTCTGCGGGCACGGCTTGGCCGAGGGCGCCGGACACAGCAGCGAGCACGCGCGCCTGCGGCTCGCGACCGTCGCGCCGCTGACCTGAATGCAGTCGCCATCCTTGACGGTGTCGATGTTGATCCTTTTCTGGGGATCGTACGCCGCCTCGTGCCACAGCAGGTGGCCGCACGGCGCGACGAGAGACACGTAGAAGGCGTCGGTGCGCGCCACGCCAGCGTTGGCGCTGCCGACGGGCGCACCCCAGCCGTCTTCGTAGCCCGGCAGGTCCGCGTCGGCGGCCACGTGCTCGCTGCTCACGCCCCACTGCTTTGCCGTGCGAATGACCACGCCGTGCCGGTGCAGGTTGCGCGGCGCCGCGGGCGGGCCGGCGTCGATGAACGTCGCCGCCTCGTCGTCGCCGGCGGCGATCACGAGCGAGCAGATGATGCGGCGGTCGCATCCGCCATTGGCGGCCTTGCCGCCGCCGGCCGCGCAGGCGCTGATCGTCGAGCCGCTGCGGCTGGGGATGGGGCGCACGAGGAGGAAGCGCCGCACGCGGTCGTCATCCACGAACTCGTACGCCGTCAGCAGCGACGCCGTCTGCAGCCAACCGATGGACGCGCCAGGCGGCGGGCGCCGAAAGACCTTGGCGTAGTGCTCCTTGAACACGCGCGAAAGGTCGCCGGTGCGCACCGCGCACTCCTTGAGGCCGAGCGGGAGGTAGTCGCGAGAGTTCACGTCCTCTCCCTCGGTGAGCGCGAAGCTCGTGCCGCCGAGCGCCGCGAGCCGCAGCGCCGACGCCGTGAGCCGCGCCGATTCGCGGAAGAGCGCGGGCGGCGGCTTCTCGTTGTGGCTTTGCCAGCTCAGTCGAGCGTTGCAGCAGTCGAGCGCGCGGTAGCGCTTGCCAGCGAAGCGCTCGCCGTAGTGGATGAAGTTGAGCTCGTGCGACGGCTTGCCCTTGGCGTCGTAGAAGCCCGCCGTGTGGTTGGCGGCGATCGACGCGGGGTTGGGCTCCTTGAGCTGCGGCGCGCAGCGCGGGCACGAGCGGCGCGGGTGAGTCGGCGCGGCGGGGCCGTAGCACAAGGGTATGTGGGATCAGCGCACCCCATCGGGCTGGCCCCACGAGCAGACGGCCATGATGCCGTCGCACGGCGGCATAAGTGTGGTTCTTGCCCAAAAATGCGTGTGGTTTTTGCCCATGCATTGCGTTTTTTGCATTTTTTGCATTCGCATGCATTGACCTGCATTACAACTGCATTACAACTGCATTCGCTGTTTGCATCTCGTTGCATTATGCAATATTTGCATTTTCTGCATTTTGCGCGTGTTTGCATCTCGTTGCATTTCGTTGCATTTGCATTTTCTGCATTTTGCGCGTGTTTGCATCTCGTTGCATTTCGTTGCATTTGCATTTTCTGCATTTTGCGCGTGTTTGCATCTCGTTGCATTTGCATTTTCTGCATTTTGCGCGTGATTGCATTTCGTTGCATTATATGGTGCGGACCCTCATGGGAAAATTGCGCCAGCCACTTGAGACGGTCCTGGTCGAGCTGCTACCAAAAATTGCATTGCGTGACACCACCTCCCTGCCAGAGAAACTTCTCTTCACCTCTGATGAGCACCTCAACACCAACATGGTTCAGAAGGCCATCATGCTTGTAGAGAGTGGAAAGACAATGCTAATGAAAAGCAAAAACCAGTCGATGACCAACAGTCCAACTCTGTACTATGTGCTGCGGGTTGGCACAAAGCTCACCAAGGCAGCTATTTCAGACTACAATAGGCTGCTGCTTGGCCTGGAGCCAAGGCAGGACAAGGCCTACCTTGCTGCTGACGACGGTGACTGCACCAAGGGAGTGCTGGTGGCAAGTATCCGCATTTGCCAGAGCATGCACTGCCTCTTCCCGCCGCTAGGGGGCGGCGCGGAGCCTCCCCTCCCCCCAAACCGCTACAACCCTGGCAAGCTCGTATGCACCTGCAAGGCGTTCCGGAAGACTGGCATTTGCTCACATCTAGTCGCTGCAACCGCCTTTTGGGACTTGACCAATGAGGAGGGGACAGGTGGATATGATTTGCAATTTCTCAAAGCTTTGGTTCAGCCGACATCCGGGAGGCGCGCAGCCCACCGGCCGACTAAGACGAAGAAGGCTCTAACCCAGCAGCCAGATGGGGACGTGGTCTCTGCGGAGGAGGAGGACCGCCCTGATGACGGTTGGGATTCCGCGCCTGACGACTGGGCGCCGGATGCGCTTGCGTCAGGCAACAACAACCCCCCCTTAGATCAGTGATGCATGTTGCTGAGTAGGCAAGGCCAAGGACAATGGGAGGCCCTTGAGCAGTCCATCCCTTCGGCCATCTGGCTCCGGTTCCTGCCTCCTCTAATGTAGAAGTTTGCATGCATCAAGATGATACACCATTTTGTTGGCTAGGCGGGCGCAAGAGGTCTGTTAGCGCCCCCCCCCGGCGCCCCCGGCGACCGGCACCCACCGCGAGCAGCACTTCGTCCGGTCCCTCCACCTCATCTGCTGCTGCCTCATCTGCTGCTGACTCTGACCTCGCCGCCGTCGTTGCTCTTGTCCGCGCGGCCGGTGCGGCTCTTGAGCACCTCGGAGGAGAGCTCAGGTGCACCTTTGACGACTTGTTTTGCACTGTCAGCTCGGCGGACAAGCACTTGACCCGCACTGATGTTCGCACTGCGGTTGCTTACTTGTGCACGGAGTACGAGATTGTAGTCGACCGCCACAGCAAGCACCCTGGTATGGACGTCATTATCTTTTTGGAGGATTAGGTGCACACGCAATGGAGGCCGTGTCGCGTGTGTCAGTGACTCCATGCAACTAATGCAGTTTCCCGCCGAATGCAAAGAATGCAGAAAAAGCACAGCTAAAATGCAGTTGCCCACCGAACGCATAATGCAACGAGATGCAAACACGCGCAAAATGCACAAAATGCAAATGCAACGAAATGCAAACACGCGCAAAATGCAAAAAATGCAAATGCAACGAAATGCAAACACGCGCAAAATGCAAAAATTCAGAATGCAGTCTTGAATGCACAATAATGCGTTCAGATGCCATGATATGTGCGATATGCAACATAATGCAAAAATGCAAAAAATGTGCATGGGCAAAAACCACACGCATTTTTGGGCAAGAACCACAACACACCCTGCTCGGACGGCCGCTCGACCGAGCGCTCGAGGTCGTCGCTGATGACCGACGGCGTCTCGGGCTCGCGGCCGCGCCTGCCGTACTGGTTGCTGCAGAGGCGCTCGTTGCGCGACCGCAGCGCGCCCGCCACGCCGTTGGCGCCCTGCTCCTGCAGCGCCGTCGGCGCCGAGTACTGCGCGACAAAGGCGTCCGCGCTCTCCGCCGGCCAGCCGCATTTGACGCGGAGCTCGTTGCCGAAGGCCTTGAGCATCTCGACGTACGCTTCGCCGCCGAGAGGCCCGGCCGCTGCAGTGGGAGCGTGGCCTCGCGCTGCAGTGGGAGCGCGAGCTCGCGCTGGCCGGGGGAGGGTCGGGGGAGGCGGATCGGCAAGACTGAAGCGCGTCGCTGGAGCAAACTCCCAGCTCGATCCAGAGGCGGGGCCGGCTGGCGTCGCGAAAGCAGCGTCCCAGCTCGATCCAGAGGCCGAGCCGCACGGCGCTGGAGCGACTGAGGCCTCGGCAGCCGCCTGCGGTAGTTGCGGCTGCCCAAAGGGCGACCGGACTGCGCCGAGCTGGCGGGCAGGCGGCGCAGGCGGAATCGGGTCCAGCGAAGAGGCGCCTGCCTGCGCGCGCTTCGCTTCGAAGGCAAGGCGCCGCCGAAGCGGCGGCAGAGGGCCGCTGTCGACGGCGCCCACTTGTTGAGCATGTCCTCGCTCGATGCGCGCGATCTCTTCCATGAAGGCCGGGTCGTCGATCGGCCATTCGTCGTCGCCAAAGTCGAAGAGGGGCGGCATCGCCGGCCGACTCGCATCACCGGCGACAGGCTGTCCAGCCCGCAGAGCAGGTGGTGGCGGCGGGAGGTAGGCAGCAAACATCCCTGAAGCGTTGCGCTTGCCACATTCTCGCAGCGGCGGCCGGCCGTCTGGAAAGCCTAGCAGCGGTGGTGCTTGTCGGGGCTGTCGCACGGCGAGGCCCACATCTGGTGGAGGCTGCGCGGGCCGCTGTCCGTCTGGCCCACTCGGCAGCATGTTCGGCCGGCGTGTTTTGTCTGCATCTTCGCGCGGCGTCTTGGTCCACCGCTCTTTAGAGGAGACCCCACGCCAGGGAATGTGTGTGAAAGCGCCGTCGCAACTGCCATGTCGGCAGGTTGCCCGGCGTGCGGATTCATAATAAGTCTCGTGGGTTGCATAACCAGTGTCTGCTGTTCGCGTACATGAACAAACACTTAGCGAACGAACATGAACGAAGTGTTTTTTTTCGTTTGTTCGCGGATTTATGATGCCAGCAGCCGGCCGCTCTGCATGGATTACGTGCAGCAGGTCTGGCGGTTACAGAGAAGTGGCGTCGCTGGAGCCGAGGCAAAGTTAAACGAACCGGAGCTCCAAGAGCATGAGCGAGACGGGGTCGTGCTCTGCATTGAGTTTACTCTGGACGACAAGCAGCAAGAGCTCTTTCGCAAAGGGCTCCTCAAGTGGACCGCTTTAATGATTTGGTGGCGTGGCCTTTTTGTCTGGGATCACGTGCTTATCCCAATGAGCATGCTTAAAGGTGAGCAGGCCTTCAGGGCCATGTATGAAGGCCGGTTCCAGTTTAAACTGGTTCTCGGGATCTTCAACAAGCTTGCAAGCCGAATAGTAACCAACCCATTGCACCGACACATGTGGCTTAATAAGTACATCTATGGCATGAGGCACGTAGATTCGCGTGTTAGGTGGATTGAGAGGCCGCTAGATAGCACATTGGGCTTGCACTGACTTCCATTTATTTGTGTACTAACTGTTTTTTACATTTTAGTGTCGTGGGGGTTTCGGATTCGGGTTGTCCTTACCCACCGGCACCGCTTCGCATAGTAGAGTCCGTTTTTATTTTTATTACCTCACTGGGTCTGAGACCATCGCGCGGAAGGAAGAGTTCGAGCAAGACATCCTAACGCACGTCGACGAGCCGGGGGGGGGGGGGGGGGGCGTGCCACGAGCCGTCTCTCCACGGCGTCTCTCCACGGGGCTGCCGCTAGTAGGCGTGGCGTGGCGAGGTGGGCACCTGTTCCGACGTCGACTGGGCTCGGTCTCGGCGCCGAGCGCGGCGTGCGGTGAGCGGGGCTCTCGCTGTAGGTGCGTCTGGCTCGTCGACATCAAGCCGCCCTCCTGCTCAAAGTGCTCTGTCCTCGGCGGCGACCATGGGGACAACCTCTACTGGCGCGTGTACGACCCGCTCTGGCCCATCAGAGCGCTCGAAATATGTCCCCCCCGCCCCATCGCGCGCGTCAGCATTGCCGACCCAGGGGCGTACCTCATCTGTATGAGGTTAAACATGTGCGAGAAGGCCGCCCAGCCTTGCCTGGCCTCGAGCGCCGCGAGCACCTGTGGAGCAACCACTTTGCTTGAGCAGATCCTCTCGCTTCATCGGCTGCCATCTCTCGCTACCATCTCACCGCCGATTTGCCGGCGACGCCGATGCGGTTAAACATCAGTTGGAAGCGGCACCCGGGCCCAGCGAGCGACAGCGCCGCCGCGATGCTCCGCGCTCCTTCGTCGCCCACGTCGCAGAGGACCATCGTCACCGCGAGGCGCGGCGGCAGCGCTGCGCCCGTCGCGACCGCGGCAGCGACCGCGGCGGCTCCAGCGTCGCCGATAGGCATGAATGCAAAGGAGAGGTTCTGCAGCCGCGGCGCCACGCCACGGCGAAAGACGCCGCAGATCGCCTCGACGCCGCGCGCGCCGTAGCGGTTGTGCCCGAGTGCCAGGACCTCAAGCGCCGGGAGCGCGCCGTCCTTGAGCCCCGCGACGAGCTCCGCCACGCCGTCGTCGTCGAGGCGGGCGCCGACCACAGCCACGGCTCGCAGGCTGGGCCGGGAGGGGGAGGGAGGGCGGTCGGGGGTGGAGGGGCGTCCGCGAACGGCGGCAGGGGCCGGGTGCAGACCTCGAGCAGTAGTTGAGCGCCTCGGCGAGCCTCGATGGCGAGCACCAGACGTCGCCGCGCACCAGCGGCAGCCCCGCGACGCTGAGCTTGTCGAGCGAGCCGAGGATCGCCGCCGCCGTCTGCTCGTACAGCGCCAGCACCGTGCCCTTGTCGGCGCCATTGGTGAAGCGGCATTTGGCGAGCAGCGCCTCCATCCGCGCGGGCGTGGCCGGCAGCCGCATCTTGGCGCCGCCCGCCTCGTCGGCGACGTCGATGACGAGCTTCCAGCCGGCGGAAAAGAGCCTGAAGGGGTGCGAGAGCTCGGCAGAGCAGCGTTCGAAAGTCGTCCAGCCGCGCGACTCGCGTCCGTGTCGTGTCAAACCCAGCGGGCAGCTCGTCGGGAAGCTGCGTGAGCAGCACGACGGTGACGGCGGCGTGGGCATACCACAGGTCCATCGTGTGGTGGAGCATGCGACCGAACGCGGCCTTCTGCTCCCCGGTCCGGCTCTGCTCGTACGCGCGCCGCTCGGCGACCAGCCTCTCGCCGTCCGCCATGCTGTGCAGCGTCTCCTCGCTCATCGCGTAAACCGCGCCCTCCGCCAAAGCCTCGTGCGAGTGCCGCTCGTCGACGATCCACTCGCTGTCCACTCTCCGGAGCTCGTCGTCGCTCATCGAGTACAGCGCCGGCAGCGACATCCACGCCCTCCACAGCGCCGGGTCCTTTTGGTAGCCCGAGCCCCAGTCGAGGAACACGCCCATGTCGGAGAAGCCGTAGTCGCGGCACGCGCCGAGCAGGCCGCGCCCGCCGTACAGGCTCCGCAGCTTGCGAGAGAGCAGCTGCAGCTGACGGCCCTCCCGGTCTGGGTGCGCCGCCTCGAGCCAGCAGTACGAGATGGAGACGATCGGGAGCAACTCGTCGACGTTCCGCTTCCGGCGGAACAGGCTCGCCATAAGCTCAAGCTCGGTGGAGAATGTGTAGTCGGCAAACATCCGTTGCAAGAGTTTGCTGTACTCGCGGGTGTCGAAGCCGCGCCTCGCGCCCGCCTCGATCCGCCGCAGCTGCTCGGCAGTCACGAACGCCTCCTCGGGTAGCTCCTGCCGACGCGGCAGCGCGCCGCCCTTGTCGGCGAGCGCCATGAGCCACTTGAGGCTGAGTAACCGCACGTCGCCTGCCCGCACGTTCGCATCGCCTTCCAGCGCCGCCCAGACCGAGGCATGATCGCGGTATTTTGCGCCCTTATCGCTAGCAGCCGGCGCGTGGTCTCCCTCTGAGGCGGCAGCGGGCACACGCCGGGGACGCGGGGCCTCGGCGTCATCGGCCGAGGGCACGCACCGGGGACGCGGGGCCTCGGCGTCATCGGCCGAGGGCACGCGCCGGGGACGCGGGGCCTCGGCGTCATCGGCCGAGGGCAGGTGCGTCTTGCGGCGAAAGAGAAGCACCGCTGCCTCGTAGGCGAGGAGGACGAGGGGCTGGAGGAAGAGGATATCGACGATGGTCGTGGCCACCAGGAGGTAGAGGGCGAGAGGCAGGTCGACGAACAGAACCATCGGCACCACGAGTGGAAAACTGCGCCAGCGGAGCCAGTCAGCATCGCTCGACCCGCTGAGCCCAAGCGCGATCCACGGCGTGAAGAGTGTGGCAACAAACGAGATAGCAACAGGCGCGAACACGACAGCGAGTGGAAGAACGAGAAGAGGGACCAGGAGAGTGGAGAGAAGGATCAGGAGGCCACTGGCGAAGCGCATGCTTGTCGGCGGAGCCCTTGGGAGGGTTTGGAGTTTCTGCGGGGTATGGTACCTCAATGACAGACCCAGCCTCCCGGAGACCGGGGATGGGCGGTCAGGACCATACCCCCCCACCCTTTGGGCCGCGAGGGTACCATACCATACCCCGGAAAAAGTTGGAACCCAGGCGATCCGGGATGATAAAGAAATTTACGATAGACTCCCTCGCACGACACTGGGCACGGGACTGGCGCGCACTGCGGCATGATAAAGAATTTTAGAAAGCCTCGTCGGAACCCAACAGGATCGGACCCTGTGGAGAAGAGGAGATACAGGCAGCCTTTGGGGCGGGCATGTGGGGAGGAAAGCTGCCGAGCACGTGGGTGGGAGGTGATAGACGCGGAGATGTACGCGATACTCGCATACCTACGCAAAATGGCGAGCGCGAGCGATGCGCAATCGAGACGGTGCTTAGTACTATGCGACTGCAAACCCGCGCTGCAGCAGATTGAGAAAGCGCACCGCGCGGGGATGCCAGAGGGCCTGAGGAACTGGGAGAGAGGCGGTCTCCTAGAGGCGATTGCGTACTATAGATCGAAGCTAGAGGCGGTGGTCTTTGTGTGGGTGCCATCGCACGTGGGAATAGCCTGCAACGCGTACGCCGACGCGGTGGCGACAGCATACCTCGGAAATAACGACACAGAGGACGCCTCAAAAGTGGTGCGGGACGCAGTGCGCGAACTCGGCCATGCATGTACACGGTGCGAAGGGAGGCGGCAGAGGACACAGAGAAGAGGGAGATAGTGGACCGACGGACGTATGGGCACATGTGTCAGAGCGCGCACGAGTGGGTGTGCGAGCAATATCGAAAGACGGTGAGGCCGGGATCGCACACGAAGGGGTGGCGGGACGGCTGTGGAACGAAGTGGGCAAGTGGCCGTAGCCAGCCTCAAACACCCATCGCATGGGACAATAAGATGAGATTGCCAGCAGATGAGAACGGGGGGAAGGACAGGCGAGCGACATTTGACGACGTCGGGGGTCACAATGTGACGACCAAAACGATCCTGGGGAGCCAAGGCGCATTCTAGATTGCCCCGCCACGACTCGAGGAGTGCGTTTTGGGGATGCAGAGCGTGCAAGGCGGCTAGGGATGAGGCCGCAAAAAAGGCGCGCGAGGCAAGGAGGAGAAATGGAGAACGGATAGACTGCGACGACTTGGACACAAGAAGACAGTGAGCCACCACAGGCGTCGTTGGCGCACAAACTGAGCGGCAGCTGCGGGCTGGAAATAAGGAAGAGGCGCGTTACTTCATGCGGAAGCTTGACAAACACACGGCGAGGGCGACAGCAAGAGTCGAACGGGCGGCGCCTGACTCAAAAGACACAGCCACATTCCTGAGACGCGCGAGGGCAGCTCCTTAAAGAGGCAATGTGGGGTCTAGATTTGGGGCGCTCACCGAAGAGGAGTACGACAAAATAGCGCCCGTGATTGCCTGCACGCTGCCCGCACTCACGGACTCCATACCCGAGAGAAAGAGGGGGGAGCTTGCAGGAGAGGTGACACGAGGGAACTACAGGTAGTGGGGAAGGCAGCCTCGATCGCCTTACAGACATGGGTGCGAAACCAACGACAAGACCAAGGCACGGGCGGAGGAGAGAGAGAAGAATATAGCATGGATATAAAGCGCCTGTTCACGGCATGGAGGGTGAGCCACGCTGAACGTACCGAACGTAGAGCCGAACGGGAGGAAACCGGGGAAGAAGACTCCGAGGAGGACGAACCAGTGGAAATCCCGTTGTCAGCCGTCACGATGCACCCGAAGGGGACCCCAGCGCCAGCATCATCCGTGGAGGTACAAGTGTTCGAAGAGAGAGTGGACCTGAGCAACGATATGACTTGGCGGCAAATGATCGCAGTGGGCGTCAGAAGAGTCGTCCTTGCGCGAGGAGAGCTCGATAGACTCGAGGGGCCAAAATATGCCGCCCGCAGGGCAGACCTGTTGTTGTTTTTTGTTTTTTAGAGCTGCGACGAAAGGCGAGAGAAGCAGCGAGAGCAAGGGGGCGGCAGGCGGCGGCGGCGTCGTCGCAGAACGAGGCAGAGGAGAGCGACGCGACAGAGGAAAAAGCGACAAGAGAGAGAACGACGAGAGTGGGACGACCGCGGGGTGGCATGAAGGTTGCAGCGAGAATCGGCGAGAGAGATAGGAAAAGGCGGACGACCAAGGGTGGGCGACGGCTAGCGCATCACACCCCTCTGAGCTCTGTGTGGTGGCGGCGTGCCGTCCTCCCATCCCTCCCTTGCGTTGTCTGTTTTCTTTCTTTCTTTCTTTCAGAGGTAGAGAGGTGCTGTGTGGTGGCGGCGTGCCGTCCTCCCATCCCTCCCTTGGTTTCCCTTTTTCTTTCTTTCTTTAAAGAAATAGACTCTTGTACTTTGAGCAAAAAAGCTCCTCATCGCAAACCCTGTCAGCAGAGTCTCCTACGGGAATGTACGTAAGAGCTACATACACTGAAAAAGAATTGCGCGGCCCCCTCGTCCTGCCGCGCTCGATGCGACGCCTGAGTCGCCTGCTGAGTCGCCTGCCTGAGTCGCCTGAGTCGCAGCCGCCATCGCCGATGTGGCCTCACCGTAACGTCCCGCTCGGCCTGCTCTCCAACTTCCTCTCCACCACCGCGGGCTCCATCGGCATCGCGCGTGACGCCTACGTGCTGCTGCTGCCCGAGGGCGTGGGCACAGCCACCAACGTAGGGCTGATGGAGGGGATGAGCGGCGTCGTCAATCTGCTCACCTCCTTCGCCGCCGGGGTCGCAACCGACCGCTGCGGCCGCAGCCCCGTGCTTCGGCTCGCGGCCGCCGCCTGCGTCTTGCAGGCGTCGGTCACTTGCCTCGCGGTGCTGTACCTACCTTCGAGGTCGGGCCCGCAGACCGTCTTTGTCGCGCTGTGCGCGGCCTCGACGCTCTTTGGCGCCGTCAAGGGCTCGTATTTCGTCGCGCTGGAGGCCATCTTTGGCGACTCGACGCCGCAGGCGCGGCGGACATCCTTCTACGTCTACAAGCAGATGTCGGCGACGGCTGGCCTCTCCGTCGGGCCGCTCATCGCGGTCGCCTGCTTCGCCCTCTCGCACGACACGTGGACCCGGCCCGAGCTCGTCTCGGTCATCGTCGCCGGCGCCGCCATCGCCGTCGCGCAGGGCGTCGTCTGCCTCTTCTTCCGCGACGTGCCGAGGCCTCCGCGCGAGCGACCTGCCGACGGCCCTGCCGCGCGACTCCTCGACCAGGGCTCAGTCTCAGACGGCACCGCCTCGGGCAGGCAGCGACCGCCGCCGCCGCCGCCGCCGCCGCCGCCGCCGCCGCCGCCGCCGCCGCAGCCGCAGCAGCCGCAGCCGCAGCCGCAGCAGCCGCCGCCGCCGCCGCCGGCGAGCGCGCCCCCAAGCGCCGCTGCCCGTGCTAGCGGCATCGGTGGCGGCGAGGACGGCTGCGGCGGGGCTCGAGTTGGCGGCTTGTGCGCGTCGCGGCGCGTCGCGCCCTTTCTGGCGGCGTCGAGCCTCTCGCTCGGGTTCGGGTCGGGCATCGCGTACAAGTTCCTGCCGCTGTACTGCATGCAGTCGCTCGAGCTGACACCCATCGCCACGCACGCCATCATCGCGCTGATGCAGCTCACCGCCACAGCCCTCAACCTGCTCATCCGCCGCCTCGCCCGCACCACCGGCCCGATCGGCGCCGCCTTCCTCTTCATGCTCGTCGCCAACGCCGCCCTCGCCCTCGTCTGCCTCTCGGCCGATTTGCCTGTGCCGACGCCAGCCATCGCCATCGCGATTGGCGTGCGCGGCGCCTTCATGAACTCGATCGGCGGGATCACGGGCGCGGTGCTCAACGACCACATCTCGAGCGAGCACCGCGGCAAGTGGGCCACGCTGCAGTCGCTCTCCAAGACAACCTGGTCGGGCTCCGCCTTCATCGGCGGCGCTCTGATCGACGCCGTCGGCTATGAACGCACCTTTCTCTGGCCGCTCGCCTTCCACACCCTCGGCATGTGCCTCCTCCTCCCCATCCTCCGCAGCGTGCCGTCAGAGCCCCGGAGGAGGAGGCAGGAGGAGGTGGCTCCCCTCAACCTCCCCGCCACCGCCGGGGCTGGGGACCTGGGTTGTGACGGCAGGGCAGGCTGCCGGGCGAGCAACCTTGCGGTCTGACGTGCACGTGACGTGCCTAGTGTGGTGGGAGCGGAGAGGGGCGATGAGAAAATTCGTTTTCGTCTTTTTCGCGCACGATGCGAAAAAGAAAGAAAGCAGACAACCAAAGGGATTGGGATGGTAAGGGTTGCCAGACGTTAGGAGCTGAACAGTGTTGCTATAGTGTTAACAGTAACAACAGAAACAACACAGTGGGGCTCCGCCTCCCCAACAACAGTAGCTAACGTTAGGCCGACTGAACAACAGTAAGGAAGGCCTGGCAGTGACCCACGACGATCTCTAGTGTCCAGTGCGGGCAATGCCCGAAAAGACCCGGAAAACCCCAGGTATTTTCGGGTTTTACCCGGGTTTTTTGCGTTGCCATTTTCTGCTTGCTGGCCGCTGAACAACAGTAACAACAGTAACAAACAGTAACAGTAACAGCATGGGCTGGGATGAACACTTAAACAACGGTGAGGATTTCAAAGCCAACAATAGCGCAACTGTTAGGCCCCAAATTAACGTTAGGCAACCCTATAGTGGGATGGGAGGACGGCACGCCAAGAAGAGGAGAAAGAAGAGGAGAGGGACTCCGGTGATGACGAAGCAGAAACTAGCGTAGACGAGAGCAGGGCAGACCCGGGGACTGAGGAGCCGGAGCAGACGGCATCGGCCGCCGAGGGAACGTTGGGAAGAGGCACGAGGAGGGCGGCGACCTCAACCGACTATGGAGCGGACCCGTCACCAGACGACGCAGGGCAGAAGACGGTGAGGCGGAGCAGACGCGCAGGGCGAGACGAGGGAGGGAGCAGGACTTTGCGGAGATCAGCAGGAGGATGTACGAAAAGATTAGGAGCAGCAGGGACCCGAGGGACAATGTGGAAGACGGCTAGTGCTAGTCCCCCATCGGGAGGACGACCCCGGCTAGTCGCCGACCACACCCACAAAGAACCCTGCACAAAGATCGCACGGGTGGGGACCTGTTCCTTTTTACCCATCTCACAGTAGAGAGGAATTAGAGGTGTCCCTTTTTACGCCGCTCGCCGCCACCACACAGGGATCGTTTAAGGAGAGGAGTGTGGTGCTAGCCGTCGCGCCACCCCCTTGGGCGTCTCTGCCTCTTCCTATCTCTCTTCGCAGTCGCGCACGACACTGGGCACGGGTTCTGTCGCTAGGCAAAAAAAGAAAGAAAGAAAACATCCGGCTCGCTGGGTGCGCTTCTTAGCTCCCCGGCCCTGGATGTGAGGTTGCCGACTGCACTCCAAGTGCTCCAAGAAAACAGACAACCCAAGGGAGGGATGGGAGGACGGCACGCCGCCACCACACAGGGGTTTTAAGGAGAGGGGTGTGATGCGCTAGCCGTCGCCCACCCTTGGTCGTCCGCCTCTTCCTATCTCTCTTCGGACTTCGCAGTCTCTCGCCGATTCTCGCTGCAACCTTTCATGCCACCTCGCGGTCGTCCCACTCAGCACTCTCGTCGTTCTCTCTCTTGTCGCTTCTTCCTCTGTCGCGTCGCTCTCCTCTGCCTCGTTCTGCGACGGCGCTGCCGCCTGCCGCTCCCTTGCTCTCGCTGCTTCTCTCGCCTTTCGGCGCAACTCTGCCCTCCTCGCGGCATATTTTGGCCCCTCGAGTCTATCGAGCTCTCCTCGCGCAAGGACGACTCTTCTGACGCCCACTCCGATACTTACTAGGAAAGCGGATACAAAACTCGAACACAGCACAGGAAAGAAAGAAAGAAAACAGACAGGCAAGGGAGGGATGGGAGGACGGCACGCCGCCACCACACAGGGTACGATACAAAAAAGAAAAAACACACAAGGTAGGTAGGTAGGTAGAAAGGTGAAGAACAGCCAGGCTCGGACTGGACACCAACGCGGTATGGGTGGACGCTAGACAGATGATGACGACACGCACGAGCGACACACAGACACAAACAGGCTCACAAGACACACAGCCAGCTGGCTGCCACACACCCTGAGTAGGCGTACACAAACCAAGGTACGGCTAGCACCCAAATCTTTTTCGGGACGCCGATCCTCGTCGGCATCGGCAGGTAATTGCAGGTCGCCACGACGTATTATTCGGAATGACTGCCGCCTGCTCCTCTTGTGGGCTGCGCGTGCTCTTCCTCGACGTCGATGGCGTCATCTCGGCGAGAACGCCCGGCAAGATTGAGTCAACTAAGCTCAAGCGCCTCGTCGCGGTCTGTGAATCTACTCACGCGGCGGTCGTGGTGTCTTCGCACTGGCGGCTGGTGCCGGTTCAGCTGCAGCTCCTCGTGCGGACGCTGCGGCTGGAGGGGCTCGACGTGATTGGCGTCACGCCCTCGCGCCGCCCGTGGGATCCTCACCGGCCTCTCGAGATCACGGACTGGCTGCGGGCCTACAACGCCGCCGCGGACGCACACGCTCAGCCGCGGGTGCTCTTCTTCGCGGCCGTGGACGACCGCCCCCTCCTCGACGAGGTGGGAGGCGGCGAGCTCCTTGGCCACTGTGTAACGACGGACAAGGACGAGGGGCTGACCGAGGCGGCCGCCGCAGAGCTGAAACTCGCGCTCTGCCGGCCAATCGCGAGGCCGGCGCTGCTCGGCGGCGCGCCCCCCGCCGATTCCACCACCGGCGTCGCGGGTTGGGCGGGCGGCTTCGTGCGGCTGCAGCGCCGACCGCGCGGGGAGCTGCCCGGCGCGCCGCACGCGTACATGGCGCAGTGGCACCGCGGCGACGAGCGGGAGAAGCCGGAGCGCTGCATCGTGGTGAGCGACTCGGCCGTCGACCCTTCCGCCGGCCGGTGGGCGGGCCGCACCGTCTCGAGCCTGCTCGCCGGGCTGCGGCGCGGCAAGGAGGTGCCGGGCGAGGACGAGCGAGGCATCAGCACGCACGGGGGCACCCTCTGCGCGGCGGTGCGGAGGGCGTCGGCCAACCCGGCGAGTCCGCCGGCGCCGACGAGGCGGGCCTCGGAGGAGGCCAGGACGGTGCACGGAGGCTCCGCCTTTCTGTCGTGGCGCCACCTGCTCCGGGGAGGCGCGCCCGCGTCGCCAGGGTCGCCAGGCCGGCAGCGGCAGGCGGCGCCGGTGCGCAAGCCGCTGGCGCGGCCGGTGGCGATGCGCGCGACGGTGTCCCTCGACATGCTGGATGGGCAGTGCGAGATCTCGCCGCCCGGCGAATAGCGGCGCTCCGCGGGCGGGGGTGCGGGGCACTCCGCATTACGTGCACATGCACATGCGCATGCACATATGCACATGCATGGGGGAGCATGCATGACTGGTTTCAACATACTGTTAGGGGGGAGATTCTACGTTCGCGAGTGGGTCTCTTCACAGTGGCCGTGTGCGCGCTGAGCATGCGCCATGACCCATGTTGCGCCCCTCGTACCTACTTGCGCGTCTCTACCGTGTGCCGTCGTACCGTGGTTATGTGGTTGCACTCATCTCTCATGCTGCAGACCGGGACTGTGTGAGAAATAAACAGAGAACATCTCCCCAGGACTGCGCTTGGAGCACTTGGAGTGCAGTTGGTAGCCTCCCATAAAGAATTTTTTTTATTTTTCGCCCGGCCGGTAACAATGGTCGAGAAGCCCGCAAGCAAGCGTCAGCTCGAGCCCTCGTCCGAGCGCTGGCTGCGCTCTCGCCAGAATCCTCCGCAGGACGAGAGGTCGGCTGCGCGCGAGCAGGCGTCGCGGTTGCAGCGCTCGCAGCGCACGTCGCGGCGCGCGCAGCCGCAGCAGCAGCAGCAGCAGCAGCAGCAGCGGCAGCCGCGGCGGCAGCGGGCTCAGGCCGCCGCCGCGGCGCCGCCGATTACCGCCGGAGGCGTCGACACGCTCCGCGACGCGCTTGCCGAGCGCTCGGAGCCGCCCAACCTGCAGGTGATCTCGCTGCACCGGTTCATGCTCGACCCCACTTGGCACGCGGAGACGGGCGTGCAGGTCACCTCCGCGTGCGGCGACGCGTTCGACGTCGTGCTCTCGGACGGCGCTCACATCCTCAAGGTGGTGCTCTCGACCGCGCTCAACGAGCTCGTCTACTCGGGCCGGCTCGAGCCGCGCGGCGTCGTCACCGTCCGCGGCTGGGAGGCGAGGGCCGACGAGCGCGCCCTCTCCGCCTCGGCGCCGGATCTGATCGTCGTGACGCAGCTGGCGCCGGTGGCAGCGCCCGCCGCCGCCGGCTCCTCCTCCGCCGCCCCCGCCGCCGCCTCCTCCCTCGTCCTCGACGACTACTACGTCGCCTCCGAGAGGGACGGACTCACCTTTGCAGTCGCAGAGCCGGCGGCGGGAGCGGCGCCGCTCGCGAGGCCACACCGCGAGCCGCTTCCCCTGGCGGGGCGCCGGAGGCACTACCTCAAGCTCCGCTCCGACGAGGTGGAGCTCACTCGCCGCTGGGCCGCGCGCGCCGCACCAGAGAACGACGACGGCGGCGGCGGCGGGGGCGGTGGCGGGGCGCTCAGCAGCCAAGCAGAGATGGGCACTTGCTATTAGTTGTTAATCAGAAATGTTACTATTACTTAGGCGCTCAGCAGCCAGGCAGAGATTGACGCGGTCGCAAGGGATGGCGCGGAGCGGGTGCGGTTCGGCACCGTCAACGAGATCGCGCGGATGCAGCAGCAGCGCGACGCCGCCGAGCGGCGGCCGGCGGGTCGCCCGCCGCAGCGGCTGCTCGCGTCGCGTGTGATGGTCGGGCGGGTGGTCGGCAAGAGCTCCCTCAGCCACTGGGGCGGCCCGCACGAAAAGGGGGCGCAGAGCTTCGCGACGTGCTTTGAGCTCACCCTCGCCGACGCTTCCGGCGAGATGGCGGTCGAGGTGTGGAACTAAGGAATCACCGTCATCTACTTGGTGTCATTACTTAGGCGAGATGGCGGTCGAGGTGTGGAACTCACGCTGCGAGCGCCTCTACGCGGCCACCAGGCGACCATTGCGCGCCACACGGCTGCCGCGCCTGCCGCCGCCGGCTGGGGTGAGCCGCGCCTGCCCACGCGCCGCAGGCCGGGCGCCGTGCTGATGGTGCGCGACTACGCGCTGCGCGAGGTTGGCGGCGACGAGGGAGACGTGCGGTTAGACTACGACGGTTGGTAATGGCGCATCGCTGTTGGCTAGGTGGCCGGGGACGAGGGAGGGAAGCGGTTCGTCGCCAAGCTCAACCCGGCGAAGCACCCGAAGGTCCCCGGCAGGGTCGACGTCCTCACCGAGGCGCAGGTGCAGCAGCTCGACTCCCTCCTGCCCGGCCGATTGCTGCCGCCGCGCCGCCCGCCCCTCTCCGATGCGAGCGGCGTGCGGCGCAAGCTGGCGGTCGTGCACGCGGCGCAGCAGTACCTCGGAGAGGCGGAGGAGCTGGCCGACGTGATCGGGCGCGTCGTCGCTTCGCTGCCGCCCTTCCGCTTCCGGCGGCAGCCCAACGGGGACCGCGCGTTCGTCCGCTTCGTGCGCGCGCGCTGGCTGCAGGTCCTCGTCGCCGACAGCGGCGGCGGAGGCGCTGCTCAGCTCCCTCTCCTCCTCCTCGAGCACCACTGCGGCGGGCCGGCCGGCGCGAGCGGCTTCTTCGACGGCGTCGCGCCGGGCGACGACGTGCTGGTCCGCCGGCTGCGTGTCTGCGCCGCCGGAGGCGATCTCGGCGGCTTCCTGGCGACGAGCCGGTGGTCGCTCGCCTTGCGGGCGGCGGAGTTGCTCGCCGAGTACCGCGAGGAGCCGCTGCGGCTCGCGCTGCTCGGAGAGATCGGCAAAGACGCCCGCTCGCAGCAGCAGCGCGGCAAGCGCGACGCGGCGGCGCGGCAGGCCGGCGCGTGGATGGCGGCGCCGCCGCCGCCGGCCACGGGCGGCGACGTCGGCGCCATCTTCGGCGGGCTCCCCCCAGTGCAGGCACTGCTCAAGAGAGCGGGCGGGGAGGCGGCCGGCGCAGCTGGCGACGCGGTGCGGTGCGACTGGCGGCTGCAGCGGCCGCTCGTTCCGATCCGCGACGTAGCTCGCTGCCTGGAGGAGCTGCACGGCGGCGAGGAGGCGTACGTCGTGCTGCGCGCCTCCGTGGCGGCGGCGAGCCTTTCTCACCGAGCGGGGGAGGGGTCCCCCTCCTGTGCAGCATCACTCCATGCTCGTTGTACGAACCGCTCGATAGGCGAGCCTCTCGCCGAGGGGGCAGCACCCGCCACAAGCCCCGCCACAAGCCCTCCTCGGCGTGGCGCGTCTCGAGTCGCCTCTCGCCGCGCAGCCCGTCCCGGTCGCCTTTGCGCTGGCCGACGCGGACGCCAAGGGTCGCGGCGGCGCGCTCTGGGCGGCCGTCGTGAGGAGCGGGGCGGACGAGGCCGGCGCGGCCGACACGCCGCCGCCGCGCTGCACCGCGCGCGCCGCCGGCCAGGCGCTCCAAAAGCTCGAGGGGCGGGAGGTGCTCGTTGCCCTCGACCTCGCCCGCCCCGCGGGCCGGCCGGCGGCGGCGGCGCTCGTCGGAGTCTGGCCGTTGCCGCCGTGAGCCGCGACGGGCAGACGCCCCCCCGTGGCACACACAAGGTCTGGCGCCGCTAGACAGGCTTCCACGACCTCGCTCGAGTCGGCATGAGGGGGCGGGTATCCACATCGGACAGGCGCGCACCCGTCGACCGCCGCCCGGGTACGTCGAATGAATAGCCGTTGGAGTGTGTGGGCGATTGCGTGTGTCGCTTGTCGCTCGTGCCGGCGTGTGTCCGGGGCGCCCACACTGATCAACCCCACACTTACGCACGTGCCGTGGGGGGGCACCCACGCCATGGCGGGCTCAATGCATGACATGCACGCGCATTTGGTGCGTCTCGTGTGTCTCCCGGTGGGATGTGGGAACGGGCTCTGAGACCAGCTCTCCTCTCTCACCTCTGTCCATATGGCATGTTGAGCCGAGATTAGGAGCCAAAAACAAAAAAGTGTTACGCATTCGAAAAAAGACGCAGGCGCCTCTCCGCTCTCGCGCGCCGCGGGACTCCACGCCGCACGCGCGACGCGGCGGGTCCCGCCCGCCGCTCAAGCGAGATTCCGAGACGTCACCAGCCCCAAGTGACAAGCGCGAGGGCAAAGGCGTGCAAGGGCGAGAGCGGGTAGCGAAAGTCGAGCGAGTACGTCGCCTCGTCCAACTTTCCGTGCAGCAGCACGATGGGCGCGTCCGCGGCAACCTTGCCTCGCAGTGCGGTGACCAGCTGGAAGTTGCGCTCGGAGGCCAGGTTGGCGCGCCCGTGGAAGGGCAGCTCGAAAGCGTCCGTTGAGGGGTTCCATCTGCGGGCGGCGGCGAGGCGGCCGTCCGAGGAGGACGCGGCAGAGCGCGAGCGGGGCGGGGCTGGCCGGCACCGAGGCAGCTTCGTCATCAGCAAAGTGGCTCCTGGCGTCGGCTGGCCGACGAGCGCGTCGTGCAGCTGCGATCGCAGCTCGCCCGGCGGCCTACAGAGCCGCGGCGGCGGGCGTCGTCTCTCTGGCGGAGGGCGGACCGCCCCTCCTCAGCGAGGGCTTGCCTCTCTAACGCAGCAGCGCACTCGGCCTCCCCTGGCAGCCACTCGCGCCCGCTGCCGTCCCGCGCCTCGGCCGACTCGTCCAAGGGGAGCAGCGCAGCCATCGTGTTGACCTGCGGCGGGGCCAGACGCGCGAAGGAGGCGGCTTGGAGAGGGCGGCGCTCTCCCGCCTCCCTCTCGCGGGGCGTGGGGTAGCGCCTCGGGCAGGTCCAGGACACTTCCTAGACACTTCCTACTGTGGGCCGGCGCCTCGGGCAGGTCCTGCGAGAGGGCGCGCGTCTCGTGCGAGCAGCTGAGCGACTCCCACGAGGCGCGACTGCGACGAGGCGGGCGCGGAGCTCAGCGGCGGCTGCGCCGGGACTGCCTCGCCGGCGGCTCTGTTGGGCCGGGCTGTGTGTGGCGAGGCTCTGTGGCTGGGCTGTGGCCTCTGGCCTGCTCGAGGAGCGGACCCTCTCGACGGAGTAGGCGCCTCCGCCACACGTCGTCAGCTGCACAAGTGCGCTCGCCGAAGCAAAGGCACGGTCGGCTCCTGCGGCCGACACGGGAGGAGGGAGCGTCGGCCGGAGGCGGGAGGAGGGCGAGGCGGGACTGTCTCGCTCGCCTATCCGCCAGTGCTTGCCCTCCTTCCGAGCGACGAGCAGCAGGACCTGCGGCCGGCGGCGGCAGCAGTGGCTTCGCGAGCAGCCACGCGGTGTGGGCCGCGGTGGTGGGCGCACATTGCCGTCCTCGACGTGCATGAGCACGTCTTTCTCTCGAGGCTGGAGCCGGACCACGCAGCGGAGCGATCCCTCGGCGCGCGGCCGCGGACGTATAAGCCGCTCGCACTGCGGGTCGTACGAAGGCGGGATGTCGATCAGGTGCTGCGGGGGCTCCTCGCCACCGCCGCATGCACTCCACATCTCGGGTCGCGCCGAACGCTGTGGAAAACGGGCCCGTGAAAAAGAATTTAAACAAAGACTCTGTCTCACAGCACACAGGCTCGACACAGGTGCGAACTGGCGCGTGCTAGTACTATCACGTGAAAAAGAATTTTAGCGCATTCTCCGAGGAGAGCGATGAGTCAGAGGTCCTCCCATCCCTCCCTTGGGCTGTCTGTTTTCTTTCTTTCTTTTAGAGAGAGAGAGAGATTTGTTCTTTTATGAGTCAGAGGATGAAACAGCAGGAGAGAGAACGACGTCGACGAGAGTGAGTGAGAAGACCGCGAGGCGGCATAAAGGTCGCTGGACGCTGCGAGAATTGGCGAGAAACTGCAAAAGAGAGATACATGTAGAAGAGGCAGACAGGACGCCCAAGGGTGGGCGACGGCTAGCACCACGCTCCTCTCCTCAAAATCCCTGTGTGGTGGCGGCGTGCCGTCCTCCCATCCCTCCCTTGGCTTGGAGCACTTGGCATGCCTGTTTTCTTTCTTTTTCTGCGCACGGGACTGGCGCGACAAACACGCTGAAAATCTCTCTCTCTCTCTCTCTCTCTCTCTCTGGCGCGCAACTACACACTAACGTTCAGGTTGCTGGTTGGAGTTTTCTGGTCCGTGGTTCATAGCACATAGCGGGTCAGCAAAAGCCCTTGCTAAAACGGCGGGACCGGGGTAGGGCTATATCGACAGAGCTAAGAGGGCTCAGCCACCCCTCCACCCCTCCACCCTCCACCCCTCCCACCCTCCCGGAGCGAGAGAGGTCCGTCCTCGAGCCCTCTCACTTCCACCCCTCCGACCGGAGGGCTCGCCAGCCCACAGGGCTGGAGGGGTCCCCGTCGGATCGGCGTCGGGAGGGCTCCACAGGGCTAACCCCCTCCCCGGACGCCGGGTGGGCTCGGAGGGGCGGTCGGACAAGGGAGGATCTTCGTGGCGGGAGAGGGCTCGAGAGGGGTCGGAAGGGCCCTCCGGGAGGGGTCGCAAAAAGAGTAAAAAACGAAGTCGCGGCTTATGTGACTGCATCCCAAGAGGGCTCGGAGGGCTCGGAGGGCTCGGAGGGCTGGAGAGGGCTGGCGGGCTCCATTCCTCGACAACGTTTTATTCGCTCTTCATCGTGCCTGAGGGAGGGTGTAGAGGATGTAGAGTGTAGAGCGCTGTAGAGCTGTAGAGCTGTAGAGCGCTGTAGAGCTGTACTCGAGTAGAGCTCTACATCCGCCGCGGGACGAAGCGCCTGCGTTGTAATTTTCCAAGTCTGCGGTGTTCTGAGTGGAGTGGATGGAGGCGTGTGGCGTCTTTCTTCCCGTCATCCAGAGAGCCGACTCGGCGGCAGAAGACTCTGGCATCGCCCTCGCGGACCGCAGCTTACTTACCTCTTACCTAAAAATCCTTGGGGCCGGCTCTGGTGAGTGCCGGGCCGGAGCTAAGAAACCACGGCGTGGGGAGGGTGATGAGGCGCAATCACCGTCCCAGCCAGAGGAGTACTCGTCGCCCTGAATGGTTGCCCAGGTTACTCAGGACACCATCCCGGCGTGAACACGACGAACTGCCCTTCTCCGATGCACGCGCGGCACGCGCCACGGCGCGGCACGTGCCGCCGTCTTTGTTTGAAGTAAAAAGTCGAATCAGAGCGGTGTCGGCGTTTTCCTGAGTTTTCTCCTTCGGACCGCCCAACCGGGACCGCTCCGGGACGCACGCCGGCGAAGCACCATCAAGCTGCTGTACGGCCGCGGTTGCGCGGTATCGCCTCCCCTGGCTTAGCTAGACTGAGATATATTGTGCACAAGGTTGGCCTCTACAATATATACACTGACACTCTACCTCCCAGAGCTCGTCCCGGTCCGCCACGGCCATCCTTGGCCTCCGGAGGGCCCCCGGCCGCGGCGCGGTGCGGCGGCGTCACAAATCCGACCACAGAGCACCGGGACGCGGTCGGGCGATCTGAGGTCCAACTAGGCGTATGCATTGCCCATCCATGGCTATCACCTGGACCCATCAACAGGCGCCTGCGGCGCCGTGGTCACGAGGTGTTGTTCACACCTGGGCAAGCATTCATGCAGCACAGTAGTGACTAGTTTCTTGAAACCACCACCAAGGCTGCCCGGCGATGGCAGGGCAAGCTGGTTACGCTCGGCTCTCCGAGGAAGGGCCTGCGTGGCGCGGCGCTCCGGTTCAGGCCTCGGCGGAGCTCAGCAGCTCTCCCAAGGCGCCGTGCCGCGCGTCGCCGTGCGAGACGAGCGCCGGTGCGGAGCCGTCAACCGCGAGAGCGGCAGGCGGCGGTGCGGCGAGCCGCGCCCGCCATGCTGCTCCCGCCCTGCTCTACGAGCCCAGCCTGGCGTGCGCCTCGCTTCCCTGGTGGCTCGTGCTGCTGCTGCAGGCCGGGCTCTGGTGGACGCTGCAGCAACAGCAGCCCTCGGACCCGTCCGACGACTACTCCGTGTGGCGCGACGGGTGGGCCGCGGCGGCTGGCTCGCACGGCCTCTGCTCGTCCTCGGAGCGAGGCATGCTCCGCTTCGACGAGGAGAGCGGCGCCTTCATCGGCTGCGACGGCAGCGCGTGGTCGCGGCTCGCGTTTTGCTGCGCGCCAGACCAGCCCGAGCCCCCGACGCTCGCGCTCGCGCCGGCGGGGAGCAGCGGGAGCTCCAACGCGCTGCACGCCTCGTGGCGCCCTCCCGCCGCACACGGCTCTCCCGTCGTCTCGTACTCGCTCTTCGTCTCGCGCGAGCCGCCGGCGGCCGCGGGCGAGCCCGCGGCGGCAGAGGCGGAGGTGGCGTGCAGGGGGGAGCGGCTCGAGTGCACCGTGCTCGGCCTCAACGCGTCGCAGCCCCACTTCCTGTGGCTCGTCGCGCACGCGCCCGGCGGCTCCTCGCCGCCCTCGGCCGCCGCGGCTCCCGCCGGCCGAAGGACACCTCTACCCCTGCCGAGATCCGGAGGAGGGAGGGGTGTGGGTTGCTGGTAGGCACTCCAGCCGGCGCCGCAGCCGGTCGCGCTTAGCGCACTCGACGACGGGGACTGCGCGTTCGGCATCGGCGACGCGCTCGCGCCGCTCCCGCCGGAGAGGCGATCGGGTGGAGTGACTGAGGCGCTGAACTTGTCGAGTTCAGGCGACGCGCTGGTGCTGCAGTTTGACGAGCCGACCAACCGTCCGCTGGCGGTGGAGGGGTCGCTCTCCGCCGCCGCGGTCGAGAGGCTTCTCGACTTTTCGCCTCCGGTGCTCGACAGCAGCGGGCTGCGAAGCACTTGCGGACGAGGCGGGCGTCGAGGAGCCTTGCAGGAGGGTTCCTGGACCTTTCCTGTAGGCTGCTCGGCGCGTGGGACGAGGCGGGCAGGAGCCTGACGCTGCGGCACGGGAACGCGACGCACGGCCCCGGGCCAGCGCGGGACGTGGACCTCTACCTAGCGGAGGCGCGCCAAGTCATTCCGCAGCTAGTTAGTGTGACCGCGGGGAGGAGCGGATTTGCCACTCTCGCCCCCGGGAATCAAGGAGCTGCAGCTGATGAGCGCCTGCCCCCCCTCCCCCCCCCTTTGCGGAGGTGCGCGTGCGGATCAAGCCGGAGGGGCTCGCCCTCGTCGCGCCGCCCGGCCTCTCGCTCGCCGCCGACAGCTCCTCTCCGCCGCTCAAAGTGCCGGGCTGCTTTGTCGACGGGTTCGAGGTGCGGCAGCCGACCCCTGCGGGCCGGGGACGGGGAGAAGAGCGGGGTGAGAGAGCGGGGTGAGAGAGCGGGGTGAGAGAGCGGGGTGAGAGAGCGGGGTGAGAGAGGGGTCGGCCGCACCCACGCGACCGCCCCGCACGGGCCTGGGCGGGGCTGGAGCGGCTGCCTCTCCGCCCGCGCCGTCCTAGCTCTGCCCCTTCCCCCCTCTCGCCCCTTCAGGTCGGGGAGTTGCGCTGGTACGCCGAGGGCAGCGACCCGGAGGCGTACAACGTGTCGGTCGACACCGCGTCGCCCCACTCCGGCAAGCACTCCCTCCGGATCGCGGGAGGGAGCGGTGCGGCGGCCCGCCCCTCCGGCCCCCCTTTCCCCCTCTGCAGCCCCCTCCCCCTCCTCTGGTCCTCAGGCGGCCAGTTCGACGGCCTCTCCGCCTCGCTGCCCGGCGCCTCGGGTGCGCACCTGCCGCACTGCCGCACTGCTCCACACACACGCGCGGCATCTGTTGTCTCATGTGACATGATGTAGTGCTATGTCACATCAGGCGAGCCGCGCGGGATCTCCTTTTGGCTGCGCACCTCGGTCGCGGGCAACGTCGGCTACCTCGCCCTCGGGGGCAAGTCGCTCGCGCAGTCGGTCGTCTTCTTCCACCTCCGGCCGAGCGGCCAGGCGGGCCTCCTCTCGACGCACGGCTACTTCATGGGCGGAAACTACTCGGTCAAGAGGTGGCTGCACGTCGACATCGCGCTGGACTGGAAGGCGCCCCCGGCCCCCGCCCTCCCCAGCCCGCTCTCGGCCGCCCAAACACACACACACCCGCCGCCGCCGCCGCCACCACCACCAGGCTCGCTCAGCCGACCTCTCGCTCGACGACAAGCTCGTCGCCTCCAACGTGCGCCCCCCCCCCCCCCCCCTCCTCCTCCCCCTCCCCCGCCCTACTGTATCCCGCCCCCCCCGCCCGCCTCCCTCCCACCAGGTGCGGTTTGTCTCGGACGAGGCGCTCGAGGGGCGCACGCTGCACGTCTTCAACTCGGACCCGGGCACCGTCTGGTGGGACGATTTTGTAGTGCACTGACGCAGCACGGCGAGCGGCGCAGCCCGGCCCCCAAGGCCTTTGGTGGCTTCGGTTTTGGCTCGGGTCTCTCGCGTGCCCGTGCCTCTCCTCTGCTCAATAGTTTGCTCGCACCATCCGCCGCACAGCTGCCCCACACTCACCGTGGAGCAGCACACGACCATTTAGTCTGAGCGGTCTGTGAGGCGGGGGTTGCGGCGGGGTTCTTTTTGTTGATTAGTATTTCCCGGCGATGTTATGCTGCCGCTCCTGATCGCTGATGCGCCTCTCCGGCCGCTCTTTCGCCGCGCTACCTCCCTCTCCCTCTCCCACTAGCCTCCGGGGAAAAAGATATCAACAATGGATGGCGCGTTTCGTAGCGCACGCGTCTGTGTGAGCGAGCGAGCGTTGGAAGGGCGTGGGAGGGGCGATGCAGGCAGGGGGGAATGCAGGGAGACGGAGGGCTCGGTAGTGGCGGCAAGGGGGGTGGCGGTGACGGCGGTGGAGGTGAGGGAGGGGAGGGACAGCTGGAAAGTGCAGTGTGACACCCAAAAGGTGTTGGACAACGGTGACACGAGGGCTGGGGGTGTGAAGGGCATAACCATGGTTGCGTGCAGACAATGGAGATAGAGCAGCCCCGGAGCGGAGGCCCGCCCGGGGTATTCAGTGTGTCGCGGGCGCCTAATCGGGATTAATTCCGTCGGGCGCCTACGAATTTACGTTTGCCGTCGGTGTTTCGCAAGCGCGCCTGGCGGCGGCTTGTGCTATGCCTGCTTTGGAGCCCGACGGGAACGCGGGAGCTATGGTCTGGGACATGGGCTGGCCTTCGTGGGGCCAAGGCTTTGCCTCGGTGCCCGCAGTCGGTGCCCTTTGCCTCGTGTTGATGCAAGGCTTTCCGGGGCTAGTTGGCAACAACCTCACCATGGAGTCAGACCAACTCAGCCTACCCATTACGGTTGGCGGGGCCTCCGGCTGCGTCATGAGCGCAGCTCTCACCGCCACCAGCCCCTCCAAGTACCCCAGGGCGATTCTCGAGTTCGTCCTGCCCGCGCTCATTGTGACCACGGCCTACGTTCTGTTGCTGACAGGTGGGGGTGAGCACCACACCACGGGCGACAAGAAGGGGGGATCGCGACCCTCGACCACCAGGGGCAGCGACTACCTGTCCCTGCTCATCCCACGGTATGTGGGCCAATCGCGCCGGGCATTTATCGGGAGCCTCTTGTTCTTCCTCACGTTCCTGGTTGCAGCAGCAGATGCTGTGTGCCCGATAGGGCGAGGCAACTTCTGTTATCAGCACGACTGTTGATGAATTCTGGACCAAACTTATCTTCGCCGGTGTCCAGTCCAATTCTCCCCAGCTTGCGTACTTACTTGTCGCCGACGCCAACCGAGGGGTGAGCCGTTCCCAGCTCCCCACGTGCGTGCGTGTGATATTCGAGGGCTCGACCGGATCGTGAGCTTTGTGAGGCCGCAATCTCGTACTTAGGTCTTAGCGATAGGCAGGCACATCATGTGGTATGACAATCTCAGCTTAGGCCTTAGCTCGCCCCCCCGCTTAGGCCGCTTAGGTGCTTAGGCGGTCTCTGGGGTTGGGTGGGACCTGGGGCCCGCGGGCGGGACTGACGGCTTGAGCCACTCTCTGTCTGGTGGCTCTCTACGGAGCGTTTACACAACAGCTCGGCACCCGTGGTGCGTGGACTCAGCCGAGGCCGGAGAGCGTCTGTGACGACAGCCTTCCTTGTGTGAGTGAGTGAGTATTCTTGATACGAAACCACGACGACACACACCAGTCGACTCGCATCGGTTGCCTCCATTAACGGCGGAGCTATTCTCGCGCCCACACCACACCTGGCTCCAACGTGGACACGCCCATAGCCTGGGCTGCTGGGGACACTACTAGGTCATGCATGGCATCAGAAGTTTTATCTCTGGGCCCCGAAACGCATCTCTAGCAGCGTCGTTACGCATGCGCCCTCCCCCCTGGGCGCATGCGCCTCACATCTCGCCAGAGCATAAGCCCTTGGTGTGCGGCGAGACGAGTTTTTTGCCATCGCCGCGAGCAGCAAGCCGCCCGCCGCAAACAGCCGGAGGCATCGCCACGGCACTGACTGCGCCGCGATCCCGCCCCCGTCGACGAAGCTCCCCCCGCGGAAGACCGCGCGTAGCGACGCCTTGACGATCGAGATGAGCGCGCTCGAGGCTCGCCCACCTACTGCCCCTGAGAGTTGGTTACGAGTGGGATCAGACACACACACACACACACACACACACAGCCTTCCTTGGCGGTCTCACTAATGAAGCAACGCGTGTGCGGGCGCTAGCCATCCTCCTCCACGTCCGCTCTCGTGGCGACGACCATCCATCGCCACCGTATAAGCACCCACGACAAGGCTGCATCCCTCTCCCCCCTCTGGGAAAACTCAAACAAGTAAAGGGGTCCCGTACCATGCGGAATCGACCCGGTCAAGTGCTCAAGTGCTCAACAAGTAAAACAGTACTTTTAGTTTACTGCGAGAAACTCTCGCTGGACGTACGAGCGCGCCCGGACAGCGGGGCTAGACGCGGACCTCTCCAGATAGACTTCTCCGGCGTCGACATGTCGGCCGACATGTCGACTAGCTACGGCAGCACTTGCATCTCGGCCGAGGCGCTCCAGGCGATCATGGACAAACGCATGGTGCAAAGCGGCCGGAAGCCACAGTGGCACACGCACTTGCAGCGTCAGCTCAAGGGGTACGTGGACGCTCTGACAAAGCCGCACTTTGCGGAGGAGAGCATTGCGTGCCTGCGCATGTTCAGTGGCGAAGCGCTTGAGCCGCACGCCCTTCAGATCATCAAGGCCGCGCGCGATGGCAAATTGCACTTTCCGGTAGAGGCTCTCGCGCTGCTGGGCAAGCTCGATGACCGCACGCTGGAGCTTCGCGCGGGCCGACTGGCGGAACTGCTCACTCACGGCTCGCCCGACGTTCGCTATGGCGCGCTCTGCCTGCTCTCTCGGCTTCCGGCAGAGCGCTTGCTTCGTTGGCAGGACGCCATCGGCAGCTTGCAGCCCGCCGATGCGGCTGACGCCGCTGACGCGGTGGTATTGCGACAGACAAGCGATCTAGCGGCGCGTATCATTAACACTATCTACGCCCCAGGAACGGCCGGCTTCCGCCGTGCCCAGGCCGAGTTCAAGGCGCACGGCGAAACATCCGACGGCAGGCCGGAAGGCAAGAAGCCCGCGAGTCGCAGAGGAAGTCGGAAGGCTCAGAAAACCGGGTAGGTGTAGGTCAGTTGTTGTCGGAGGGGCTGCCCGTGACGCGCCTTGAGTGGCTCCGAAGAGAGAACGCTTCATGTGAAAGATCACAATGACGATCCCGACACTCCTCGCGCCGTCCTCTCGCGCCTCATGACTATCTCAGCCCGGGGCCCGGGGCGGCGCGCGCTCGCGATCGATCGCGAGCTGGGCGCTGCACACGATGCGCGGCCAGGCGGCGGCAGCCTTCTCGCTCTTGCTTGCCCACCAGGCCTGCCCCACAACCTCCGCCTCGCGACGCTCGAGATCTCCGCACGAGCGTCTCGTCGCCCATTCCGCTCTCGGCGCGTGACTCGCCGCCAACTGCTGCCGCAGTCCTTCAGCGTCGGCCGTCGCCGCCGCCGTGCTGCCGCCCATCATCGAGGGATGGGCGGAGAGGCCGGACCACCGCCCTTTTGCCTTTTATTTAAATCGATCGCACGACAGCCAGCTGTCGTCTCGCACACACGCCTCCATCCACTCCACTCAGAACACCGCAGACTTGAAAAGTGACAAGTGCGCTGCCGCAGGCGAAGAGAAATGTTGATCCGCAGCTGGGGCTCCGGACCCGTTCACACTCGTGTCTGGCCTTTTCTTTCTCGGGGCGCGGCGCGCCGTGGTTTCTTAGATTTTTGCGGAAACCGCTTGGTAGGGTTTGTTAGTGCCACGGTTTCTTAATGCCCGCAAGCCCCCGTAGTGTCCGCCAGTCCGGGCGAAGAAACCTTTTTCCCGCGCGCTTGATATTCCCAGCAGCCAGCCGCGCGGACTGGAAGCTCGCGCATCGGGGAGTGCACCGTCGTCCGGCTGATGCGTTGTGATGTCGTGCCCCTCCACGCCAGCCCCGGGCATCATGGCTCTCGCCATGGAGGCTGGCGTGAGTGACCCACCACCGCTTGCTCCACGGCGGCATGGCCAGCGAGAGCGCCTCGCTCCGCCAATGCCGCCCGGCCGCGGCGCGCTGCCGCTGGCAAATCCACTCACTCAAATGCCGGTGTGCTCGCGCCATCAAAGGGCGCAGGTCATTGAGTTCCACTGCAAGCCGCCCAACGAGGGTAAATCCTTCTATCGCTGCAACGCCGGCGGCCGCGGGCCAGGGCAGTGCTCGCACCTGTGGGTGTGGTCCCACGAGTGGGCCGCATACCGGGTGCAGTGCGAGGCATATGCTGTGCCGGAAGCACCTGGGACAGGCGGCCCGGCACCGCCGGGCACCGCATCCGCCGCAGCCGCCGCCGCCGCGACCGCTTCCGCCGCCGCCGCCGCCGCCGCCACTGCCTCCGCCGCGTCCGCCGCCGCGGCCTCTTCGGGGCAAAAGAGGAGCCGATCATCTGCAGGCTGCTCGAGCTCAAACTGGCCGCCCAGTTCGCCGGCCAAGAGGCCTGTTCCGGAGCACGCCGCTCCGGTGCAAGTGTGCGCCTCTGGAGGCTTCATGAGCGGTGCCGAGGTGCAGCAGCAGCTCCACCGGCAGCAGATGCTGGCTCCAAGCATGGCACCGCCGCCTCCTGCGTCGCCTCAGCCGCCGCCGCGCCCACCGCCGCCGCGCCCACCGCCGCCACGCCCACTGCCGCCGCGCCCACCGCCGCCGTCGCTGCCGCCGCGGCCGCCGCCTCAACAACAGCCGTCGCCGCAGCACCTCATGCCGCCGCCGCAGCTGTACCAGCAAAAGAGGCCGCCGCCGCCTCAGCACGGTGCGTCGGCGCAGCAGCAGCGGCAGCCACAACGGCCGCCGCCCCCGCAGCGACAGCCCGCTGTGCAGCCGCGGCAGCAGCTGCGAGGCGAGCAGCAGCGTGCGCCGGGAGCGCACGCGCCCGCCTCCTTCTTCCGCTCGGGCGGAGGTCGGCCGCTCACCGTGTCAGCCTCCGGCCTCGAGCGCGGCAATGCAATGGTGGAGGCGGCGGAGAGCATGAGAAGCGAGGGCGCGACCGTTGCGAGCACTGCCCCCGGCGGCAGCCTCCTCGTTCCCGCCTCGGTGGGGGCGCGAGGGGCAAGCAGCTCGTCGGCGCCGCCCCAGCGGCCGCTGAATCGCAACTTGAGCCAGCGGTCAGACCCGAGAGCCTTCCGCGCCCCACGTGCGAGCCAGGGGAGGCCGCCTCAAGCAGCGGCGGCGCAGCCACATCCGCCGCTCCCGCAGCCGCCGACACACCCGCCGCTCCCGCAGCCGCCGCTGCCGCCCCGTGCGCCGGCCCTGCCACTGCAGCATCGTCTGCCGCCGCGGCCTCCGCCGAGTCAGCCGCAGCCGTCGCAGCGGCAGCTGCAGGCTCAGGCGCAGTGGCCTCAGCCGTCGCCGGTGATGGCGCGTTCCAGCCCCCACCACCAGCCGCTGCCGCCGCCGCCCTGGCCGCCGCCAGTGCCTCCGCCGGCCCCGCCACGCCAGGCCGGGGCGACGGAGCTGCGGCTCTGCGCCCCGCCGGCGCGATCCGTTGCGAGCCAGCCCGAGGTCGCCACGGTGCAGCATGGCCGGCCGCCGCCGCTGCAGACGCCGTCCCAGTCGCGAGTGGCTGCTGCTGAGGAGGAAGAGTGCAGGCTCTCCGACGTGCTGGCTCTCGCCGACGCGATGCCGACGGCGTTGCCGCTCGGCGTGGCCGGCGAGGCGTCACCGGACTCGCAGCCTCTTGCCCGCTCCTGCCCGCCGGCGCCGCCCCAGGAGCTGGACCTCTCGATCGAGGCGATGGGCAGGCGGCTCGGCGTGCCGGCGCCGGTGGTCGACGCTTGCAGAGCCGAGCTCCGCGTGACTGCGCTGCACCGGTGGCAGGCCGAGTGCCTCTTGCTGCGCGGCGTGCTGGAGGGGCGCTCGCTCGTCTACTCGAGCCCCACCTCGGGCGGGAAGTCGCTCGTGGCGTGGCTGCTGGTTGCGAGGATGCTGGCGACGCGCAAGAAGAAGGCGCTGATCGTGCTGCCGTTCGTCTCGCTCGTCGAGGAGGTCGGCGCGACGCTGAGCGGTCTGCTCGCCAAGCTCAAGGTGTGCCGCACCGCCAAGAAGAAGCGGAAGAAGGGCATGGCCGCCTTGCCGCGGCCGGTGCGCGTCGAGGTGTGCCACGGTGCGCGCCACTCCGCCAACTTCGACAATTGCGACGTCGCCGTCTGCACCATCGAGAAGGCGCACCTGATCGTCAACAAGCTCGTCTTCGACAAGCAGCTGCACGAGCTCGGGGCGGTGGTGGTGGACGAGGTGCACCTGCTGGGCGACCCCAGCCGCGGCCACCTCCTCGAGCTCCTCCTCGCCAAGCTGCTCTTCGCACAGGCGCCGCCGGCCGGCCAGGGCGTCGCGGGAGCGGACGCAGGCGGCGCGGGCGGAAGCTCGGCCGGTGCCCGCGACGCGCCGCGAGGCACGCAGGTGGTGGCCATGTCGGCAACCCTCCCCAACGCGGCGCAGATCGCCGGCTGGCTGCACGCGGCGGTCAAGGAGGCCGACTTCCGGCCGGTCGCCCTCAAGCAGTACACTTTCAGCCTACGGGGCGGCCAGCTCGAGGCCGTTCCTGCGCCGGCCAGCGCCGGCGCACCGCACGGGCCATCGCGAGGGCGCGCGATGGTGGGGCGACGCCTCCTCGGACCGCTCACGCCCAACGACGCCGGCTGCCTCGGCGCGCTCTGCGCCGAGGTTGCGCACAGTCTCAACGGGCCGCAGGACGTGTTGGTCTTTTGCCCGACCAAGAAGGGCGCCGAGGGCGCGGCGGCGAGGGTGGCGGCCGCCTTTGGCGAGAAGGGCCTGCGCGCCCCGCCCGAGGTGCAGCAGCAGCGCGTGGCGCTCCTCTCGGAGCTGGAGCGAGCCATGTGGCCGCTGGACCTGCGGCAGCTGGGCGATGAGCCACCGCCGAGCCTGCAGGCGCTGCGCAAGACGCTGCCGCACGGTGTCGCCTTCCACCACGCCGGCCTCGACAACGAGGCGCGGGAGCTGGTTGAGATGGGCTTCCGCCGGCCGGGCACCGTCTGCGTCCTCTGCAGCACGTCGACGCTCTCCGCCGGGGTCAACTTGCCGTGCTCCCGCGTGGTGATCACCTCGTGCCAAGACTACGGCGACAAAGGCTGGCAGTTCCTCAAGTCGACGAGGTACCGCCAGATGTCGGGACGTGCTGGCCGGACCGGGCTCTGTAGCCAGGGCGAGTCGATCTTGTGCGTGGAAAACGACACGGAGAAACGCAAGGCGGAGGAGATGATGCGCGCGCTGCCCGAGCCCCTCTGCTCTCACCTCGGCGAGGCCGCCCCGCACGCGCTGTGCCGCTTCGTCCTCGACGCGGTGGCTTGCGGTCAAGCGTCCGACAGCAGCCGGCTGCGGCAGGCTCTGTGCTGCACGCTCGCGCACCATCAGCTGCGCGTGAGCGAGCACCCCGATGCGAGGAGGGCGCTGGACGACGCCATCGGCGCCCAGCTGGCGTGGCTCACCGCGCGGAGGCTGCTCTCGCACAATGCGCAGACGCTCACCTGGAAGCAGACCACGCTCGGCCAGGCCGTCTTCCTCTCCGGCCTCCACCCGGCCGAGGCGGTGGAGATGCACGACGCGCTGCAGGCGGCGCTCAGCCACTTTCAGATGGGCGACGACCTGCACCTCATCTACCTGATGGTGCCGTCGGCCGAGAAGGTCAAGGAGCTCTTCCGTGACACCGGCGATGCCGGCGACGCCCGCGACAGCACCTACCGCTGGGGCCAGCTCGGCAAGCAGCTCGACGAGCTCACTCCCGCGCAGCGCAAGGTGGCCGAGGTGTGCGGCGTCGACTACGAGTACGTGCGGATGGTGCAAGGGTGGCGCGGGTCCGTGGTCAGCCCCGACGCGGCGCGCAAGGTGGACGCGTGCTCCAAGTTTTGGGCGGCGCTCATGCTGCGGCGCCTCAATCGCGGCGACACCTTCTCCCGGGTCTCGTCCCGGTTCGGCGCGTCGGCCGGCGAGCTCGAGAAGCTGCAGAAGGACGCGGCTGCACACGCAAGCCGCTTCCGGACCTTCTGCTTTGAGGCGGGCTACAGCAACGTGGCCAACCTGGCGGCCTACTTCTTACAGCGCGTCGAGGGCGCGGAGGACGGGCCGAGCGCCCTCGCCATCCAGGGCATCGCGCAGGTTGGCCCCAAGCGTGCCAGGGCCCTCATCCGGGCTGGCTTCAGCTCGGTCGAGCGGATCGCCCAGGCGCCGCACGACGCGCTGCTGGGTGCGCTGCAGAAGGGCGAGAGCGGCGCGGACGCCGCGGTGCTCGCCGCAGCCGTCGGGAGGATTCGGAGGGGCGCGGCCCGTCTCGCGGCCGCAGACGGGCCGGCGCAGCCGGGCCGGCGCTCGTCTCTGGGCGCGCCGGGCCGGCGAGGTTCCCTGCCCTTCGAGATTGTGCCGGTTGGCAGCCGCTTCGGCGCGTGGGACGCCTTCTTCGAGGAGTGGCTCCGGGCGCCCGTCTTCTCCTGGGCCGCCCTCACCGCGGACGCCGGCGGCAGTGCGATGCTCCAGGGAATCGCCGTCTGCCTCTGCCCCGACAAGGTCTTTTGGGTGCCCCTTTACGAGCCTCCGCCCGGGCCTGCTCCCGAGGGGGCGGAGCCGCTCGAGGCGGCGGAGCCGCTCGAGGCGGCGGAGCCGCTCGAGGCGGCGCCCCGCCTCTCTCCGCAGGAGAGGCGACCAGAGAGGCGGCTTCGCTCGCGCTTCGTCGAGGGTGTGCGGAGGGCTTTTGCAAGCAGCAGGAGGAAGGTCGGCCATGACGTGGCGCCGCTCCTGCCGCTGCTCTCCTCGCTTGGCGTGCGTCTCGAGCCGCCCGTCATCGACACGAGCCTCGCTTGCGCGCTGCTCTCCCCTGGACAGAGCGCCCCCCGCGAGCTTGCCGCGGAGCTCTCCTGCTGGCCCGACACGCCCTCGGCGCTGGTGAGCGTCGCCGCGTCGTGTGCGGGCCACGAAGAGGCGTGTCTGCGCGCGGCGCAGGCCCTTTGCTTGGTGGAGCGCGTGTCGCGGCCGCTGTGGGACGAGCGGCTCGAGGAGCCGTTCAGGCTTCTCTGCAGCCTGTCGAGCTCCCCGGTGCTGCAGAGGCTCGGGCAGGGCGTGCTGCGGCTGAGCGCTCGGGCAGTGGAGGCCTTCGAGGCAGCCGCTCGGGACCGGATGGCTCTGCTCGAGCGGCTGGCCGCGCCGCTGCTCGACGAGCTCAACCCCGGGCTCGAGCTTGCGACGCTGGCTCAGACGGGTCGGGCGGACGACGCAAGCGCGGCGTCGCTGGCGCCCTCTCTCGCATCCCTGACGCCCGGCGCGGTCCAGCGGCTGCACGCCGTGTGGGCGGGCGTCGACAGCGGCGATGCGATGGCCTTCGGTCCGAGCGAGGATGCGCAGGTCGACGCGCTGCTGCGACGAAGCGCTTGGCGCCACCGGCTAGCGTTGCTTCTGCTCGAGCTGCGCTGGCTCAAGGCCCAGGTGCAGGCCGTTGACTCGCTTCGCCGGACGGAGCAGCCGCGGGGCGGAGGTGAGCTCCGGCTGCAGCTGCGGCCCGACCCCTTGCGCGGCGGGCTGTGGCCTGCGCGGGACGAGATGGCTGCTTTCGTGGACCTCGCCTGCCAGCCGAGCCCGGCTTGGGTCGGTGCTGCGGCCGCCGAGGAGGGCGGGTGTGCCCCCGACCCGCGGGCTGGCGAGGAGCTGCCGGCGGGCGCGTTGTTGCCGGAAGGACCGGCAGCGCGCACACCGTGGCACCTCGCCGGCTGCCTCGAGTCGCCGTCGACGGGGTGCGAGACGCTCGTCGTGCGCGTGCCTGAGCTAGCCCTCCTGATGCTGGCACACCACGCCGCAGACGAGCACTTGCTCGCGGCGGCGGCGGAGGCGGCCGCTTCTCCGGGCGGATCTCAAGCTTGCGAGTTTGTCGCCCGCACGGCAGCTCGCATGCTCCGGCGACCGGCGGACGAGGTGGAGCCCGCGGCCGTCGAGCGCATGCGCCAGCTGTGGTCGGGTCTTCTCGGCGGGTGGGTGGAGCCTCGCGCCGAACCCCCTGCCGGCCCGGCCGAGGCGCAGGCCGAGCCGCCGGCTGTCAGACTCCTCTCCGCCTTTCCGGGGGTGGCCGCCGCTCTCCTCCAGCACGGCAGAGCCGATGTTCTCCGATCCGCCTCTGGCCGCAAACTGCCCACCGACAGCCTCCGCTCCGCACGCGTGCATGAACGGGCGAGTGCTGCGGCCGCGGCGCTCGGCCGAGTCTGTGAAGCCTCTGCGCGCGACGTGCTCACCGCCGTCCTGCACCGCATTGCGCCGCGCCTGGCCGCCGTCACCGCAGCCGGCACCGTCTCCTCCACGGCCGATGGGGGCGAGCCAGTGAGCTGCGCGCGGCTGCTCCTGCAGGCGCCCTCCGAGCTGCGCTTCTCCGTGCCGGCGGGAGCCGCAAACACCTCGGGGGCCGGCCTGCTGCCAGAGGTGCAAGCGACTTTGGACAGAGTGGCAGGGGAGTGGGGCCTGAAGGTCGCGCTCCGGGGCGAGGTGTACGTTGGGTCTTGAGTCAACGACACGTTGTAGAGTGTTGTGGGCAGTGAGATGGGAAGGGTCCCGGGTGTGATGGCTTGTACGTCGGAGCGGAGTACAGCGCACGTACAGTTTCCATGCGCAGTTTACGTACGAGCCTCAAACGAGTCCGTCGTCGCGTAGGGACAGCGCGAGGCGCGTGAAATCGATCGCCGTATGCCCATAAGCTACAGAGAAGGTCATTTTTCCAGGTTGGACACTCACGAGTTCGCACGGCCGCGTACACAGCTCACAGGGGCGGGCACGGTGTCGGGGTTGCCCAGTAGTTGCCCAGTCTACAGGATATAGCGGACAGACATGACCGACAAGCAGCGAAAAAAAGGCTCTTTTGGGGGTCTTTTCGGGAGTGTTTCCCTTTTGGGCGACCGTACTCGCGTGGGGCTGGGGGCGTGGGCCGTGGCGCGCTATACGGGTGTCTCTCACTCTCGCCCACAACGCGGCCCGAAGGCTAACTCGGCGCGCGCACCGGCGCGCGCACTGAGAGGAACAGGGCTCAGGGGCTGCGCTGAATGTAGCGTGCCGCTCTCGGGTCTCCCGACGCTGGTTTGTACAATTCTCACAAAGTTCCGGTAGATAACGCCCCCCGTCCGATTCCGTGCTCTATGTCTTCCAGCGACGAGTTCTTGCCATTGTTCTACTCGAGCTGCTCCTCCAACTTGGCGCTGGCAGTCTCGCTCTTCGTCACTGTGCTAGCAGTCGCCGCGGCGGGTGGTCTTCGGGCCGCACGAGAGCTAGCGGGAGGAGACGATGCACCTCATCATAATGCACCGCATCGTCTCGTGCCAGTGGTGCGGGCGTTTTCTTCATGCTTGACCGCGAATGTCTATTCGCCAAAGAGCGCAATGAGCTGGAGGGCTCACTCTACCAAGCAGCGTATTGACGTTGACGTGGGACGCCTCCTCGACGCGTGCGACGAATTTCTCGCGTTGCAGCGCGCAATGGGCGGTGCTATGGCCGCCCCAGCGCGGTACTTCGAGGCAAACATCCAGTCTGTCAGGGAGGGGTGGAGGCCCGACAAGACTACTGGCGAAATGACGATGCGGGAACTCCTCGAGGCCGAGGCTCGGACTGGCATCCACAAGGCGGGCGGCGTTCTGAAGGACCCAAGCGCCGCATGCGGGCTGCTTTGGCTACGCCGGACCATTGCATTTCACTCTACTCTCTTTGGTGATGTTGCAGCGAGCGATCCTAACGACACGCTCAGCCCACGAAATGCAGCGCTGCATGCGTACGCTGTGGAGCTAGAGCCGTTCCACGGCTCGCTTCTTCGTCGCGTGTATCGGTTTGGCTTACCGCGTGGGATGCTGCCCAGGGCCGCATTCCTCGCACGGCTGCGTTCCACGACCGCTCCGTGCGAGGACGAGACGCTGCTCCAAGGCATGCGCGACCTCGTTGCGGAGTGGAGGCCTCTCTTGGAGGAGTGGCGCCGGCTGTTTGTCGAGCTTGATCTGGAGGACCCCCGAAAAGTGTAGACTTTGTACTGTGACATGTGTAGACGTTAGAGGGCGCGGCATGCTCTGCTCACGCGAGAGCCTACAGGTCCCACGGGAGAGCCTATTCCTCCCCCCCCCCCCCCACACACACACACACACGACTCTCTGTCCCCGCGGCGCGCGGCGCTACTTCAAACATGCGCGCCGTTGGGGGCGTGTGTATATCGCGCCAGTGAAAAGATCCCCTTGGTCTGGACGGTTTTTTTCGCGGTATCCGCGGCGCGCCGGCGGGATATGGCGGGATATGGCGGGATATGGCGGGATACCGGGAGATACCAGGAGATACACGTGGATATGATGTGAGATACGGACGGAGCCCCCCCACGATGTGTTCACGACAACGTCCGTGAAAGCGTGAACCGCAAATCGGACGCGACGGAAGCGGTGAGGGCGGCCGGCGCCCAGCGGGAAGCCGCCCCCTGGATGGATGTTCGTCCATCGTCGTGCTCGTGGCGAGCCGACTGTGTCTTAGACTCTTAGTGGATTAAAGACCCTTTTCCCGCCTTAGGGTACCCCTAGGGTTCTGAGGGCCGGATTTTTTAAAGACTTTTTAAGAAATGAGGAGGTTTGGGGGCTCAAATTGTCATTTAAGAGATTGCAGGCACGGGGGGTCCCTCTTTTAAGACCGTTTAAGAAAATCGGCCTCACCAGCACGCGTCGCTGCGTTCGGCGCCGTTTTCTCCAATACTGCCGTTATTAGGCACAAACCCGCCTCTGAAGACACATCTGTAAGTCTGGTGCACTGGCAGGAGCCATACTCGCATAGGGGACGCGTGCCAGCTGACTGTAGCCAGCTTCCCGGCCTCCGGCGTCTGTGGGGAGCCTCCCGGACCATCGACCTCGGGAGCTCTCCCGCAGCGTTTAAGCGTTTAAGACCGTTTAAGGAATCGGAGGCCCAGCAGCTCTTAAAACCGGCCTAGGCCGGTTTTAAGCCGTTTAAGCCGCAGGCGCCCCAGGGCCCACCCTTTTAAGCCTAGGGGTACCCTAAGTTTCCCGCGGCGGCCGCCACGCGCCAGCAGCCCTGGCAGCTGCACCGGAGCGAGGAAAATGGCGGGACGTATATGTGGCGGGATATGGCGCGGGATACGGTCAGATATGGAGAGATACATCAAGATGCCGCAAAAAAACCGTCCAGACCGGGCTAAAAAGATCCTGAAAAGGTTGCGCGTGCGTGCGCCTCCTCGCCCGAACCCGAGCCAGCGCTCGCCCACGCCGCCGCTGCTCACCAGTCGGCGGACATCTGGGCGCGGACGGCGTGGAGCGCGACGAGGCCGGCGTAGCAGCCGATGAGCAGCTTGCCTTGCGCGCGGCCGAGGCGCGCGTGGCCGCGGCTGCACCAACTCGGGGCGGTGGGGGCGATGAGGACGGCGAGGTAGGCGAGCACCGCTGCGTACCTGCGGCGGCGGTGCGTGTGGCGTCGGGGTGTTGCTTCGGGAGGGGCGGTGGGTGGGAGGGGCGGTGGGCGCGCGCATGAGCCAGATAGCGTCGATGAGCTCGGAACGGCCTTTGATGGCGACCTCACGGCCAGCGCTGCTGGAGAGGAGCCACGGCAGGCCGAGCCCGACGAGGACGTTGATGACTTGCGAGCCGACGGCGCTGGCCACCGCCATCGAGCCGAGCCCGCGCCGCGCCACCGCGACCGCTTGCAGCGTGTCGGGAACCTGCGCCCCGACCGCGATGACGTAGACACCCATCACCGAGGGAGGCAGATTTAGGAGCGTGCCCCAGCGGGTCACGGCGGCGGAGAGGGCGAACGAGAAGACCGACAGCCACGCAAAGGCCACCGTCAGCGTGAGCGGGTACAGCGGCTCGCCCTCTCCGCCGAGCTCGCAGTCGGGGCAGCTGGCGCGGAGCAGCGCGAGCAGCGGGCGGAAGGGGAGGGCGAGGAGCCGGCCGCACGCGCCCGGCGGCGCCTCCGCCTCCTCCCCCGCCTGGTCCTCCGCCTCCGCCTCTGCCGCGCCAGCCTTGCCCGACCCCTCCTCCTCCTCTGCAGCCTCTGGCGCGAGCGCCTCGCCCAGCTCCGCCGACTTGCGGCTCCAGCGCTCGCTCAAGCCGGACGCGCGGTAGCTCTCTCGCAGGCGGGGCGCCACGGCGGTGACCGCCAGGTAGCCTCCGTACAGCACCAGCATCTGCAGCGCCGCGCCAAACGAGGCGTGCCCGCGCAGGACGCAGCGGTGGAGCAGCGCGAGCGAGAGCAGGTAGCCGGCGGCGTCCCGCACGACGGGCCTGCGCTTGAGGCGCAGGGTGCGCGGCACGACGAGCGCGCAGAGGCCCGGGATCAGCGTGAAGGCGAGCATGCCGGAGCCAACCACAGAGGAGATGCCGAGGCTCGTCGCGTAGGCTGAGTGCGCCTCGGCGTCGAGCGCCGTCCGGTGGTGGCCTTGCATCGCCACGGAGGCCTTCATCGTGGAGACCGCCGCGACGATGATCTCGGGCGCCGACCCGCCGAACGCCATGAAGGATGCACCCGCCACATCCTCAGGCACGCGCCATCGCTGGCACAGAGTCTCGAGGCTCTGTGCCAGCGGGCCGTCGGCGGTCGCGGCGATGCCGACGAAAGAGTACACGGCGATCACGAGCTCGACCGCGATGCCAAGTGGGTGGTGGTCGATGAGGTCGAAGCACAGGTCCTCGACGTCCCAACAGAGGTGAAGGTGGAGCATTCCAGTAGCAGGGTGATTGTTGGCGGGTTCGCTTTCTTTTGGTTTTTCAGACCTCTTTAGAAGCCTTCGACAACCGAGGGCCCACGTAGAATTGACTTCTTTGGAGAGAAACAGGACTACAATTGACTCGACAAAAGAAGAAAAAGCGCACGCGCTGCCTTGTCACATGCCAGCCGCTCTTCTCCTCCTCCTCGCCTCCGCGCCCAGCCAGCCACACGCCGCCGAATTGGCCGCGCCCGCCACAGCCTCCCCCGCGTGGTGGTCGCGGCTGTTGCGGCGACAGCAGCCGCCGCCGCCGCCACCGCCGCCGAACTGGGACGGCGGCCGGCTGCTTGGTCTACTTCAGGGCGCGCTGCTCGTCGTGCAGAGCGCTCTCCTCTGCCGCATGTGCGTGATGGTGCGCTCGATCGACCGCAAGGCTCTGCTGGCCGCCGCCGCCGGCTCGACCGACTCGCGCCCGGAGGCAAAGCCGCCCAGCCGCCTCTTCTTGCCGGCGCAGATCGAGGCTGGCGAACCGCTCGCCGCGCTGCTCCTCGATCACGCCGCGCCGCTGGCCGCGCTGCGCGAGGCGTATGAGGCGGCGGGAGGCGAGCCGGACGCGTACCTCGACCCGTTCCTGCTCCGCTTCCTCTCCGGCGCGCGGGGCGACGCGGCGCGCGCGTGCGAGTGGGTCCGCGGCGCCGTGCGGTGGCGCGAGGAGTCGGGCGCCTCCTCGCTGCGGCGCGGGCTGCTGCGTGGCGGCAAGGTGACTTCGCGCCAGAGGGTATCACGAGTATTACTGCTGTGATGCTATCTTCTTGTTGGTGGCAAGGTGCTCGACGAGACGGAGGTGCTCAAGCTGCTCACGCTGTGCCCGATGCTGCTCTCGCACCGCACGGGCGGCAAGGGCGGCCCGCTCACGCTGATCCACGTCGGCGGCTTCGACGCGTCGCGCTGGTACGCGACACAGAGCGCCGCCCAGTTCGAGGCGGCCGGCCTGATGCTGCTCGAGGCCGCGCTGGCCAACTGCGACCGCGCGTCGGTCGAGGCGGGCCGGCTGGTGCGGCGGGAGATCCTGCTCGACTACGACGGCCTCGCGCTGAGCCACGTCGCGCCGCGCGTGCTGCTGCGGCAGCGGCCGCTCCTCACGCTGCCCGACCGCTGGTACCCCGAGCTGGTCGGCCGGGTGGCGTGCGTCAACGCGCCCTCCCTCTTTGCCGCCGTGTACCGCGTCGTGCACCCGTGGCTCTCGGACGAGCTTCGCGCGCGGATCGAGGTGCACGCGCCCGCCACCTCGGCCGCCGCCGTCGAGGCGTTCGCGCCGCGCGCGAGCCGCCCCGCCGTCTACGGCGGCAGCTGCGAGCGGCTGCCCGACGACGTGGCGGAGCACACCGGCATCGCGAGGCTCGAGCCGAGCGAGCGCGCGGCGCTGACGCCGGGGAGCAAGCTGGCGGGGTACTGCAGTGCGGCGCTCTCGTGAAGTCTGTGTACGCCACGAGCGAGAGATTCTATAGATATCTTCGAGATGAACGACTCGGCCGATGGAGTGCAGTCGCTCGCCGGGGATTTCTTCTCACTGTTTGTACCGCCGGGAAGAGGACCGAAAAGTCGGGCTGGCTGCAACCAGAGCACGCCGTGCTCGCGCGCGCCGCCCAAGGCTCAAATGGCAGAGTGCCGCAGCGCTCATTCCCCCGCCGCCACTTCCGCCGCCTCCACAGCCGCGGCGTTTCCCGCCGCTCGCATCTACGCGGCGGTGCTGCCCTTCACTTCGGCCTCGTTTCTCGCGCTGTCTGCCTTCACGCCGTGGCTCGAGGTCGACGTCAAGAAATCGTACCCGGAGGCGTCGCCGGACGACGTCGCAAAGATGGTTGCGTCGCGCTCGGCGCTCTTCTCCTTCAGCCATGGCGTGTGCTCCGTCTGCATCGCTGGCTGGGCCGGGATGCTCTCCGACCGGTTTGGCCGGCGGATCTGTGCCTCTCTGCCGGCAGTGGGTCAGGCGGTCGGCTACTCGCTCCTCGCTCTCGTCGTGTGGTACGACCTCGGCGTCTACTACGCGCTGGCCGCGTGGACGCTGACCGGCGCCTTGGGCGGCACCTTCGTCTTCCTCGCCGCCGCCTTTGCCTACATCGCCGACTTCACGCGCAGCGGCGGGCGCGGGCGCGCCTTCTCGCGGCTCGACTCGATCATGCTGTACGTGGCGTGCATCGGCCCGCTCTTCTCCGGGCCGCTCGTCGCGGCGGTGGGCTACGCCGGCGTCTGGGCCCTCGCCGCTGGCATGTACGCGGTGGCCGCGCTGCTCTTTGCCACTGCGCCTCCTTCGCCGCAGCCGGCGGCGCCGCGTGCGAGTCTGGGCGGCTGGGTGCACTCGTTCACCCCGCTGCTGCTGCTGCGGCTGGTGAGCGAGCGGCGCGGCCAGCTCCTCGGCCTCGTCCTCGCCTTCCTCCTCGCGACCGGAGGAGTGCAGGCGGGCGTGCAGGGCTTCGTGCTCTACGCGCAGCGGTACCTCGGCTGGGGGCAGGACATGCTCGGCCTCTTCTCGGCGCTCTTCTCGGCGCTCGGGGCGACGCTCATCCTCTTCGTCCACCCGATCGCGTGCCGGCTGCTCGGGTCCGCCCCCTCCGACCTCAGCATGGTCCGGGCCTCCTACCTGCTCCCGCTCGCCTACTTCGCCGCCCTCGCCGCGCTGCCGACCGCCGCCACCGAGGCGGCCCCCTCCCCCCCCCTCTCTCTTGCTCCCTCCCCCTCTCTCTTTCCCCCTCTCTCTACCTCCCTCTCTCTATCCCCCTATCCCTCGCCCCCCCCTTCCCCCCCTCACCTCCCTCTCCGTCGGCACCAGCCGCCGCTCGCCTCTCGCTCCCCACGCCCCTCCGCATGTCTCTGACACGTCCCTCCCTCATGTCCCCGCAGGCCGCCGCCCTCGGCGGCCTCCCTCTCCTCGCTGCCGGCGCTTGCGCGCTGCCGCACTTTCGCGCCCTCTTCTCCGACTCGCGGCCCGCTCAGGTGGCTTTGGCGAGCAGCCGAGAGGCTGGTGCGGCCAGGACACGTCCGCGACACGTCCACGGCATGCCCCACAGGCGCAGGGCGAGCAGATGGCGGTGGTCGCGGCGCTCGAGTCGTTGCCGATGCTCTACGCCACGCCGCTCGTCGCGCTCGCCTTCGAGCGGCTGCTCGACGCGCCGCGCCTCATCTTCCTCCTTCCCCTCGGCACGGTCGGAGCTGCGATCCTCCTGCTGCTCGCCGCGGTGCGGCCGGCGGCGCTGCTGCTCGACGAGCCGCCGCGGCAGCGGTGGCCCTCCCAGGCGGTCCTCGTCCGCGCGCCCGACCTCGCGCGCCGCCTCACGGACAGTGTCGTCTGCAACGCGGCCGAGCCGGAGGGCGGCTCTGCGTACGGCTCGCCGGACGGGCGGCTCAAGCCACGCGCGGCACGCGAGGCGGCTGCCTCGCGAGAGGCGGAGGCGGCGGAGCAGGAAGACTGCCTCGGCGCCTGAGACGGGCTCCGCGCACGAGGCTGGCTCGGCGCACGGGGGGCCTATTTGGGTGGTCGTCAGGGCTGCGCACGCTGCACCCGCATATGTCTGGAGCTCGGCTCTCCCTCTGCGACTCTGCACGCTGGTATGCGATGCCACGGTGATGGACGCGACTGTGACGACGTCTCTCTCAGCGACGAATTGCTTCAAGCACACACCTTTCTCCTCCTATCTCTCTGGCAGTACTCTTCCGGGTTTGCACAGGTGTCAGTGTCAGGTGTCCGGGGTGCTCTCCCTCTTTTGTCACACTTCGTGTATGTGTTGCGGTGTGCGTGCTCGCGTGCAGCTTGGGGGAGTGGCGCGTCGCCGTCGGGAGAAACCATGCACGGGCCGGCCTGCGTGTGCGCTGATTAATTTATATTCATATTCTGTCACCCGGGGAGAGAGAGGACGATGGTTGAATGTGATCACAATCTTTCAATCTAAAGTAGAGCTGTTTAACGTTGGGAGCTGAACAGTGTTGCTAGTGTTAACAGTAACAACAGAACAACAGTCGGGCTCCCCAACAACAGTAGCTAACGTTAGGCCGGCTGAACAACAATAAGGAAGGCCTGGCAGTGACCCACGACGACCTCCAGTGTCCATGCAGTGCGGGTCTCTAATACCCGAAAATACCTGGGAAACTCCAGGTATATTTTCGGGTTTTACCGCCGGGTTTTTTGGCATTTCTGCTTGATAACCGCTGAACAACAGTAACAACAGTAACAAACAGTAACAGCAAAGGCTGGGGTGAACTCTTGAACAACGTTAAGGATTTCAGCCAACACTAGCGCAACTGTTAGGCCCAATGCCAAACAAAGTTAATGTTAAACAGCTCTATATCTAAAGCCGTACGCGTACCAAGATCCCTCACACCAGGATCGTGCAGGGCGGGGACCCGCGCTCGACGCCCTCGCCCCTGCGCTCCAACCAACGACGCCGTCGCTGTCCTCGCCGACGTGACCGTGATCCGAGGCCGCCCATCCGCCATTGGATGCAGCCGAGATGCAATCCATGTAACCGAGCTGTCCCCCCTCCGGACACGTCCCTCCCTGTGCTGTCCTCTCCACTCGTTCCTCTACTTATACACATATGTCCCGCGAGAGATGTGTCCCCTAACGTAAATGTAAATCCCATATCTCGTCTCAGTCCGCCTCAGAGTTTAGCCTTTTCTTCATTTATTACGCATTACGGGAGAGGACCAGGACGCCAACCACACGAGCTCACGAGGCATCGGAATGAGAGTCAGAGAGAGAGAGCTGAGCGGAGTGATTGTACCCCCGCCGCCGCCGCCGCTGCTGCCGCGCGGGACGTCGGACGAGTCAGGGCACACGAACGAACTCACCCAGAGGCAGAGCCACACACACCACACCGGTGTATGCTCTAGGCGTGCCGGCACACCTCTACGCCGCCACGGCCCGGACTCCGTCGGCGGGGCTCGCCGTCACCACCTTGCTCGGCTCGCGTGTGAGCTTGGCGGCGGCCGGGTGGCTCGCGTGCTCGTGCTGCTGGCGGTGCTCGTGCTGCTGGTGGTGCTGGCTGTGATTCCGCTGCTCGTGGTCGACGTGGCGCCCGTGGTGCAGGCTGTAGAGGGAGCTGCGATTCCCGTGGCTGCCGCCGCCGTGCGGCTTGCGGCGCTCCCCGCCGCCGTCGCCGCGGTGGCTCGAGTTGCTTGAGCCTCCGGAGGCCGGAGTGGCCGGAGCGTGCGGCCGCCGGTGGGGCGCCGCCGGGCGTCCGCCGCCGCCGCCGCCGCCGCCGCCGCCGCCGCCGCCGCCGCCGCCGCCGCCGCCGCCGCCGTGGCAGGCTTTGGACGGCGTCGCTGCCCAGACGGCACTTCTGCCGGCGTACATAGGGGGCCCAAAGGCCTGGGCGTCTCTCCTGCGCTCGAGGCCGCCCGCCACCGCCCAGCCGCGGCCGAAGAAGGAGAAGAGCCAGTGCAGCGACGGCTGCATCGGCGAGAGCGACTGGTCGACATGCAGGTCGGGCCGGCGCTCGATCGTGTCGATCATGCGCGCCGCGCCGGCGGGCGTCACCGCGTAGGCCGTCGTGCGCGTGCTGAAGACGGGCAGCGCCGCGTGGTGCACGTGGCGCTGTGCAAGAGGAGGAGAGTAGAGGTTGAGCGCCTGCAGCAGCGAAGGCCAGGGTCAAGGTGCCAGGGTTGTACAGGGTTGTAGGGCCAGGGTTGTACAGGTAGGGGCGTAGGGCGAGGGCTCATGGAGCGCCTGCAGCGTCGGCACGAACGCGAGCACGCGGTGCAGCACGGAGAGCGCATGCCGAAGCGAGCCGCCAACGTCATCCTCGACCACGAGGTACCAGCCGTCCGGCTGGCCTGTGATGTTGTAGAGCGCTTGCAGGTGCGAGAGCCGGCAGCCCGCCTGACCCAGCGTGTCGGGCGCCCGGCGGGCTTGTCGCAGCCGCTCATACTCGCCCTTGTCCACGACCACGCCCGGGACATACGTGAGCGGGACAGGAAAGCTCCGCCGCTGCGCCTCAAACCAGCTCTCCGTCTCACACTGCCGAGGAGAGCCACGGATCGAGATGTAGTACGCTCTCGCGAGAGTCGGTGGGCCGGACAGCAAGACGACCAGGAAGCGAGCGACGTACACGGCCGCGAGCCCCGCCGCGAGCTTCAGCAGAGGTCGAGACATATGTAGAAGTGAGAGAAGAGTCCGCGGTAGAGCGCAAACCGGCACACACAAGCTACTAAGCGACTCCCTCGCGAAAGAGACGCCGCGGCAAGAGAGTTTTACAACAAAACTCCCTCGCACGACACTGGGCACAGGACTGGGCACGGGACTGGCTCGCACTGGCACTAACACAGGTACACCACAATTCGCGGGTCCGTCACCTGCCGCGATGCGCTCCGCTCCCGTTCCCTTTTGTCCCTGGTCGTCCTTCCAATATCCTGCTCGTGACGTCCCCCCCCCCCCCCCCCCCGGACGCACGCACGGACGGACGGCGGCCCGGAGTTAAATAAATAAACCAAGTGAGTGCGTCCAGTCCGCCCCGACGACGCGCGGCTGCCACAGCCCACAGGACCATACCCAAACAAACGCACTCAGCCACAAGCACAACCCCGGGCCCAAAATCGCACGAAGCACGGTGATGACAGTGCGCGCTCAGTACAATGTACACTATATAAGCACAAAGACTCTCTCGGCGGGCACTTCCACCCTTCTGTTAGAGGCGGCGGGGGTGCGCTGACGGCTTCGCCGCCGTGGTCTCCCCAGCTCTGCGCCGCTGCTACTTCTATCATCGCTGCTGCCCACACCCGCGCGGCTGAGTCACCCGCCAAGGGAGGCACGCACACTCACATACCGCAACCCCGCCGGGAGCGTTGCCCGTTTTGGTACCCCGCTCGGCCGTCATGCTCAACTTACTTTGCATTGTCCTCGCGAACTTCTCCGTCCTCGCGTCGCCAACGTGCGGGCCAACCGACGAACCGACCGTAGGCTGGGTGCAGCACGGTGGTGATTTCTCCAAGTGTGACAATCAAGGTCCCGACCAGCTCTCCCGTGTCGCGAATGTCCTCGCCTGTGAGGCCATGGCGGTTAGCAGGGGCGACGTCTACTTCAACTTCAATTTTCAAATGACAGGGGCCGGTGACTACAAATGCTTCACGTCAAATGCCTGCCCAGGACGGGATGCCACGGTAGACTGCTGGAGGTCGTACATCAAACGCAGCGCTTTGACGCCGCTCTCTCCGCCCAGCCCCGCCCTGCCTCCGCCGCTCTCTCCGCACAGCCCCGCCCTCCCTCCACCGCTCTCTCCGCCCAGCACCGCCCTGCCTCCGCCGCTCTCTCCGCCCAGCACCGCCCTGCCTCCGCCGTTCCCAGCTCTGCCACGCTTGCCGCCGCTTCCCTCGCGATCCCGTGACAGCAGCCCCTCCCCTCCGGCGCTCCCCCCTTCGCCCTCCCCGTCCACGTTGCCCCCCCCACCAACTTTGGCTCCCGCTCCGATGTTGCAAAATAACGTTCTCTTCTTCGTCATGGACGATCTGCGACCCGACCTCAATGAGGCCTATGGGCAGACGCAAGTGATCACTCCAAACTTAGACGCCTTTGCGAAGAGGTCACTCACCTTTGAGCGTGCATATGTCCAGTTCTCCCATTGTTCGCCCTCACGATCAAGCTTCATGACAGGGCGCACGCCACAGCAAACTCAAGTCTACAACTTCGTCTCCTCCTTCAGAACGGTTGGCCGGGATTGGGTGACCCTTCCGCAGTACTTCAAGGACAACGGGTACTACGTGGCGGGTGGTGGAAAGCTCTTTCATCCAGACAGCAGTGGTCCTCCCCTAAACAACGACCAACCTTTGAGCTGGGACAGCTACTACTTCCCCAACGACCCAGAGGATAAGAAGTATGCATGCAATGAGTCCACCCAGCTCTACTTTGGGGTGTGTCCCTCCGAGGAAAGCGCTGACTCCTTCTTTGACGCGCAGCTTGCGGCGGCGGCGATGGATGAGCTCGTTGTCGCAAGGGATAGCGGGAAGCATTGGTTCCTTGGCGTCGGCTTCGAACGCCCCCACAGACCGTGGAACACGCCTCGAGAGTTCTACGACCTCTACCCGAACAGCGGCAATGCTCCTACGGATATCGCCCTCGACTAACAAATTAGGCCCCTTGCACATGCCCGAGATTGCGTGGATATCGAACAAATGGCCTTGCAGCCTGGAGAGATGGGGCGCGTGCTCCACCCTGGACCAGACCGGGCATTTCACATTCAGCCAGTATGAGCCCATCCCCGACAATCTTGCTGGGCTCGCCAGGTGGGGCTATTACGCCTCCGTCTCGTTCGTCGACTCCAACTTTGGGCTAGTCATGAGTAAACTCGAAGAGCTCAATATGGCCTCCAACACGATCGTCTCTGTCATCGGCGACCACGGATGGCACCTGGGGGAGCAGGCGGAGTGGTGCAAGCGAACCAACTTTGAGCTTGGGACACGCATACCGATGATGATTCACGCCCCGAACTATCCGACCAGCCATGGGAAAAGAACGGAGCACTTTGCCGAGGCGGTAGACTTGTACCGCACGCTCGCTGCTTTGGCATTCCCCGCATCTCCGCCGATACAAGACAGCGTGAGCGGCACCGACCTTTCACCCATCTTCGCCGACCCCACGAATCCCTCGACTGCCGTTCGGGCTTACACCTTCTCCCAGATGTCGAGATGCCCCGCCGAAGACACACTAGGACCATTTTCGAGCTGCACTCAAACACCCCAGGCAGAAATCACTTGGATGGGCTACAGCGTGCGTTCAGAGCAGTACCGTTACACTCTGTGGCTGCCGTTTGACGGAGATGAAAATCTGGCCGCGTGGTCTGGCACCGATGAACACGAGGAGCTGTACTCGTACGTCGACAGCAAGATGGACGACTTCAACTCCTTTGAGAAGGTGAACGTGGCGTCCGACCCGATGTATACCGTGAAGAAGGCGGAGCTGCGCGCCGTTCTTACAGCGGCATTCAACCCGCCCCCCCCTCCCGCCCAAACCTCGTCAAAGCCCGCCCTCATCGGCGGCATCGTCGGTGCGCTCTGCTTCCTCGCAGTGCTGGCGTGCTTCCTGGCCTGCCGCAAGCATGGGCGACTCCGATGGAAGAAGTGATCGCCCAGAGCAGGAGCTACGCGCGCGCGCACACACACACACAGAAAAGAAGCGAACAAGCGGATCGATTTCTTTTCGAAAAACTGTTTTTGCAGTCCGATGACGACTCCACGCGCTGCGCTCGAGGCCGCGCTCGGCGCGGAAGGCGTCGCCACGCTCGACGACGCGGGCGTCGGAGACTACATCGAAGGCCTCCTCGGTGACGCCGACACGTCGGGCGATGGCGACGACGACCTTCTCGCCTCCATCGCGCCGCTCCTCGTGGACGTCGGCGTGGCAGCAGACGAGGAGGCTGCAGAGCCGCTCGCACGCTCGCTGCTCTCCGCGATGCGCCCTGCGGCAGCAGAGGCGGCGGCGGCGGGATCTGCGCGCAGCTCCAACGTGGGCGGCGGCCCGCCGCGCCTCCTCTCCGAATCGGTCAGCCTCCAGGGCGAGGATGGCGCGCAGTTGTTCAAGGCGCCCGAGGAGTACGAGCTAGGCGGCCGCCTGGTCGGCATCGACGAGGCGATGGACGAGCGGAAGAAGCGCAAGGCGCAGCGCGAGGAGGAGCGGAGAGCCACGCGCAAGGCGCACGACAAGGTTGCAGAGCAGCGGGCGAGGGAGGAGGCGCTGCTCGAGGAGGCTCGCGTGGCGGCGGTGCGGCTGCGGAGAGAGCGGGGCGCGTACCTCGGCGCGGTCGAGGCGAAGCCCTTCTCGCTGCCCAACCCGGGCGGCGGCGCCGACCTCCTCGAGGGCGCCACCTTCACCCTGCAGCGAGGCCGCCGGTACGGCCTCATCGGCCGGAACGGGAGCGGCAAGAGCACGCTGCTGCGCTCGCTCGCGTCGCGACAGCTCGGCGACATCCCCGCGGCGCTGACCATCCACTACGTCTCGCAGGCGTTGAGATGCAGTATTGGTGTAGGACCTGCTCGTATCATTCTATCACAATCTGACCATCCAACCACATCTTGCGCCAGACCTCAGCGGCCAGACCTCAGCCTCGACCTCCGCCTCACCCTCCCCCCTGCCCTGCCCCCCACCCCTGCCCCCCACCCGCCTGCCCTGCAGGAGGTGCGTCTCGACGAGGCGGCGATGCAGCGCACGCCCCTCGAGGTTGTGCTCGCGGCGGACGTGGAGCGCTCGCTGCTGCTCTCCGAGGCTGCCTCGCTGCAGGAGGCGGAGGCGTCGGACGCCGCGCGCCTCGCCGAGGTGCTCGAGAGCATCGCTCAGAGCTCAGAGACGGCCGAGTGATGGCTGAGAGAGATGGCCGAGTGATGGCTGGCCGAGAAAGGGCCGAAAGAGGACCGAGAGATGGCCGAGAGATGGCTGGCCGAGAGATGGCCGAGTGATGGCCGAGAGATGGCCGAGAAAGGAGAGAGATGGCCGAATGATGGCTGGCCGAGAGATGTGACGGCACGCCTCTCGAGTTGCTCTTCACACCTCGCCCTCTACACCTCGCCCTCTACATCTCGCCCTCTACACCTCGCCCTCTTCACACCTCCCCACGCCCCGCCCAGGTGCTCGAGCGGCTCGACCTCATCGGCGCAGACGCGGCCGAGCAGCGCGCCCTCGCCCTGCTGCGCAACCTCGGCTTCTCGGCCGAGCTGCGAGCGAGGCCGATGGCTGCTCTCTCGGGCGGGTGGAGGGTGAGTGAGGGCACCTGCACTCGCCGCCCGCCTGCTCGCCCCCCAACCCCCCCCCCCCTTCACCTCCACCCTCACCCTCACCCTCATCCTCACCCTCACCCTCACCCTCACCCTCACCCTCACCTCCACCCTCACCCTCACCCTCACCCTCACCCTCACCTCCACCCTCACCCTCACCCTCCCCCTCCCCCTCCCCCCTCCCTCACCCTCACCCTCACCCTCACCCTCACCCTCACCCTCACCCTCACCTCCACCCTCCCCCCTCCCTCACCCTCACCTCCACCCTCACCCTCACCCTCACCCCTCCCAGGTGAGGACCTGCCTCGCCGCCGCCATCTTCGCCAAGCCCGACGTGCTGATGCTCGACGAGCCGACCAACCACCTCTCGATCGGCGCCGTACTCTGGCTCATGCGCGAGCTCACCACCAGCCCCGCCTGGAGCGAGCGGATCGTCGTCGTCGTGTCGCACGACCGGGTCTTCCTCGACGCCGTCGCCACCGACGTCCTCCACCTCTCCGCAGCCGCACGCCGGCTGACCCAGTCGCACGGCAACTACGCTACGTGGGCAAAGCGGCGGGAGCAGCAGCAAAAGACCTTCGAGAGGGCGACCGCACTGCGCGCAGAGCAGGCGCCGCCACACACACCGCCCCGGCCAGCCCCCGCACCCCGCCCCGCCCTGACCGCCCCGCTGCCCTGCCGCGCGCGTCCACCGGCGGCGAGCTTCCCTCGCGCCTCAGGTCGCCAAGCTCAAGACGTACGCCAACCACGGCTTCAAGTACGGAGGCTCCGACGTCTCGCGCCAGAAGATGAAGGAGCGGCAGGCAAAGAAGCTCAGCTCACTCAGGTCGTTGTTGATTCTGTTCTGGAGTAATCATGCTTCTTTTCCCAGGCCGAGAAGCTCGAGGCGGCGCAGGAGCTCTCGACGGCGACGCTGCGCGGCGCTGCTTCACCGGCCCTCCTCGCCAGCCCTCCTCGCGCGTGTCCTCGCGTAGGCGGAGCTCGAGGACGTGTCGTGGACGTGTCGTGGACGTGTCATGCTCATGTCCTGTTGACGCTCGCGTAGGCGGAGCTCGAGGACGAGGCTGCGGCGCTGCAGGAGGACCACGAGCTGCCGCTCTCGCTCCAGGCGGGGGGGGAGATCTCCGGCCCCCTGGTGCAGCTGCGCGGGGTCGCATTCGGATACTCGGCCGCGGGCGAGCAGCTCTTCTCGGGCGCCGAACTCGGGGTCGACGCGACTTCGCGGATCGTGCTGCTCGGCGAGAACGGCAACGGAAAGACCACGCCCGTCCAAGCTGCTGCTGGGCAGCCTCGCCACACACGCTCCTCTTGATTGCGCCATTCTGTCTTAGGCTCGTCAAGCTGCTGCTGGGCGACCTCGCCCCGACGGCAGGCGAGGTGGTGCGCAATGGCGGAGCGCGGATTGGGCTCGTCAACCAGGTCTGCGAGGCGGCGTGGGAGAGACGGCCCGTGTGCGAGCCGTGCACCTCCAACCCCCTTGCTGCCCGCCCCGCCACAGCACCACGCCGACCAGATCGACCTCACACTCACGCCGCTCCAGTTCCTGATGGACCGCTTTCCGGGCGACGGCTCGTACGCGCACGAGCAGGCGCTGCGCTCGCGCCGGCACGGTAGTCGCCAGCGTCCTCCTCCCGTGACCCCACCTCGCCCACGAGCAGGCGCTCCGCTCGCACCTCGCCACGTGCGGTGTGCTCGAGAAGCAGCAAGCCGTGCCCTCCTCGGCGCTGAGCGGAGGGCAGCGCTCGCGTGTCGCCCTCGCCGCCGTCTCGTACGCAGCGCCGCACGTCCTCGTCCTCGACGAGCCGACAAACAACCTCGACCTCGAATCGATCGCCGCGCTGGCGGACTGCGTCACCGCCTTCAAGGGAGGCGTGGTGCTGGTGTCTCACGACCAGTATTTTGTCTCGCGCGTCGCAAACGAGGTTTGGGTGGTCGAGGGTGGGCAGGTGAAGCGGGCCGCGTCGTTTGACGCCTTTCGCAAGCAGCAGCTGACCAAGCTTCAGCCCGTTGACTGATTGATGTATGTGTGTCCGCGCTGGTACCTCTTCGTAGAATATTTCTCGTGTGTGTAATTTCACGTCGACGTGCGCAGCAAAACTGACCCCAGGGATTCCCGCTTCGGTTTCGTCGCCAAGCATAGGTTTCATTTTCATAGTCGGCCGTCCTAGGACGTACGTCATTTCGAGGCGCGATTTCGTAGTGGGGGAAATGGCTCAGTCTGGGAATAAATTTTCTCGGCCGAGGCTGAGTCAGGCAGGTGGCCGCCATTCTGTTCGGTTTTGGCCTCTTTGTGTCCCTCTCAGCTCACATCCATCACCCTCCCGCCTCCGCTGGCACGCGATGCACCCTCCTCCGATGGTGCCGAGGGTGCCTCGGCGCAGTCCTGATGGCTGCCGCCACCTCCGCCCTCAGGAAAGGGGCACGACCGCTGCACGACCGCTGCACGATGCCGCTGACCGCGAAAGCGGAGAGGCGCAAGCGACGCAAGGCCTCCGAGGTGGCCGCTGCCTCCGTCGAGCCCGAGGTCGCCACCGAGGCGCCGGAGCCGCCCGCCGAGCCCCACAACGAGTCGGAAATGGAGGTCGAGCCGGCAGCGCCCGATCAGACGGCGAACCGCCTCCTGCTCATGACGGCAGAGCACGAGGCGGCGGTGGCGCGGCGGTTGCTCCAGCAGGGCGGTCGCTGTTGGCTGCATCAGCTTATCGATGACGACTCCGAAGTCTTCGAGAGCGAGGCGAAGGAGGAGATGGTGATCGTCGCGCGGGAGGTGGACGACTACTGCTTGATGGTCGGCGACACGCGGCCCGAGGGCATCTTCGGCTCCACGCTCGCGGCGGAAGCCGTGGTGGCGGCCCGCGATTTCGAGGAGTGCGTGAGAGATGGGACGATTGTCGGCCGAGGAAGATTAGGCGACTGGGTAGTTCCCGATCTCTCCGAGGAGTACGACGACCTGACGGAGGCAGAAGAGGCCGAGGCGAGGGGGCTGGCGGCTAGAGCCAGCTATAGGCGCGCGATCCACCAGCTCAAGGCGGCCTTCCCGGAGCTGCCGACGCCCGATCCCGTGGTGCGGCGGTGCGTCTGCAGCCCAGGCGCCCCACGATGGCCGTGGGCGCTTGACATCAATTGCGTCGACTGGTCCTATTGCCGCGGCCCGGACGAGTGCCGACCGTTCAGCAAGGTCATGTTTCTTTGGCGCAGAGCGTGGGGCATGGGCTCTATCTCCGCGGAGCTCGGAAGCGCGTACCTTTACCGCGAAGCTCGGCAGCGCGTCCACGACCGCTGGTGCGCCGCCGGGCCCAGGCTCCCGCGCGGGCAGAAAAAATCCGTGGGTTGACGGGCATATCTCGGGCCCACTTTCGAGTTAGTGCGTGATCTTGGGTGTTTATGATAGCCCACAAGGGTCTTCTGGAGCATGGTAGCGGTGGTTTTGCGCTGGGTTCATTTAAAAATCACCATTTCCCCCACTAGATTTCGGTTCTCGCGTGTATCTCCGCGCAATGGGAGTTAGCGCGCTCGCTCTGCAGAGCGGCGCCTGCTAGCCGAGCGCGAATGCCTGGGTCGCTGAGCTCGCGCCGGTGGCCAACTGCGCCTCCGTGGCGACGCGCTCCGGCCACGAGCGACGTGCCAATCTGCACTTTGAGCTCGCTTGGCAGCCGCCGAGTGCGAGAGGAATTTAAACGGCCGAGCCGGCCAGGCAGCCAGCCGACTTCCCGCACCGGTCAGCGCACGTGCGGCCGCGCGTGTACAGGGCGTACACGCGCGGCCGCACATGCTCCGCCTCGACGGCCGCCTCGCGCTCGCTCGAGGTCTGCTCCGCCCGAGCAGCGAGCTCTCAGGTGCGGGCTCTCGGGGCGCCGACCAGCTGGTAGGGAGGAAGGTCGAGCGCGACGCCGCGGAGCCAGAGCAGCGCGGCCGGGGCTGGGACCGTGAGCGGCGATCGCGCTCCGAGTCGCCCAGCGACGGCAAGGCAGGACGACGAGGCGCGACGGCCGTTGAGCGGAGAGGGCTGGCGAGCAAAAAGAGGCGCCTCCGGGCGCAAACTTCAGAGGGACTCTTATGAGTTATGCTTCGCAACGAAACCAATTCGTGCTATGAGTTTTCACGATCAGTTTGGGTATACCCCCGAGCGGGAATCCCTAGGGTCAGTTTTGCTGCGGGGGACGGGAGACGGAGTCGGAGAGAGCGGCCCAGGCGCCCCACAGCCGGGGCCGCGCCGGGCGCCCGCCGCCCCGGTGCCGGTGCACACTCTTGTTGTGTGCGGAACCGCACGGAAGGCGAGCTCGATCTAGTTGAGCGGCAGATTGCTGCCGAAACTTTCTATTTCTAAGAAGAAAATCGACCAACCGGTCCATATATGCGCGGCAAGGGAGCGGCGCGGCTGTTCCCAGGAGCTAGCGGAGCTCGACAGAGAGGGTGGACGCAGCCTGCTTGCGCAGCTCCTCCTGCAGGCTGTTGATCTCCTCGTCGGTGAGCGACCGGTCCATCGAGCGGTAGGTGATGCGATAGCAGTGCGAGGTGAGGCCCTTTTTGGGGTGCGTGAAGGAGTCGACCAGGTCGATCCTCTCGATGAGCTCGCCTGGCGGCGGCGGGCGGGCCGGCGGTGGGTGGAGGGGGCGGGGCGGCATGCGGCGCGCGGGCAGCCCCGCGCGCCAGCGACGCCGCGGCCGAGCTCGAAGAAGTCGTTAGGCTCGAAGCCCTCCTCGGGCAGCCAGAAGGAGATGTCCTTGAAGCAGGGCGGGTACTTGGAGTAGGGCTTGAACTTTGTGAGCTGGCCCGCCTTGAACTGGGAGGTGAACCGCTCGTCGCCCGTCCAGAAGAGGCGGATGTCGGGAATCTCGAAGAGCACCATCGCCAGCCGCTCGAGGCCGAGCCCGAAGGCCCAGCCGTGCCTGTTCACAGCCAGAGGTGTGAAGAGACGCTGTTCACAGCTCGAGGCCGAGCCCGAAGGCCCAGCCGTGCCGGTGCGACAAGTCGCAGTTGGAGAGGACGCCGGAGTGGATGACGCCGCAGCCGAGCACCTGCGCGCCGCCGGGCGGAGGAGCGGCGGTGGGGCCGAGGCGCGGGGGAAGTCACTGCGGGCCAGGGGGCGGCGAGGGCGGCGAGGGCGGCGAGGGCGGCGAGGGGCGCTGGCCCGCGCCTCCATCCAGTCGCCGTTGTAGTAGATCTCGAGCTCGAAGGATGGCTCGGTGAAGGGGAAGTACCTGCAGCAGGGAGGTGCCACTCCGCTCACCCCCCTCTCCCCGCCCCCGCCCCACACCGCCCTCCCGCCCACGCGCCGCCCTCCCCGGGGGGTGGGCGTGCGGCGCGCACTCGTCGATCCACCGCTTCTCCACCGGCCCGAAGAGCGCGTCGCACAGCCCCTCCAGCGTGCGCTTGAGGTCGTCGGCCACGAGCTTGCAGCCGTCCGAGGCGAGCCACTCCTCTCGGCTCATCTCGCCCTCGCCGACGAGCGCGGGGTCGAAGAGGCGGACGCCCTCCATCTGGTGGAAGGCGGGGAAGTGCGACGCGTCGATCTCGTCGCGCCGGTACACGTCCCCCGTGCAGAGGAACGCCTCGTACCCCTTCCGCATCAGCGTCGACTGGTGGGCCGACGTGTGTGTCCGTAGCAAAAGGTCTTCCGACGAGGAGGCCTCGCGACCGCCCGGCCGCGACACGTAGTAGGTATCGGACGGCAGCCGGCCCGGGTGGTCCTCCGGGATAAGCAGGTCGTCGAAGCACTGCTGCGCACTCACCAGCGGGTCCATCGCGTCGGCGATCTCAAACTTGACGCCGTCGATCGTGGCAAAGTAGTCCTCAATCTTCTGCTTGATGATTCCGATGGGGTGATCGGCCGTTTTGTGCAAGTCGCGCCCGACCAGATTGGCGATGTAAGGCGTGACGTTGTTCCCCGTCTGCCCCGTGATGAAGCGGTCTGCTGCCGTGGTCGCCGTCGCAGAGGCTGAAGCGGCGCGCGCGCGCGCGGCGCTGCGGCTGCTCGCCGCGAGCGGCCGCGCGACGCCGGGAGCACGGCCCGCCAGAGAAGAAGGCACGCGGTATGCGAGCGAGACCGCCGTGAGCATGAGGTACATGCGAATGTGGCGAGGCAGAGCGAAGCTGGGCGCGGCGGCCGGGAAGTTACTCGTCTCGTACCTAAGCGAAAAGAATTCTACGGATAGCCCCTCTCACAGCAGCGAAAAGAATTTGGCTAGAATTCTACAACCTATCCCACCTGTCCCCCTGATCGTCCTTCCAAAATCCTGCTCGTGCAGGTGTGGACCCTGTCCTCCTCCCCTATCCCTCGTTTGTGGGTTGTCTGTTTTCTTTCTTTCTTTCATCCCAGCCTCCTTTCTCAGCACAGACTGGCTCGGACTGGCACTACAAAAGGCACAGCCAGAGCGAAGCTGAGCGGCGGAAGTCACCTGGGCTTGAGAAGAAGAAGGGAGAAAGAAAGAAAATCAGTTGCCCAAGGGAGGGATGGGAGGTCGGAGGATGACGGCACGCCGCCACCACACGCGGCCGGGAAGTTACCTAAGCGAAAAGAATTGAAAAGCAGAGGAATTCTTGAACCTACCCCAGCCTCTCAGCAGACTGGCTCCCAGCCAGAGCGAAGCTGGAAGTCACCTGGGCTTGAGAAGAAGAAGAGAGAAAGAAAGAAAAACAGTTCTCAAGGGAGGGGAGCTTGATGGCGGCAAGAAGTACCAGCTGCAGGTGAGGGTTAGCGGCAAGAAGGTTCACCTCGGCTACTTCACTACCGCCGAGGAGGCGGCGCTCTTCTACGCCCGCTCGATGGCAGCTACCCAACAGAAGCTCGGTGGCCTCCCGCCACTAGGCCCGCAGCGCACAGCCTTCGAACGGTGGCAGCACCAGCAGCGCAAGCAGCGCGGCGCTCAAGCGGAGTCGGAGACGGAGGAGGAGGAGGAGGAGGCGGCGGCGGGGGCGGCTGGGCCGGCCGCGGCTTCCGCTGCACAGTCGGCGCCATCGGCTGGCTCGCGGCTCCAGCGCAGCTCGCAGCGCAAGCGGCCCGCGGAGGCATGCTCGACGGATGAAGAGGTCGCCGAGCTGGGGCTGGCGCTGGCGCGCTCGGAGAATCAGATGCCGCCGAACGAGCGCGAGCAGCGAGCCGGCGCACCTGCCGCCAGTGCCACCGCCGCCACTGCCGCCGCAGCTCGCGCCGTGGCTAGAGGCGGGCGCGCGCTGCTCGATCTGCTTGGAGGGCAGCGACGTCGACGACGAGCGCTTGCTGACGAGGGCTCTCTTTTGCGACCCCTTTGCGGACGACGGCTGGGGCTTCAGCCTGTGCTGCCACAACATCTTCCACTACACGTGCCTCCTCGCTCAGACCAAGCCGCGGCAGGCGGACTACGTCACGCGCCAAGGGCGATGCGACATCGCCACGGATTGCCCCAGCTGCCGCAGCGAGATTTATGGCACCCGGCGGCGCTTGCTCAATCGCGGCCCGCTGGGCGGCGAGCCGCCTCGGCGCAACGAGTCGCTGCGAGCGCAGAGGGCCAGAAAGGGATTCTTTCTAGGTGAGCGGGTGCTGCTCCGGGTGCCGCCTCAGCGCTGAGTTATTGTGTGTATAGTGGAGAGGTGCCTGGCCGCTGAGAAGAGCCCTGCCTCCAACATGGAGCACGTGGAGCGCTTTGCTAAAACCCTCACCCTGACCGCTTTTTTTTTCCCGGGGGCGCGCCGAAAAAACATACTGACGTGGGCGCCGGATGCAGGACGCCTCACCCTCAGCCGAGCCCTCACGGCGCAGCTACATATTGCTGGGCGAGCGCGTGCTGATCCCGGCCACTCTCAAGAACAGCACGACTGGCTACAAGAACGTGAACTACGATCGCGGCAATAATAAGTTCAAGGCGCAGGTGCGGGTTGCTGGCAAAAGTGTCTCCCTCGGCTACTTCGACACCGCCGAAGAGGCGGCCATCGCCTACGCTCGGTCAGAGTACGGCCGCGCCGACGCCGCCAAGCTGCTGCAGCCTCGCCCCGCTCCCACTGCCGCTGGCCTCGAGGCGATACGGCAGGCGGCGAGGGAGGGCCTGACTCTCACCGCCAGCAGCAGCAACAGCGGCTACAAAGGCGTGACCTTCTACCCAAATCGGCAATGTAGCAAGAACTACCAGCTGAAGGTGAAGGTTGGCGGCACAACAGTCTTCCTCGGCTGCTTCGCCACCGCCGAGCAGGCTGCGCTCTTCTACGCCCGCAGGGAGGCGGGCAGGGACACCAGCGATCTCACCGTGCCGCCGCCGCCGCCGCCTCCCGCGCCGTCCTCTGCTGCTGGCGCCGAGCTAGGCTGAGTTAGAGCGAGTTCGAGTGGTGTATGTACGGCGAGAGCCCTCCATGCCCCTTCGGTAGCTCCCGCCAGCGGCCTCTTGGACGGGGTGCAGTACTTTTGTGTTCCACCAGTGCCAGGTGTTTGCACAACCTTTCATGCTTACTGACGATAGTATATGGGTAACACTAGGGGTAAAAAGGAGTGTCGCGAAGTCCCCGCCCGGTCTTTCTAATTTGAAATTCGAGAGGACGATTAACAGAGCACACAGAGGTGACATCGCGAATCCGGAATCGTGAATCGAAGGAGCGTCCTTCGGGCTTCGCTTACCCCTACCCCTATAATAGACGCTATTCTGACTCGCAAAAGAAATCTGAGTGAAACGCCGAATTTGTAACAAGCGGTGCGCCGGCGCCGCGCCACAGCTTGCCGAGCGCCGGCCACAGGCCTGCCTGCAGCCCAGCCACACCCGCCGCGGCGGCAGCTAGTCGGTTCGGCCTTGACTCGCGCGCGCCGAGATGGGAGCCCAAGTATGTGAGCGCGCGGCGCGTCGACACGCCTCCACTTTTGTAACAAAGTCTGCTTGGCTTGTGCAGGTGATGCCCAGAGCTGCAGCGGCGACGCCGGCAGCCTCGTCTCGACCTCAGAGGCTGCCGGCGTGACCATAGATCTGTGCTCTATCCGTCGGTGGTTCACCGTACACGCCTGTGTAGGAGTGGCTCTCGCGTCGCTACGCGCCGCCGAAGGCTGTCTATGAGGGCACACCCGAGGAGGCGCGGATTCAACCTGCGTGCGGCGGTGACCAGGTCACAGGCATCGGCTGTGACACTGGAGAGTCGAGCAGCGGCACTGAGGATGCCTTTCAGGTCATTCCAGCGACCCACGGAGCGCGGTCACCTCGTGTCACCCGGTCAAGCGCAGGCGAAGGCGGAGTTCGACGAGGTCTGCGAGGTGAGGCGCGACCGCACGACGCTGCTCGGCCCGTCCGCGCTCGAGATCTATGTGCCGGGCAACCATACCCACGTGTCGGCCATGTCCATGTGCGTCTCGTACCGCGACGCCAACTTCCGCGCGAACGTGGAGCGGTTCCTCGCCCCCGCCGCCGCTGCGGCCCACCGGCGCGGCGCAGTGCGTCGCGCCGCTGCAAAACATGGCGGAGCGAGTGGACGCGCAGGTGGACGTGCCGCGCTGGCTGCCCGAGCTCGTCTTTGGCGACCTCGACGAGCTGCGCAGCGCGGTCAAGCGGCCCGGCGTGAACATGGAGGATTTTGTGTAGTACATGTAGTAGATCGGGGTGGGAGCTGGGCGGTGAGCCGGATGTGGCGAGCTGCCAAAGCCGCAGGCGTCGCTCGCAAGGCAGCAGCCGCACCACTGATACGTTTTCACTTTTCTGTCTAGTGTGCGAGAGCGATGGTGCGGAACCCCTTTTGTCTACTGTCTGTGTCTGAGCATAGAGGCGTTGTAGGAGTCGCATGTCAATTGTCTCATGTGTGGCGGAGAATGTCTGTGTACGTACGCGCACTTTCCGCAGCACGCGCTTGTTGTTCTTGTTGTGCGTTCTCACAATAGATTAGTACCACAAGCCGGCAAGATCGAAGGTCTCTGCCCCACCCCCCTCAAACACATGCAGGAGTGGCGGCAGCTCGGCGTGCGTGCAGGAAGCAGAACAACCATGCTGACGCAAGTACGCGACCACACCGCACGGCGCCACAGCCCTCAGAGAGAGTCCTCGAGTTTCCCGTACACGTCCGGGAGAGCGGCCACGCGTTTCCCCTCGGCAGCTCCCTATGAGCGCCGGGCTGCATCCGCTGCCATCCTGGCAGCGGCAGCCTTGGCCATCGCAGCGGCAGTGGCCGCGCGCCTCTCCTTGGCGGCGGACAACGCCGCCGCGAGCGCCGCCTCGGCCGCCGCCTCGGCCTCCCGCTCCGCCTCCGCCTCCTCCTCCGCCTCGTCCGCCTCAGCGTCCAAGCGATTCGCCTCGGCCACCTCGGCCGACGCCGCCGCCTGGCTCTCCGGCGTGATGCCGAACCGCATCCGCTCCTCGGTGAGCGTCTCGAGAAGCAGGAGAAGCCTCGCCTCCTCGGCCTTCCTCGCCGCCTCGGCTGCGTCTGCCTCCGACGGCGCCTCGGGCTCCTGCGACGGCCCAGCCCCGCCCGCCCCGCCGCCCTTCTTCTTCTTCTTGCCCTTCTTGCCCTTGGCGCGCTTCTCCGCCTCGACCTCCGCCAGCAGCTCATCCGCGTGCCGCGCCGCCTCCTTCTCCTCCGCCGCCCTCTGCGCCGCCCTCGCCGCCGCGCCCGCGGCCCACGCCGCCTCCTCCGCCGCCATTTCCGCCGCCGCATGCTCCTCGAGGGCGCGCACGCACTCAGTGTGGCCCTGCTTCTTGGCCCACTGCAGCGCGGTGTTGCCGTGAGTGCACAGCGTCACATCTGCGCCCGCCCGCAGCAAGCGGAGGAGGGCGGCGGGGTGGCCGTGGTAAGCGGCGAGAATCAGCGCGGTGTCGCCGGTGTTGGCCTGAACGTCGATCTCCGCGCCGTGCCGGATCAAAATGTCGACCACTTTCTCGCGGCCTTTGCCGGCGGCGTCCATCAGCGCGGTGATGCAGTGATTGCCGTTTCGCCGGTTGATCCCCGCGCCGTGCCGCAACGCCAACTCGACCAGCTTCTCGCGGCCATTCAAGGCGGCGAAACTCATTGCGGTGCAGCCGTCGCTAGCCTGCAACGAGAGATCAGCACCGCGCTGGAGCAGTGCCTCGGCCAGCCCCTCGTGGCCCTTCGTCATTGCGAGCATCAGCAGCGATATGCCGCTCACACGCTCGCCGTCCGAAAAGAGGTACTCGAACGTCACGTCGACCCGTCCGCCACCGTCGAGCCACGCCAGCACCGCCGCCTCCTCGCCTCGCCGAGCCGCTGCCACAACCTCCTTTGGCGCCGCCCCGCTGCTCGGCTCGGCCTCCGCGGCTCCCTCGCCGCTCGAAGCAAAGGCCGCGGCACTCGCACCTTGCTCCGACGCTGCCTTGCTCCGGCGCGCAGCCACCTCCCCGAGGTACGTCCTGAAGGCCTCGACGCACTCGGCGTGGCCCTCCTCCTTGGCAATCTGCAGCGCCGTCGCGCCCGTCGCTTCGCGCAACGTCATGTCCGCGCCCGCCCGCAGAAGGCGGAGCACGACGGCGGGGCGGTTGAAGCAGGCGGCGAGAATCAGTGCGGTGTCACCATCCTTGTCTTGCAGGTCGATCTCCGCGCCACGCCGCAGCAGCAGGTCGACCACCCGCTCTTTGCCGCCGTGGGCAGCCGATGTCAGCGCCGTCCCGATCTCCGCACCGTGCTGCAGCAGCATCTCCACCATTCGCTCGTGGCCGCCGTGGGCGGCAGTGTTCAGCGCAGAGCTGCCAAGACTGGTTTGATTGATGTCGGCGCCACGCTTCAGGAGGAGCTCGACAATCTGCACATGCCCGTTCCGTGCGGCGATCATCAGCAGGGTGCATGGAATCTTATAGCCGCCGCCCTCACCTTCAACATCGAAGAGAGTGTTCGCCTTCCCGCCGTCATTCAGCCACAGTCGCACCGGTCCCACGCGGCCGTTCTCGGCCGCCTTGAGGGCGTTATTTGGGACTTCGCCGCCCGGCGCGCTGTCAGCAGACGGCGGCGGCGGTGGCGTGCGGCGCGGTGCGTTGGCGCGGGAGGCGGGCATGGCTGCTGGCCCAAGAAAGCGAGGGGATGACATCCTCAAGCAGTGGGAGAAATCGAAGGGAGAATTAAGCCTTCAGGAGGCAGGGTGGGGTAAAATTCTACCAACACGGCGCTGCAAACCCCATTTGCTTCATGTCAGACGCGCCGAAAACGGTCAAGGAGATCAAGGCGGCCCTGCTGAGGCTCGACGTCGCGCTCCCGAGCGGCCGGGCGACCCGCGCGGAACTCGAGGCGCTGTGGCGACAGCACCAGCCGGTGCAGCGCGAGACGCCCGCAAAGCGCCGCGCCGCCGGCTCGAGCGCCGGCTCCAGTCGCGGCGAGCCCCGCGCCCGCCGCGGCGCCTCGCCGCCGCGACCGACAACCAACGTACCGCTCGCCGAGCAGCAAGCGGCGGCGGCGGCGGCGCGGCAGCAGCAGGCGGAGGCGGCGCAGGCGGAGGCGGCGCAGGCGGCAAAGGCGGCGCAGGCGGCGGCGCAGGCGCAGGCGCGGCGGCCTGCTGCTGCGCCCGCACTGTCCGATGCCGGTCGGTCCCGCACCTCCTGGCTGCCGGCGTGGCGCTCTGCTCCGGCGGCGGCGGCGGCCTCCTCTGGCGCCCACGAGGACCCTCACCTCGCCGCCCCGACCTACGCCTTTGGCGGCGGGGCGTCCTCCTCCTCTGGCGCCGCGGCCGCCGGTCGCTCCGCCTCTCCCGCACCCGCACCCGCCTCTGCCGCCGCCGCCGCCTCCTCCTCCGCCGCCGCCTCCTCCTCCTCCTCGTCTGGCGCCGCCTCCTCCTCGGCCGCCGCCTCTTCGTCCGGCGCGACATCGCGAGGCTTTGGCGCGGCCGACGTTGCCGCCATCTTCGGCCTCGCCTTCGTCGCCCTCCTCCTTGCCTTGGTCGCAGTCGCGCCGGCCTCGCCCGACGGCCGCGCGCCTTCGGACGCGATCGCAGAGCGGCTGGACGCGGTGCTCGCGATGTGCGAGGGCGGGTGGCAGTCCGCTCTCGCCGGCTTCGATCGCTCGCTCGCCTCAGTGGGCGAGGCGTGGTCCGACGCCGCCTCCGCCGCCGGCTCCGCCTCGCGCGCCGCCGGGTCGAGGCTGCAAGGCGCCGTCCGCTGGTCGTGGGCGGTGTGGGAACCTTCTAGGAACCTTCCGGGAACTTTCTCCTAGGCGCCGTCCGCTGGTCGTGGGCGGACGCGGCGGACGCGGCGGCGGAGGCGGCGGCGGAGCTCCTCGCGCGCGGGGCCGAGCTCGCCGGCAAGGGCGCTCTGGTGCTGGTGGCGCTCGTCTACCAGGGCGCCTACTTCGGTGTCGGAGGCCTCTTCTACCTCGGCACTTGGGTGGGGCGCAACCGCCCTCCCCCCCCCTC